TGGAATGTCTGCAGAACATCAACGATATATTTATTCTAATCCGCAAGGAGGATCGACAACCTCTTATGAGTATCAAACATATCCTACTACGCAAGCTTACGTGTCGGCACCACCGCCCCAGGCCCCTCCGCGGCCGATACGCTCCCCCATCACTCAGTTTCATTCGCAACACCACCAGACAACTTTTGCGGCATCGTCTTCATATACGCAACAAGCGTCCTATGCACCCGCTCCATCATATACTCTTCCTCAGTCGCAGCCTCAATGGCAGCCTGAAAGCTGGTCCCCTCAATTTGGAACCTTCCAACCTACATCCATCACGGCAGACGTGACGTACGCCCCAAATGCAGCCCGCCCGGAGTCAGTCTCTCAGACCACCCATGCAGAGGCACGATCGTATGCCGCTGGTCCATCCAATCCACCACTTGAGAATCGCCGCCCAGATGAACGCTATCCCCCCGCCCCTGTGTCAGCTCATACATCGCCCGTTCAAAAGAGCAAGAGGCGGGACAAGGAGTCACCAGTCCTGGTTCCAAGTCCAATTATCAATCCTAGCCTAGATTTTGGGAAGGCACGCCCGACAGTCATCCCTTTGCGGTCACTATCTGACTTGTAAACAGATGACAGAGTCCTATGGTATGATACTCGAGGGTACCAAATCCCTGGCGTCCGCGGGGGTTCCTGCGCGGCTCCCACCGCCTGAAACCATGGAACGCATGATCCAGTCCGCGAACTACGGAAGACAAATGTTGCAATCAGCAGTTGCGCAATCAACCCCTGACACGAGGCCGTCTACTGGCGGCAGTGACAAGGATACTCCGGCCATAAAGCGGCAGGTGAACCGTCTGTCATGGGGAATATGCTAAAATGTTGATGCTTCCTTTTCTGTACTCAGAAGGCCGAGGAACATGCTCAAGAAGGGCAGACTTGCCTTGGTTGCAACGCAACCTCGACCCCTGAGTGGAGGCGTGGTCCCCTAGGTTAGCGCGGGCTCGTTTTGTACGCCACATGCTTCGAGCTTATATTATGGTTTAGGCCCTCGAACCTTGTGCAACGCATGTGGCCTCGTGTATGCTAAACTTGTACGTCAGCATAAACCCTCTGATTCTTCTTATCATGTTTTGTTTCAGCTGAAAAAGCGAGCACGAGGGGAACGGTCCCGCGGGGGCAATAGCAAGGACCCAGGATCTCACAACGCCATGGAGGATTCTGTGATTGCATCCAGTGGCGGAAGTGACGATGACGATTCTTATGGGTCACAAGATCGCGACTTGGGTGATCATATACGGAGAGGGTGAAGTTGGACCCGTGATACTCTAATCTATCCGGCCTGCTTCTCACCTGTCTTCCTTTCCTATTTTCATCGATGGCTGGACCTTTCAATGACATTACAATAGTTTTTCCCGCGTTCGAGGGGCCCCTTCCGTACACGTCAGGGTTGGTATGGCTCCACTTTACAGTGCTGTTATGATGATAAGGTTATAGATTCGTCAATCTCATTTCTCAGCGTACCTCTTAGTAATTCGCATCACGGCGTTTAGTTAGGTTAATCGGTCGAAGCGAAGGAACTAACTGAATCTATCTTTCGACTCGTCACAGTTTTTGGTCCACGTTGTGTACCTATCGGTGCCTCTCCCTTGCCGTCTGAAGTTCACTTGTCTGTCGCTTCGCTCCCTCGCTTGACTGCGAATTATGCGTCTCAGATATTTAATTAGCTAGGCCTGACCTTCATTGGAATACCAGTGGTGATTAAAAGAACTTCACCAGTAGCGCTCCATTGTCACTTATTGGCACCCTTACCTCCCAGACAGTGGGAACGACTTGGCAGAGTTACGACTTTCGCAGACTTTCAGTTCGCAAGTAATCAATTGACTGACCTTTCAAAATTTCAAGGCTGTTGCGGCTCATCACACAGTGTAAGACATCGAGAATATCTCAGGCTTGTTTAACTTATTTTTATTCAGTGACATCACGTTCGCAGACAAATATTGAGGCATTCTTCAAGTCTTGTCTTACCTTTCAATATTTCATGTGTCATTATCTGATCCGTCTTGGCGCAGGCCGATATAGTAAATTATACTGTTTTTTTTCTAACAAGCTTATGCCGTCAGTGGTACTTAGTGGGGAACAGAAGAATTATTTGTCATGAGTGTCTCGTGCATAAATGAACAAAACGTGGCCTATGATAGTACGGTGAAGCCGATATTCATTTGACGTCACCTGACTGACGCGCTGGGTCAAGATTACCTTGTTAGCCAAGAAGTCCTTATATGAAGACGACCTTCGCAAGCGATAACACTGCTTGCAAGATATACTAGTAGAATAATTGCAGGGTTGCGCCAAAAGTTTTTTTAGATACGCGGACTGTTTTCTCTCATGTCAGTAAGGATGCTTCGCTCTGCTATTCGCCGTCGAGACATACCATCACTATGACCTCAGTCTATACGGTAACCTGGGGCTCGATGGATTCGCTGCCGCCCTGGTGGCAGAAGGTTGTGCTGGCAATTTGATGTCATGAATATGTTAAACATCCAGGGGGGCTGCGGCGGAAAAGATTGGCGGCCAGTAGATATAATTATCAAAACACAAAAGGCTACCGTGATGGATACTGCACGCGATCTAGAGATAATTTTAAGCATTAGACGTAAACAGCCGCATTAACAGGGGTAAAGCGAGATGCGGCACGGTGACAGTAAGTAACTGCGATCAGCATGCTACTCCTCGGTGTTTCATTATTCCCGTACCGTGATGGTACCGTCCATTGGTCTGGCTAGGGTGTCAGATCCGCAGCATTAGACGGTGGAGTTACGCCCCATGAGTCTGTGTCGTCTAAGAGGTATACGCAGCAAGTTGTATTGTTGGACTATGGTGTCATGCCTCGATAACAGGCATCATATCGTGGGACGTGTTTGGATGCCTCAGAGAACGTGCCATGGAGCAGGGCGTCGCGAAGTTCGTCGAGTCCCCTGAGGACGGCGACGGATCAGTCGAGTTGTCCGAGGATGTCTTCCATTGGGTGTCAACACAAGGGCTACGTAGAACTATATCCAATTCTTGCGTGGTAATCATTGATGATCGATACCCTTTTCTGGGATGCATCTGACGTCCCTCAGATCCAAAATGCGGGGAGCCGCAAACCCGCATCGCAGAAGGAGGACAGTGGTGAAGGGGACCAACGACAGACCGGAATAATACAACTGAGGGTTTAGTAACAGAACAATATATGAAACTTGATCAAAGAGCGTGTTCCATACCAGCTTGCTGGGAGCACAGTGCATACACTCAATGTATTCGGAAGGGGACGGCACCCTGTCGCATCTCTGAGTCCGGTGGCGGAGTTTGTTTGGTGAATGACTAGAACAAATATTGATGGAATATTTGATACGAGTGCCAGCCTTCGAATCCAGTCGAGGACAGCCCATGATCTCCCTCTGTTCAAATCCAGGGACCTCTTCAAATACTTTCCCCGCCTCAGGGAGCAGTACCTTTCAGATACAGTATTGGTGCCATTAAAGCTAGGTGAAGGAGTAGGAGGGAGTCTATTAATAATTCATCCTCTTCAACTTTTGGGGTCCTACGCGTGCGCAGCTCCAGGGCTCCCTGCGGAGTAGCTCCCAGAGTTCCGATACCCTCGGCACCGCCTCGTGGAGTTATCATGTGGTTCCTGATTTCAAACCTCTTCCGGATCCTGTCGAAGGATCTGATCGGGGACGGTTAGACGGCGAGAAAGTTACCCGACGGCATCAACGAGATTGACTAAAACAAGCAGTCGTCGATCCGTATATGCAGCCACAAATCGGTTGGCTATAAGGTCGAGGCGATTAGCATCCGTCGAGGTGATGTGAGATCACAACCCACGAGCAAGATATTACCGGGGATGATTGCTGACTTCGATCATATTATGAGAAGTGACCCTGAGGAGCCAATGCGAATTACAGTTTGGCGTTCTCTGGATGGTAGAGCATGCCTTTGCATCCTGTGTGAGTATGTGTAGGGAAATCGTGTGTAAGTAAGAGAAGTATGACTCGCAATGATTCAATATATTCTTGACAACTTGAAGTAAGCCTGAGCGTCGTCTGCAAATTGAAAATCATTTGTACGTACTTAGCCGCCACTTTCATTGAGAAAAGATATGGAATGTTTGAATAATCAAAGCGACTGAATATGAATATGTAAAACTTACGGGAAGAAAATTTCCGTGTTACACAACCAGGGCCGTGACCCTTGCGTGAGCGAGGGTCTGGCGCCATACGTACGATATCGATGTGCTCGTCTCCCAGCTGATACAAAGATTCCTGCAGTTGGCTGAAGGGCAAGTTCAGGAGAATACATGATTTACATACCGCATCCTTTGTCATGAATGCGTTCCAGGCAAAAGGACCTTGCATAATTGCGAGATGTTCTGACTGTCATAGACTTTAGTCTAGTCGAAGCAGGGCGTCAACAAGGATGCATACCGGGGTTTAAAAGGAGGGTGTGTCAAACCTCAACATCGGCTTGCGGAAGGCGATATCCCGACTAGCGTTCGTAACTAAGGTCTAGAGATCAATGCATGACAATTTGCGTATATATCTGTGACACGAACCATGCTCAGCGTCTTTGGGCATCATTTCCCTTACCCCTAGTAAAAAAGCACACGTCTCCTCGACGAGTCTTTGCGTCATCGCAAAGAATGTACCGAAAATGAAAAGACCCAGAAGTTGGTATGGCTGGACAACGGGCTTCTTTGGTTATGCGCTGGAGAGACGCCAGCGGCCTGCCGTTGGGCTCCATAGGGCTCCGTTGGTAAGATAACCGTGGATCCGAACCATGCACGAATGTCAAATCCACTTCATTGGCAATCAAAGTTATTTGTTCATCGCCGATCGCGGTGGACAAGTCCAACAGTCTCATCACCGAGCCATATGAGCACCCAGTTCCCAAATTATGGTTCTTCCGACCTCCAACTGACCAGATTCGGAAGCTGTCCGAGCAATCAAGAGGAGACAGCGTACAGTCTCGTTCAGTGAGTACATACTTCTCAGCCACATGTCAGAAAAGAGTAATCCCACCTAAAGCTCGCGCACGTAATATCTAATGGTGACAAAATCTCAATCAGAGAATTATTTTTTTCACGACTACTTATACTTCTTCGATTCTGTTATCTTCGTCGTCGTCATCTTCTTGACCTCCAACACGCACCACATCGAAGTCATCGGCTGTTTTCTACGCCTTCATCGCCTTTCAAAAGCTGGACGAGGCGCTCGATGTGCTCAGATACCTGAATGGTCTGTGAGAAACTCGGTTCAAAGGACGAGTTGTGAGTAGAAACAGACCTTGTCGACAGTCTCCTCCATGTGTGCTCCTCTAATAATCTCATACACCCCATGATCCCTGAGATAGTCTCGGCCCCATCGCGTGGTACATAGAAGCAGTAGTGTTTCAACATGCGTGAAACGCAAGGCAGGATCCGGATCCCGCTTTTTCGTGGATGGAAGGAACTGAAGTGCAGATGGCAATTTTTCTTGGTCCTGGAAGGTACAACATCAGCAGGCTTAGGCTGTCTACCACCACGATCGTACTTCTAGATCAAGTTCCTCTGGGCCTGCTAGCGGTAGTAAAATGTAAGGCAATGCATCGACACCCGGAGCAGACAATGTGGATGGAGGAACGGCAACAGCTTCGGTGTCGGGAGATAGTATTGCTCGGTGAACTTGTGAAGAAAAAGCGCAGTTCCTGTGATCGAGACATTGGATATACTCAATGTCAAAGCAGGAAAATGTCCTACTTCAATGTCGAGGCAACACCACCACGTCGTATTGTGTCTTGATGTTCCGTGAACGCGACTATTTTGGCGAGAGGATACTCGTTGGTACTATTGGGATCCAAAGGATCCGTCGGTCGTGAAGTGACGAAGAACGTGCGGCCAGCTGGAGACTAGTTGTTGCGACTTTAGTGACAAGATGTAATTGATTCTAGACAAACTAACTGTGCTGATATTGGCAAAGACACTGGCGAGGAAGTGCAGCTCTCCTTTCCGCTTTCGGGGAGCTCTATCTCCGGAAGGATCTATTGATACACCTTCTACGAATGCATCGATAAGGAGCGGTAAAGCGAGGATATCCTGCGGCTCTCCTGATGGATAAGGTACTGGCGCAGAACAGGTTCCAGAGCGGGACAGGGTTGGGAAAAGAGGACTTGATGAAGATGATATTTTTAGTATGGGAACCTTTAAGGCTAAAAGGGCTGCGCATGGTGAAGATGAAGCGGTTAAATTGGAAAGCAACATGGATGCCAGATCTGCAAGTATGGAATCTGCGTTCTACGAAACTGTAAGGCGCTGCGAGACAAACGTAATATAGAGCACAAACCAAGATGTACGATACCAAGAAAGTGAGAAAAGCTGGTTCCGACAAAAATGGCACTAGCAGTGCTGAATCGGAAAGATTGACTAATGCACGGAAAGCATCATGTGCGACGGCCTGTGACCATCATCGCTTGATCACAATTGAATGAGTATACATACGAGTTGATCCCGGCATAAAAGCTTGAGATCACGGATAATATCCGTTTCCTTAGGTTTCTGCAAGCCTGCTCCTCCGAGGCCATGGTAAAAAATGTTTCTGTGCGGAGATCCTTCTGGTGTTTGCCCGAGCAGATTTGACAGGGCTATTTGTCGGACCTGTGGATTTTTATCCCTTAAGAATGGGATGAGCTTTAAGCATGTTAACACTTTTTGATTTAGTTGTCTATAAAGACACGAACCTCCTTGAGTTGTGCCTCCATTGTATGATAAGTACAACATCCATTATCATAATTCCCACGAGTGCTTAACAGATTGTGGACGATTACGTAAATGACCTTGAACAGAAGTTGGACTGCTTATACTAAGTCATCAGAGACTGTGACGGTCACGGTGGCATTGAAGCCATTAGCGAGCGCGTAGGTCATCTGCAATGTCTTGTTACAACATTACGCGCTCGGCGGAACAATTACTAGACTCGTATGAAGACGCTGCACCATCTTTCTCAGTCCATCTCTATCCCGACTACTGGACGCTCAACAACGGATCCAAATTCCTGTACAATAATCCTATCGCGGTGCGTTGCTGAATTTAAGATGCAGGAACTATGTTAACCTGTCAATAGTCAATCCTTGATGACGTCCGAGCGCACCGAATACCGGTCGACTACCTTGAGCTTTTTGACTCCGCACGCGTGCCATTCTATGATGGTGAGTGGTCGGTCGTCCGTACAAGGTCCTCACTTCATGATTTCGTTAGGTTGCATGATTGTAGAGCTATTAGACTACCGCCCAAAGAAAGTAAAGGACCCACCTCTCGAGAACCCTGAACGGAGCCGTGTTGCTCTGCACCCGAATGACGAGACACTCTGGGCGAATCTATGTCTCATGAACCAGCGTTCAGGCAATAAGTTCACAGATACAGAAGTACTTGAACTTGAAGCACAGATACTGGTATGTTATATTCGCGACCTTTTCTGCTGTATCTTATCTTCTTTGTTGTTGTAGCTGCAAACATCACCTCCCCTATGTCTCGACCCAGACCCACATCTAACCCGTATTGCAAATCATACCCTCAGAGTTTCTACTCCAAGTATACCCATTTCCTTGAAACGCAAAGCAGCCGCTATTACACCCGAGGAAGATGAGTCTGACAAGACTCGTCGGGCCAAGATCATGCAGTTCATGAACCAGAGACAAAATCGGTCTCACGCTCCAAGGTATTTCGTATTGTCCCAAAGTAACCTCTTCCTGCTCACCTTCACTTAGTTATCGGATATTGGACGCAATTCGTCGTGTTAAGGAAGTTCGCATGGCGGTTGGGTTAGAAACACAGCCTTATCTCAAAGCCCAACTGGCACAAGCTGCCGCCCAGGCTCAAGCTCAAACTGAGGCTCAGGCTCAAGCAGATTCCCAAGGTCAGAATCAAGCACATGGTCAAATACCAGCTCCTACGCCTACGCCGCAACCCCAGGCTGCTCAACCACAACCTACTCCCGTCCCAGCTGCTCCCGTACCGGCGTCAACACCAGCTCCCCAGCCAGTTGCTGACCAGAAACCCAAGCCAACAAAGAAGAAAGCCGATGTGACGCAGACTTTCCAAATTACTCCCGAGCTGTCACGCTCTTCCGCCACCCCTGTCCAACATCTCGCTGTGAACCAGCTTCAATCACAGCCGCGGCACGCTACCTCCCCCTCACCCCGTATAAGCGCGCCTTCGCCGCTCCCGTCTGTACAGTCACCTGCGTTCACGCAATCACCACGCCCTCGATCATCGCAAGCACCACAATCCTCACCTCTCGCAGCTGGCTCACAACTCCCCCAAATACAACGCCCTCCAACCGTCGTCCATCAATTCTTACCAATTGCTTCGCCGCAAAGTTCTCATTCTCAACCTAAAGCTGCTACGCCCCAAGTGGCTTATCCATCTCAGCCGACGCCTTCTCCTGCACAAGCCGGGCAACAAGCTGGCGCAGCGCAGCTGGCTCCTGGACAACATCTGATGCAGCAGCATGCTCAAGCTCAAGGGATATATCAGCTTCAGATGCAACAATCTCGATTGATTCAGGCTCAGGCGCAGGCTCAGGCCTCAGGTGCAGGCGCAGGCGCAGGCTCACGCTCAAGCGCAGGCTCAAGCTCATCACGCACAAGCTCATCAGGCCCAGGCCCAAGCTCATCAGACCCAAACTCATCAGGCCCACCACGCACAGGTGCAGGCTCAAGCACAGGCTCAAGCTCAGGCTCAGGCTCAAGCTCAGGCTCAAGCTCAGGCTCAGGCTCAAGCTCAAGCTCAAGCTCAAGCTCAAGCTCAAGCTCAAGCTCAAGCTCAGGCTCAGGCTCAAGCTCAAGCACAGGCTCAAGCACAGGCTCAAGCTCAAGCTCAGGCTCAGGCTCAAGCTCAAGCTCAAGCTCAGGCTCAGGCTCAGGCTCACCACGCACAAGCTCAGGCTCAAGCTCACCACGCACAGGTGCAGGTTCAGGCTCAAACCCAGCCACAAGCCCACGTGCAAGCCGAGCGTATGACACCGCAGAATTCACAATCGCGAAGCCCCTTGCCCGGACATCCTACAGCTCGAAACAGCCCGATGCTCCAGAGCCAAGCCAGAGGCTCTCCCATGCTCCAAAGCCAGGCCAGAGGGTCGCCCATGCCCAATTCCAACCCGCTCCCACCTCAACCTACACAACCTGCACAACACCCGGGCATGGCGCAGCAGCAGTACAACTTTGCACCAATGCAGTACAGGCCGGCTGGGCAGGACCAGCAACAGCACCCAATAATGATACCACAGTACCAGATGTATCCGTATCACATGAGCTATCCCATGCCTGGACGACTGCAGCCGAACTATCCTCAGTGGAGTGCTGGACGGGGAATGCCAAATCAGGCCCAGGTGAATGGGCAGGCAGCGGTGGGGATGCAGCAGCAGCAACTACAGATGCAAATGATGCAGATGCAAATGCAGCAGATGGCAGCTGTAAAGCCTACACAGGGAACAGGACGGTAGTATGGCACTTTTGTATTATTATTCGTGTTTCTAATGATGTGCTACTACGGTTTTGTGGGGATTGTTTGTGCTGTGTGATTATAGAAGACGGACTACAGTAGGCTTATTCTATGTCTATGATACAATTTTTATCAGTGATCATCTGGATCTGGAATTTAATCAATGTCATGTATACGATCGCGCGTGCCTCATGAAAGTTATTAGGAGACATAGACGCCGTCAAGATTATGAATGAAACCGCGTGAAATCCTTGCAACTACAATATCTCTAGTGTCCTGACGTCCATCATGTCATGAATAGAAGCCACGTCCCTGACTTGCGCGATGATATTGTAATCCTGACGCAATTCTTTTATACACCCCACCACGCTGCTGTGCTAACAAAAGCGCGCCAAAACGCTGTCCAAGGCGAACGATCAACCTCAACGCTCGCGAGTGAAACTCCAAATCAACCGGTTCATCTTCTCCATGAGATCCGCTGAGCAATGTGTTTGATGGAGACTCAGGCTCCGACCAATCATCGTCCGCATTCTGCACCTCGTCTGAAAGGTCAGACAGTTCAAGGTCATACCGACTCCACGGACGGACGAGCAAGAATGGCTGTCGAGTAGACCTTGCCCGCGAGAACTGAACCAGCTTATCTTCTGTGGTGATTAACATGTCTTGAAGACCGTCTGCCTTGACTTCGTATGACTCCCCGTCTTGACTACGCCTCCGTCTGACCGCTGTGACAGGAAATGCGATGCAAGGCAGATGTAGCCTGCGGTTCGCGAAACGAGGTGTGTTCAGGTTGTCGAGCCGGGCATATAGTGTCGAAGCAAGCCTCACAAGGATGACATCTCGCAACGACGAGATTGATGTCTGCATCTGATCTTCGGATGGAGATGGTGGGGTGTATGGTGGGCTTTTGTACGATGTAATGTCGGCTGGCAGACAGCTATTAAATTCGGATGATCTTCCGACCCAGTTCAGGGTAGTGATGTCTCCCGACTGAGCGACGATCTCTTGCAAGAGCCGGCCGAGAGCGTTTTGTTTTGTCTCGCCGTAGATTACAGGTAGATGGATGCCGAAGATGCCAAACAATGAGTATGCGATGTCTTCTTGCAACGTCGTAACACGTGTCGATGCCCAGCGCAGTTTCTCTCGTGCACCTGACATACCTGGACGGAAGGCGACGAGGGCTTCTGCATCTATGCCCGTCGCCTCCTCCAACTCCTGCATAATAGCGACCGACTCCTTGTGGTTGGGGGAACGATCATCGAGATATGGTGTCCAATCTGCTTGGTAGAATAGAACGACGTTGGGAGCGAGGAACTCCTGAATGGTCCATCCCCGTGTGTTCCAAGTGCTGTTTGCGAGTGCGCCAGACTTCGACGAAGGCGGAACATCTGACAAGTAGATGATGGTAAGAGCTGAGTGGCGATACCAGACAAACATGGAGTTGACCGATCGTTGAACCTCAACATGATTATTCTGGTCGATACAGCACGTGTCGCTCCACGCCCAGCGATGACCCATATCACGGGCAGTTTTACAGAATGTCTGCAACTTCACCATGGTTCCGACTGGATCCAAATCGTATATGGCCTTGTCCTGAATGTCGTGCAGCAGCGGCTCATTGCTTTCCCACCTATGCGACAACATGACCCAAGTGAAGTACTTCGCGACCACTTCTTCGATGGGCCCCGTCTGAAGGGGTACATGCATCATCGAGGATGATAAAATCTCTTTGTACTCTGTGCTTTTCATGAAGGCATTGATTTGTGCCTCTCGATTGCATAAATGACCAGTGGATGTGTCGAGTAGACGAAGTGGGGCATTTCCTAGCCGAGCTTGGATGAATTGTCGAGTAGTGTTGTCTACTTCAGATGGACTGACATACTTCTGGCGCAGCTCTGGAAAAAGGGTTAATCATATTCACGTTGACGCATAAATAGTATGGGGTTTACTTCGTATCTGCGGGTCGGGTGCATCATCTAACTTGGAGAGCATGATGTTAAAGGCCTCGATTGCTTCATCATAGCGTCGAACGTTGTAAAGTGCTGCATGCTTCAGTTCGTACCCAAGATACGACGAAGGGTTGAGTTCAATGGCCTGCGCATCAATAGCATCAGCATAATTACAAATTATGGATATCATCTGCACCTTTTCTGCGTCATGGAGGGCCTCGGCATAGAGATTTCGTTCTGAATTTGCCTTACTGCGGCGCACAAAAAGGGACTCGCATGAGGAGTCAAGCTTGATACCTAATGAATACAATTCAACGGCTGTCTCATAATTGCTCGCAGCCACGGTCTCGTCTCCCTTCGAGACACAGCGCGCAGTGCAGTTTTTTTTGAAAGCTAAACGACGACCACAGAGTAAGTCCTTGTTCAAGTTCGAATAAGACTCTTTAAAGTACTCACAAGTGGTCCATTCAAGGTAGCTGTCCTCTGCAACTTCGTCAATCATGCTCATCATATATTGATAAGATTCGACGGCTTCGGCCACCTGATCTGCGCGAAGGAACGCGTTGCACCGTAATTTATTCGCAGTTTGCCATAGGGAGTCAAAAGTCCCAGCCGAAGAGCTGTTCATTACATTATTAGCCAGTAGAAGTCAGCGCTGTGGCTTCGTAGCGACGCACCATCGTGAATATCTCCAATCCAGGGTCAACAAGTGTTTTGCTAGACAATAAGTCTGTTATGCTGGGAATACCATCGTTAAGTCCAACAACAGCTTCGCTGTACCGCTCGTCTTCGAAAGCAATCTTTGCAAGCTCCACGCGTAGATACAACTGTCAGTGTGTTCAAGAGTGAGAAACTCGTAGGTCTGCCACAAAGCTCACGTTGATGCTGCTGCAAGGAAGTGCATCTGAGTGCTGAGCGAGGTCTTGAACTCGCCGCATTGCCTCATCGTGGTGGTTCGCGTTGAAAAGCGAGATAGCCTGTGAAAATGAAAAAAAGAGTCTTAGCGTGACAAACCGATGATCAAAAACAGTGTCGAGAGTACCTTGATCAATAGTAAAAGATCAATTACTACTGGATCGCGATTCGAAATTACGAAAGCGAGATCAAAAGCTTCCATGGCATCCCAAAGTTGCTGTTTGCCACAGAGGGCAATACTCTTGGAAATGTAGCCTGATAACGAGGGCTGAACTGCAATGGACTGTCACCAAGCAGAGTCAACGTCACTAGTGTCATGATAGGCAGAGCGTTTTACCTTGATTGCGTCTTGAAGCGCATTGTCCCACTCGAGGTTTCGCGCCCTCACAATTGAGCGATTGGCATAGGAGTTGTGATTGTTGGCATCCGCGTTGATCTCTTGGGTCAGTAGGTCCACAACAGTATGCAGGTCTCCAGCAACGAATGCATTGCGGACCGTCGTGTTCATAACAAAGATCTGCATGAAGCAAGGTCATGCTCCGTGATAGAGGTGAAACAGTAATGGATTAGAGCATACCTGTGTGTCACTGCGAAAAAGGAATTGCCGTCGCTGCGCTTCTTTACCCTCCGTTATCCTTTCTTCCTTGCCTTGCTCGAGTATGTCTTTGATAGACTGGAGCCAAACCTTTCCTGGGTCATCTCCACTGACAGGCAATTCTGCTTTGGAAGAAATTGCGACAGATTCAACCCCTGTGGTAGGTTCGGGTGGCTGTCCCTTTGTGGTCCGAGTCCATAGCTGCACGATCTTGTCGTCCGAGGTGGTAATGAAAGACCCATCAGACGATATGATGATCGAGTCAATGGGGCGAGTGTAACCAGCGCGAAGTTCGCCAATCTGGTCTCCATTCAACGAGTTCCAGAATTTGACTTTTTTGTTGTCCGATGAGACAGAGACAAGTTGTTGGCCATCAGGTGACCACGTGATGCTTTGAATTCGAGTATTGATCTGGAGAAGAAGCTCGGTGTTATCGGTGCACCACACCCGGATGGCATCCAACGATCCGCAGGCTAATTTTAGCCCATCTGGGCTGAATGCCAAGTTGTACACCGAATAAGAATGATCATTGAGTGTTGCGAGGACGGTGCCAGTCTCCACATCCCATACAATAGCTGTTTTATTGCTGGACCCACCGGCGAGTCTCTTGCCATCGGGGGAGAAGCACACCGAATACACCCAGTTTATGTGATTCACCAGCCGACTGAATACCATCCGATTGCTTTCGACGTCCCAGATGATGACAGTCTCATATCCTCCGCTGGCAATTCGCCTCTCATCTGGCGATATGGCGACCGAAAACACACCGTTTGTTTGGTGTCCCTGGGACCCGAATGGCCCTCCTAGCAATGCCCCATTCTGCAGATCCCAAATTCGCGGGACACCGTCTTTTGCAGCAGTGATGACCCGTCGACAATCTTTGAAGAACGCAAATGCCAACATTGAGTTCTTGTGTCCTCGCATCGTCCGTGCTGGCCCTAGTTGACTTCTCACATTAAGGCAGACATTTTGTGTGACATCAAGGACCCCTAACATGTTTGCGCTGGTCTAGACAGAGAAATAGGTAGTCAGTAGGATTTGAAGTTGACGAGGAGCGTACGTTGGCCAGGAAGTTGTGGATCTTGTGTGTTGAGTAGTGTTGGATTTCTGCCCATAACCCATCCAGTGCTTATCTAGGGTTATTGCTGGCTTCCTATCACGCTGCTGCGGCATGGATCTCATTTGCTTCTTCCATCATGTGCACTGCCTCTCTTCATAGACGCCCGTCATATACCAGTAACCCCTACATTATGTGCACAGCAGTGAATATGCATGGCAATTCTGCAACCAAATACATCCTGTACGCAGCACGTTTCGCATTATCCTTTGTAGCGTTTGCTACGAGATCAACGAGGCCTAAAACGATCGCTAGAGGCTAATGTCGTCGGCAATGTTATATGAGCATGTGCGTTTCAAGCAGTGATTTCATCGTCGACATCAGCATCATCTGCGATGGCTATAGATGGCATGTTGATAGTTTTCCCCTCTCCGCTGGCCTTGACGAGAGGGAATCGGTGTTGGTAAACCTATTCGATAGAAAAGCGCCTTCAAGATTTCAATTCTCGACTCTGGAGTGCAAGATGAAACACCACCAGCGATAGATTTTTTAACTGATTGATCAATTATTCAATATTTGGAGACTGTGACTCCTACGTAAGTGCTTAGTGTTTGACCACTAACACATTCCCAGCGACGTCGTCTACATTCGACGTGATTCCTGTAATCTCGTGAATCAAAGATTTGGTGGGCGTGTACCAAATGGATGTTTCCGAAAGAACGTGTACCCACGGACATGTCCGTAATGAGATTGTACGATTTACGAAACCGCCCTGTCGATGACACGAAGTGATCTGGTCCAAGCTGATTGACTCAGTGCCACAGTGGGTCACTTGGAGTTGCGAGATGTCGGTCACTGTCTCCACACTGTCCTGGAGTAGGACTGACACTACGTGCGGAGTTCTCGCACTACTGAGAGTCGTATTATTGCAGCAAGTAGCGACAATGCGACGTGGGCGTAGTTACAGAATCAGTGCAGACGTTGTTATAGCCTGGCTGCTGGGGACAGAAAACCACTTGATTGGAAGCATCACTGAGGCGACATTGACGAGTTAGCAGGGAGCGAGAAAACTTGGAGTGTAACCAGAGACGTTGGTGGAAGTGTTGAAGCATGTTTGTGCGACTCATGTGGAAAAGAGTGGGCAAGCGAGCGGGGAATGTCGGCGTCGCGGTTATAGTGAGACTGCCAGGGTCACCTAGTAGACGTAAAGTCGTCGTAAGGAACTGACTCTAATTACGTGGGAGCCGGTTCGAAAGATAAGATAAGATTCAACAAAGTTCATTTTTTAATCGATGATCGATGACTGGATCAAAGTTAGTCTCATACCACCATCGCGATGTCCCAACCTATTGGTATGATAAAACTTACACTCACATAGATGTCATTTAACAGCCCACAAAAGCTCTGTTGTCAGTCTACGACAAGACTGATCTCCTTGATCTTGCACAGGGACTTCACAGTGTTGGAATCCGTCTCCTTGGTTCGGGAGGTACCGCGAAGAAAATCAGGGAGGCTGGAATACCAATCGAGTGAGTACTGCGTGCTTCTTCACCTGTTTCATTGATCTGGGGCGTCCTAGGGATGTTTTTGATATTACCAAGGCACCTGAGATCCTCGGAGGTAGGGTAAAGACGCTTCATCCTGCCGTTCATGGCGGTAAGATATTTACGTTGTACACAAAGTGTGCAACTTTTGACTAATGTGGCACAACTAGGCATACTTGCACGCTCTATCCCTTCCGACGAACAAGACCTCAAGGCTCAAAACATCTCCCCCATCTCCATCGTTGTCTGCAACCTCTACCCTTTCGCATCAACCATCTCAAAACCGACCTGCACACTCGCAGATGCTGTCGAAGAGATCGACATTGGTGGTGTTACCTTGCTTCGCGCGGCCGCCAAGAACCACGAGCGTGTTTCCGTCCTCTCGGATCCTACTGACTACCGCGCGTTCTTGCAGGCGTTCCAGCAGGGCCAGGGCAATGTCGGACAGACGCTCCGCAACAGGCTTGCACTGAAGGCGTTTGAGATGACTGCGAAGTATGATGACGCGATTAGCGGGTATTTCCGCGAGCAGTATGCATCGACGCCCGAGAGCGGACCAGTCCAGCGCATGGTGCTTAGGTACGGCGCTAATCCCCACCAAAAGCCAGCCCAGACTTTCGTGGCTGAGGGCGAATTGCCATTCAAAGGTGCGATCTCTAATTTTAGCTTATAGACGTTTTGTTGACTTTGAATGGTATAGTCCTCAGCGGGTCCCCAGGCTACATCAATTTATTAGATGCCCTTAATTCTTACGCGCTCGTAAAAGAGCTTCAAGAGGCCTTGAACCTCCCTGCTGCCGCTTCCTTCAAACACGTCTCCCCTGCTGGTGCAGCTGTGGGTTTAGAACTTGACGAAACAGAGAAGCACGTGTACGGCGTCGAAGATCTTAAAGAGCCCCTGACGCCTCTAGCTTGTGCATACGCTCGCGCTCGAGGTGTGTCATTCGATAAACTTGGACTCCGTATGCAACCAAAGATATTGTTTTATTTTAGGTGCCGACCGCATGTCGTCATTTGGAGACTTCATTGCACTCTCTGCGCCATGTGACCTTGCCACAGCACGCATCATCTCCAGGGAAGTATCCGACGGCATCATTGCGCCAGGCTACAGCCCCGAGGCACTGGAAGTTCTCAAAAAGAAAAAGGCGGGAAAGTACTGCGTCCTGGAGGTGCGTTCGCTCGATTACACAGCTCTACCGCGTTTGCTAACGCTACCAAAAAGATGGACCCGTCATACAAGCCCTCAGACATCGAGACGCGTCAAGTATACGGCGTCAGCCTCCAGCAGCGCCGAAACGACATCAAAATTGATGCCAAGCTGTTCGAAAACCTCGTCACCAAGAACAAAGATGTACGTCCTTATTCTCTCCGTAACACACAATCATAACTGTTCCATAGGTCCCAACGCAAGCGCTGACAGACCTCATCGTCGCGACCCTTGCGGTTAAGTACACGCAGTCTAACAGCGTCTCGTACGCCAAGAACGGCTCTATCATCGGTCTGGGCGCCGGACAGCAGTCGCGCATCCACTGCACGCGGCTCGCAGGATCCAAAGCGGACAACTGGTGGTTACGGCACCACCCGCGCGTCCTCGCGCTCCCATTCAAAAAAGGCGTTAAGCGCGCAGAGAAAGCGAACGCGATCGACCTCTTTGTGAGCGGGGAGGTACTTGAGGGCGGCGAGCGTGCCCAGTGGGAGGGGCAATTCGAGGAGGTGCCCGCACCGCTCAGCGAGTCGGAAAAGAAAGAGTGGGCGGTGAAGTTAGACGGGGTTGCGTGTTCGAGTGACGCGTTTTTCCCATTTGCGGATAATGTACACCGGGCTAGGAAGAGCGGAGTGAGGTACCTCGCTGCCCCTAGCGGAAGTGTGATGGACGAGGAGTGTATCAAGGCCGCAGATGAGCATGAGATGGTGTTTGCACACACCTCGCTCAGGCTCTTCCACCACTGAGGATGAGGGCTTCCGTAAAAATATAACAACAGTAAAAGTGCTTGTATATCATTATCATTGTATTTGAGGTTGAATTGTACCTCCTGCAACACCCTGAACATGCAGCTCACAGGTGCGCCAGGAAGAACTCTACGCTAGCCAGGAATGATCCCTCTTTCCCAGCCTTGACCAGTGGGTCGCTCAAATCACCACGGACAGCAAACCCATGCGTGCATCCAGGAAAGTATTCGCGCCTGTATCCTGGAGCAAACTTCCCATCGCCAAAAATCTCATCGGCCTTTGCCTGAACTTCTGCAGAGAACATTATATCGTTCTCGCATGAGTTAATCAGGAGAGGCGCTGCTGATTTGGAAAAGTATGTCTAGAAGAACGAATTCAGCGAGAGAGCGCTATACAACTATGAGGATGATATGGGTTACCTCGAGGTCGGCTGGGATATTCAAAAGCGAGGGGTGGGAGACGACAGCGCATTGGATAACGTTGTCGAATGCGAGGTCAAAGGTTGTAACGACCTGCGGTGCATATTAAGTTAAGAGGAAGAAATGACTGAATAGAGGGGACGTACCGCCGAAGCAGTAACCCGTGGCTCCAAACTTGGTAACGCCTTCCTCTTTGAGCGCAGCGATGACCTTGTCGAGTGGAGGGCGAGTGACCTCGGCGCTATGGCGGCAAGCCATCCGTAGAAATCGAATGATTTAACCTAGGAAGTGAAAATGGACGAAGACATGGGTCAGGAACTCGGGATACTTATTAATGAAGGCATCAGCCAATGATGAACTGACGTTCAAGGTCTGACTCTTATCAGCGGGAACACAATCGCCGTTTAAATAGTCGATCGCGACGACCTGTATCATAACGTCAATATCGTATCCTGGACTTATACGTACTATGGTTTGTGCAAACCTTGAAGCCGTTTTTGGCAAAGTCATCAGCCAGGAGCTGTTGTAGGTGTGTGTTTCTTTTAGTAAATGTGAGGTATTATATCACAAGGATGGGGGGTACCTGAGCATTGATGAGCTCGATACCGAAGGCGTCCGGTAGGAGGAGGATGACTTTGTCCTTGGCATAATCGACGGTAGGGGTGGCGACGTAGCAAGCGACACCGTCGATGGTCTCGAGTGTTCCTAGCGAAGCCACTGATGAACACTGCGATATGGCAAGTTGGAAAAGTGCTTACCTGAAGGTTCACCCTCGTGACGTACGCCTGTTCACTATGAGTGCTCAATGTAGACGAGGATGGTATACAACGCACCTTGGATACAATCCTTGCAGAAGCTCATACTTGGGGATGGTTAGAAGAGGGTCGAGAGTGATTAGAGGGATGCTCCGTTATATATACAGCTCATCGCAAAGTTGTCCAGGTTGATAAAATCAACTGATGACGAAGTGTGATATATTGTGAGTATTCAAACTTTGTCATCGAATCGGAAAGTGACACCCGAGATGAACACTATTTCACCTGCATGACGCGCACATACGCTCCGACTCGGATATTGCTGGCATGGCTAACGACGTGGCTACAACTGCGGCATGTCATACGACGATCTTAGTTTTGCATTTGAGATTGGATATTGGCTTTGGATTGATCGTACCATACACAGAGACTCTAACGTTGCAACGACAAGACTTCTCACAGGTACTCCAGGAAGAACTCCACAGTAGCCTTGAACGATCCCTCTTTCCCAGCTTTGACCAGCGGGTCTTTGATATCCCCACGTACAGCAAACCCGTGCGTGCAACCAGGGAAATAAGTATCTAGGATTCTAAATTCTCCGGGAAGTCACCCAATGATATAATATCTTATATACAGCTCGTACAAAAGATGAACACTGTCATCGGCATGGAGATGCATACGCTGCAGTATTGCAGTATTGCTGGCATGCTCCCACGGGTGACCAGCGATGTGCTACGATTGCACACGTCAGGTTACAATTTTACGTAGATTACATGTTGTAAGCGGTCCCATGGAGTTGCTTCTATTGACCGCCGAAGTTGCGCAGCTTGAAGACGTTCACCAGTGCCCAAATCACCATGGAATAGGACAACATGTTGCGAGATGTCGGGGCCATCGAAGTTGGTATCTGCTGGGTCATGGACACCACCTTGTGCAAGTAATGACACAATGGATTGTATGTTTCCAGTAACAGTTGAATTATTGATGTCCATGGCTCGTGCAGTGATCAGTGGGGTTTGTACTAATGGTATTATATCGATAGATTCCGGGTCAGGAATCTTTGACTGAAAACACCGAAAATACACTGGTCCGTGGTTACACAGGTCTGATAAGAAGACCCAGGCATTAAATCGGTCATGGCGAGAAAGCAAAAGCCCAGTAGGAGTGCTCTGAGGCATTGCTTCTGGGTGACAAAAGATCTTTCCATGACCATTTGGGCAGTAAGTTATCTGCATCAGGATTAAGCGCAGACTGCCTCCACAGTGCCTCGGAGCATTTCAAGTCATTGGGAGTGATACTGTGTTGCAGAGGGAATAGTAAACCGGAGGTGAGATGTTTTAATGTATTGGATTTCTTGGCTAAGGGAACTTGAGATTTCAGATCGACGTCGAAGTTGTCATATGCGTAACATGCAAGCATTGACTGCCCAAGTGCATGTAAGGTGTTTTGTGACTCTGCTGACAATGATCAAATGGTGGCATTGATTGAATTGCATGATACTGATATTCCAATGCGAGACAGGGTATCAATCACTTTTTGCGGCGCATGGACAGACTGTAGAAAATGCCGAGTGTGCTCTGCAATGCATTTGACTTTTGGTTCGTGCTTTGCATCAATATACTAAGAATGACAACCTGCTTCTGATTTACTGCGATATTAGGCAGATCAAGATGCAACAAGAGTGATACACGCACGATAGCAATAATTGCTGCATGTCATGCATGCGGTTTATCTGCAAGCGCTATGCTGCCGGATGCTGAGTTAAGTCCTTCAATAAAGCCCTCAAGGTCGATAGCTTCAACTGCATCCCAATAGCTATCATCAACAGCAGTGCTCGTAGAGTCGACAGCAAGCTCTCCTCTCATTTAGTGCTGCCGTGGTCCGGTCCTGAACCATGGTTCGAACTGGACTTTTGGTCCGGTTCCCCTGTGGTTCAGTTCACGGTCCAGGTGTCAGCCAGAACCGGACCATAGTACGGTTCTCGGTTCTGGCGTTGGGCGAACGGTTCGACTTTGGTTTGGACGGGTCCCGAACTGATATGATGTGAAAATACTTGTTCAGAGGCAATGCTGGACCTTATATATCTATTCTACATTCTATTCTATATATTACATGTATTAAGCACGAGATACCGGCGGCTCGGGGGCTATTGTGTCCACCACGTCATGCTGTGTTGTTGTGTTCTGTCGCCTCTTAATGTTCATGTTCTGTTTTTTTACGGCTCTTTGCTCAGTAGTGACTATGTGGACCTCTGCTTCATTTCACGGTGTTGTTGGACCACAAACTTCGATGACACCATTGACATCCTCTTCCCAGCAATTTTTGAAGACACTGAAAGCTGTCTTGATCGTGCATTCCTTTCCCCTCTCAACATCTATGTTGATGGATTTTAATTCTAGTCAACTTACCAGGTGATTTTTGTAAGTATCACAAGTGATATAAATCACACATTTCACTGACGAAGCCATGTAGGATCTTATTTTAGTTCAGACAGCCTGAAAGAACCTGAGCAGACTTGATTGAATGCACCAGAATACACACTCAACTATCTCACAATGTTAACCCATCCTGGAGTATGTAACCTCTTGGTAGAAATGGGATTGGTCATAAATGCGCGTGTGCACATCGTTGTGCTGCATTGCCGCTTCCTCAACCAATCTCTAACTTCTCAATACATTTGAAAGCCACTGCATCCCCCACATTCCACACAAACTGTTCGCCATGGACGGTGAACCAAAGACAGTTTCCTCTGCGACCTGCATATGCAGCTACATTAAATGGATGTCAAGGTTTGACGCTAACGCAAACCGTGCTCGATATATCAAGCATGGATGCCATCATTCAAGTTACGTACATCCAACACCATCTGCACCAGCACTCTACTCACTTGTGTCGTCCAACATGACGTTCATGTACTCCCTCGACACCTAGTTTATCAATGCTCAATGCATTACAAACCCATATTCGAAGTTCTCCAATTCCAACTCGACATCCAGTTTCTCAATATCATCAATATATTGATCACTTCTCTCCCAACTGGCTGTTTGTTCCTCAAGCTTGTCAGCAACCTTCATCTATCTATTTACCATTGCATCCATCCGATCACGCCATTGCTTACATATGAACCACGAAACTGGAGCCATAATACATTCATCAACTCTGTTCACATCACTTGTGATTGACGAGGACTCGACCAAAAAAATTCACTGACTACTAGACATTTTAGGGTTCGGTTTGCGTTCGAACCCAAAAAACAACCAAACCTGACTGCTCCGAACAGTTCGCAAAGGTTCAGTCCAGGGTTCGTCGACTCTGGTAGAACCGGACCCAGGTTCGGTTCTCGGTTCTTGCTTAACCCCCATTGAACCGGACTGAACCAGACCGCGGCAGCACTACTCTCATTATGGTATCCCCATCAGTATCCTCCAAGTTGGTCTCAAGTGCAGGTCGGCCGCGGTTGGTGCCTAGAAGGAACCCCAGCAAATCCCACAGAGCAGGAGCGCATGATGCCATGTCAATGGCCATTTCATCAACTGAGAATGCCTCGAGTTGCTTCGTAGTGGCATGCAATGCTCCAAAGTGCCAACCTCCTTCTTCAGATGAGAGAAGTATGATTTCATCCATGTATTGTTGTCTAAGCATTGATTTTGCCCTTGGCAGTGACTTCACCTCTATCAGAAGAGAGTATCCAACAAAGGCACTGAATGTGTCATTGAAGCGCATGAATAGATCTTCGACGATAAGATGACCCTCATAATGCTGGCTTTCAAGGATCGATATGATAAATTGAGATGCAGCTGAGGTTACATTCTTGTAGTGTTCTGATGATGATATTGAGATGATGCATGGTTGTCATGGTCAGACAAATGTCTATTAGATGAGCTGTGCTATGGTTATCTTGATCTAGTAGTAGCTGCAGTTGTACAATGCAGGACAAATTATTATTATAATACCTAACCCTGGGTTAGGTTTACGGTACTGTTTTCGAGTTGACGCAGTCACTGTCACTGTGGCTGGCGCTTGTTTACAAATGTTTTATTCCAGCCGTCGCTGAGAGTGTGAGGGAGGTTAAGGTTATGCTGGGTTTGAATTATTCACGTGATTTCAGATAGTACCGCATCCCTAGTATGCCGCCTCACAAACTTGAAGCATTTCGGATGGGAAGGAGCCTGAGTAACTAGCTGCTTGGAAAGAATTTGTCCAAAAATTCTTAAATGGACATTGGACCCATTGTAAAAGGTAGTGACTCTTTTCCAAGGCCATTGATTGTATTGATATGATAGTGTGCATTAGTAGAGAATGGAATCATGGTAGACGAGCCACATTTAATTGGGGTTTCATAACCACTGTCTTCAACATCAGTGATCAGTTGAGGATCTCCAGGTTCAGGAGGGACTGAAGACAAAGTGCTAGACTTAGACTCAGAGAGTGCTGGCAGTACGTAGGGTTGTACAGGTGAGTCAGCAATATGGGTAATAACATCAACAATAGCATTCTGTGGGCTGGTGCTGGCCATGGTCATAGCATACTACTAAGCCACTTCAAAGGCACAGCTGCAGGAATAACCATAATTTGGTATCCAAGTCTCAGCTAAAGCTGCTGGTCAAGCTGTGGGAAAGCTGAGCCAAGTCAGAAGCTACAGCAACACTACCACCACCTTCGCAATCAAAGACTCAAGAGTATGTGTTGAGAACCACAACAAATGACAACATTAAAGTTGCATGGAATGCATACCTAGAGCAGCTCGGGTTTGGCCTGCATGATCTTGATAACCAGGCAATTCCTTGCATCAGCGATCAACCAACAAACTTCTGAGTTCATAGTGCCCAGCTTTTGTGTTCAGATGACATCAGCTTGTTAAATCATATGGAGAACTTTCAACTTGCACCTGGCTTCTTCCATGTCCAACTCAATCTTATCCAAGTCCGGGCTATTCTGCATATGCATCATGGTTTGATAGAAGACACTGGAGGCATGCAGTACTACATCTTATTGCTTGGCAGGGTCAGACTGGGTTCTTGTTAAGGTCGTTGTGAAAAACACAACCTGACTAGGCACTTGTAAAGGTACTAAGCCAGTATATGTCTAAGCTCTGCCTATGCTGCTATACTTGCTAACAATAAAGCAAGAATGTTTGACCCGAGGGAAAAGCTACTAAGGACAACTTATGATAAAAGACCTGAAAGTGCGCTATAGCACGGGACAGCGCGTCGCAAGATACAGCGCTAGTGCGCAGGAAAGTATGTCGCAACTATAGAGCGCTATGGCATGAGAAAAGCGGAAGTGCGGGTCGGTAGATGGTCGCTATCGGGTCGCTAATGTGTCGGTAGTGGAGCGCTAGTGCGCGGGAAAAGCGGTGTGAAAGAGAGATAGCGACTAGGCTTGTTAGAAACTAGTGCTACTTATCCAAATAGGCACGAGTGTAGTATTCGACCCAAGAGGACTGCTATTGAAGCAACTCTCTTCAAATATGCAAGGGTAGCGATAGCGCGAAGGACTAACAACCTATAGCGACCTAAGACCAAAAAAAACAATGAGTAGCACTGTAGCGATCAGCGACTAGTGACAAGTGAGTTCCAACAGAGAAACATGCGTATAAGTGAGAAGCGCTATGCAAGTTGTCCTATGCGATAGCACTATGCGATGTCTGACTAGCATCAGCGAGAAGAAATCAAAAGAAGGGAAAGCGAGGAATAAGGTAAGATAGTGCAAGTGGAATGCCCGATAGCGACTAGATTATAGCTTGACTACCGATAGCGACCCCGACGTTGCGAAAATCAAACTTATGAGGGAACTTTAGCGACGCGCACTCAAAGCAAGTCAAGCGACGTGCGATCAGAGAGATTGGCAAGAGTGGAATCGATTGCATCAAAACTAGGATATAGCAACTAAAGTGACTCCAATACCAGCTAAGGTTCAGGGAAGGGAAGTACTGTACTGTATGTAGGACGGGTCATTTTATCATACTGCATAGGGGTTTCGGGATTGCGTAGGCGAGTATAGTAGCGACACTGGCAAGGGCACGATGTAGCGACAGGTAATAGAACATGCAGCGCTGCGGAACATGAGGACACAGGTAATAAGACCTGCGACTGATGAGTAGCGACATTTCAGGAAATATAATGCACCAGCGGAGGTAGGTGGGTGTCACAAATTCCAAATACAAATCATTATTCTTTCCTAAACACTCGTTAAGTGCCCGTCACAAGCGCCTGTCGTTAGCACTCAGTCAGTGTCTGTACCTATGACCTTCACAAACCCTAACCCAAACCCATCCTTTACATATCCAAACTTCTCTATTCCGTTAGCGCCCACTACTGTTATCTCCGACATCTCCGATTTCGACTTTCTTTCACAAGCGATCAAGTCACGTGACTCTAGAACCTTCGAGAACCCTTGCACAGCTGTTACACGTTTCATGACATCATAGTGTAGTTATATTTAGATCATCGTACGATTTCCTTTTCTATTTAATGATTGGCTAGTTAGTTCAGACTCAGATTCAGTTTCCGCTTCAATATATGTATATAGGTAGCTCGTTGTAGTCAGTAGTTCTTTAGTTCAAACCTCTTTTGTATTAGCTCACTGCTAGCAATCCTAAGACGTCCCTGCTCATTATACTCCTTTCTTGTTGTGATAACCTTGTTTGAGTCCTAGTCTCTGCCCCTGCGTTAATTCGTTAAAAGGGTTGTGACAGTGGGCATAGGCAGGACATGGGAGGGCAGAATTCCTAGGCATCGGACCGGGTAGCACGCTATGGGAGAAAAGTGGTTCCAAAGCGGATAGCTTGGGAGCTGAATAGCAGCTAGTGACTAGCGCCTTACTCTTTTCCTCTAGGCAAGTCAAAATATGCCTATGACACTCATACGTGCCTAGCGCTGGTATGATTATCACAGCGGGAGTCAAGAAAGCGGACACTGAGTCAAAGGAGGGTGCTGGATAGCGAGTGAGACCAAGGGTATTGATTGCAAGGGTAAGGAAAGTCAAGGTAAACCAATAGGGGCTATAGAGCGCAACTAAAGGTGACTACTTCTAAGTAAACCTAAGGAGAAGGAAATACAGTTGAAGGGAAGTAGTGTTGAAGTAGTCACCATAGGCTTCTTATACTAGTAAGCTATACCATCTTGGACTCGGATGGGATAGGATATACATGTAATAAGACTGTAGCACTTGTTACAAACTCGAGGCAAGGCAGATTACATACCAATGAGGTAGGATGGACCATGGATGGATTCCGACATTTCAGGTGGATCCTAGAGCACGAGAACAGCGCGCTGGATAAGCGCTAAGTGCAGGAACAAGTGCTAGATAGAGTGGACATGCACTAATGCTCCTATAGACACATTGCTGGTAGTTCCGACAGCGCTATAAGCGCGGGAGTATGAATAGCGCTGCGGGAATGTGCGCGCATAGTGCGGGAAAGTGCAGAATAGCATCGGACAAGGGTTATGGCTGAGACAAGTGAAGACTGCTGATAGGGGAGTAGTGAATAATATGAGGGATAACTTTGGTCTACCTATTGAAGGCTTATGCAGGTATACATGCCTAGTGCCAATATGATTGTCACATTGTGCTCTAGGATGATGGATTAGAAGGGTTTAGCATCAGCTTGTGCACTGTGCCCCTTTCCCAAGTACGTGCCCTTGATTTCCAGGGGCTAGATATGTTGCCTGCAGTTTCCGGGTTGATGCAGGATGGATTCCGAATGTCCAGATTATAGGACATGAGATAAATCCGGTGGATGTCCAGATGTAGTTAGGAGAAGTGAAATAGGCTGACCTGGATGAAGTCTAGACCAGAAGCTAACAGGAATAGACTGTCCTAAGGTAGATCTGGAGATGTGGTCTCAGGATACAATCCTTAGACCCAGAGTTGACAAGAGAATTCACTCAAGTCCAGAATACAGGAAAGAGCAGAACTAGATTGATATTTGAACTGAGGTAGTACAAAGTGTTACAGGGGCTTATACACTATATGTATCATAACAGAATGGTCAGTAAGCATAGTCCATGGTTATGTAAGGTAGCAGTCATGTGGATTCTACCTACCTCACATGATTGTGACCAAGTGTGATGCTGTGCAGGATAAATGCCTAAGCATGTGCCAAATGATGCCAAACCATTGTTGAAAACAAAGGTAAAAGTATGTATTGACTTGGTTATGTAGAATAGCCAGCTGTATATATAGTAATGCCAAAGTAAAGATTATGTATTGTGAATGTCTCACATGTCACTGAAAAGTTGTAAGAGAACTGACTCATTTGCAATACCTCCGAATCTTGTATAGTAGTCTCAAATGAAACTTCGACTGATTGCATTATTTCATGACTTGGAGCATGCAAAGTGGACCAGTCGTCAGGTACACAGATATCGGGCTGGACAGGACATATCTGCACCAGATAGTCCTTTTTTCAAATTACCTTCAGCAACTTCAGGGCTGAGAGTAGTGTTCAATTTTAAACTCACATTTTCCTTGTTACTGACATATTCTTTTGATTGTTTCACTTTCTTTGGATGCAGATTTGAAGTCCAGATACTGTGGGCTCATTTTTGTCACCCCATTGCCAGCCTGAGTGTGCCATGTGCTGCCAGCTTGCCAGGTCATGCTGCTGGATGCTGAACTAGTGGAGTTGCAGTACTTTACTCAATAATCAGCTTCATCCTAGTATTTACTCAATAACTCTCTCATATTTGCTCGCAGCACAATTCTGAAAACACTGTTTTGAACCTATCTATCCCCTTCAACATACAGCAACACAGTTTTCTTGTATGTTTAGTTGCTCAATAGATATTAGCTATTCACGATTTTGTCACAATTTCATCATGCTGGTCATGTGAGGTAGGTAGAATCCATGCAACTGCTACCTTACAACACATGTGGAAAGTTAATAGTAAGTATAACAGATCACAGGAAATGAGAATGGAGATTAGTACATAGGTAATGGATCAGTAATCAAACAGAAGACAAGGATAACCAAAGCCCAGAGTCAGGAGAATACCAAATGGGGAAAGATGCTGATTTACAGCTGTTACCAAGAATAATGAGATTTGTCATTTTTTTTCCAAGGCATGGAATTCCAAAATGGATTAGGAAATATGTCTTGTTCTTGTCGTTCATTGTGTAACAACATATTCTAGCCATGGGCAATCAGTAAAATTAGTGCTGATCTCAAAGAATGTGCGCTAAACCTCTGGAACACAGGCTGGGACATCGAGGATATTCGCAATGCTCTTGGAGTCTCTTGCGCTAGCATTTACCGCTGGGAAGCAATTTTTGCAGAGTATGGCGCTGTCAACCGTCCCCCTTCACCAATACGTGGCCAGCAGCTTTGTATCCTCACCCATGCTCTCATGACGGCCTGTGAGGCCTTGTTTACTGAAGAATTAGACCTCTACCTCGACGAAGTTGTGACATGGCTGGCTTTGACACACAACATCAGCATTTCTGTCTCTATACTGTGTCGCAACCTCAAGGAAGCAGGGCTCACATGGAAATTACTTCACAAGCTTGCTGCAGAGAGGGATGAAGAACAGCTGTCACGAATGGAAGGAGTTGATGCGAATAAACTTTGCTGGTGATGGGTCAGAATTTGTTTTTGTAGACGAAGTCAGCAAGAATGAGATAACATGGGCTCACCAGTATGGTAGGGCAATGGCAGGTCGACGGGCAGCATTGTCAGATGTTTTTGTCCGTGGAGATCGTTATTCACTTGTTGCAGCAATTACAACGGAAGGCTACATGGCAGCTCATGTAGTTGAGGGCTCATTTGACGGTGAAACTTTTTATGAGTTTATTGCAACCAAAGTGGTAAGTGCTAATACACATTTCTTCACAACGGTATTTCATCTTGGTTCCTAGCTTCCGTACATGAACCCATTTTTTGTGGAGAGGTCCGTGCTTGTGCTCGACAACTGCCGCATACACCACAACGAAGAACTGTATGATCTTGTCCATGATGCTAGGTGGGTTATTAGTACTCGACATTGATGATTTCTGAGATGCGACTTTCATTTCTATAAGGTTGTCTCCTCCTCTACCTTCCACCCTACTCCCCCGACTTGAATCCCATAGAGGAATCTTTCAGTGCGCGTATGTGATTTACTGCATCTCAGATGTTGAGACTAATAGTTAGCTAGTCAAGGCATATCTCCGATGGCATGCTCATCGTCTTCATGATGACGATGACCCAATTGGTGTACTCATCGAGGCATGTGCATGTATCACACCAGAGATGTGCAAAGGATGGTTCCATCACTCTGGTTGTATCATCGAGTAGCAACAGCATGATAGTATTTCGGTCTCAAGACTCCTGCAACTAATAATACAAACATTTTTGAGAGAGACAATGAGCCTGGCAAACAGTGAATGACAGCAATAGACAACGAGCAAGAAAAGCACAAAATAGTGACCATGATGGGTAATAATGTCTAAGGTGAAAGCCATGTACCTGCGATTATTGTGTCACAAAACTTGCGGTGATGAGAAAGAAATGTACGCCAACTAAGCAGAGTGAATCCAACAGACTGCCAATCACCCATTGTCAGGCTTTCAACAATCCGGTTGCCAGGATTGTACCCAAGCTTAGAAAGCTTCTCTGAATCGGAAGCAGACACAACAAATTTGGCACAGAAGGCCTCCAATGTGACGGAGCACTTCGTGGTAATACCAGGTGATGGATACAAGTCTGTTACACTGCCAGTTGCCGGAGCTGGAACCAATGGTGCTGAGGATGGGTGTGGTGGTGCTGTAGTAGGATGTACAGCATTCGGAAGAGGATAGTATGAGTATTGATAAGGATAATATGGTGGATGATAATATGAGGGAGGCAGAGGTGGGTATGGCAGCTGGTGCGTGAAAAATGAAGGGTCAGGCTCGGACCTTGATGGCGTGCTATTTTCATAGTCAGTTGAAGCAGTGCTGAAGTCCAGAGCCTCCATGAGACTTGGGAGTGTAGTCCTCGCCTTTGGCATAGGCACCATAGGCTGCAAACATGGTCATTGGAGAATTGGGTGGTGGACAAGCTGGTTTGATAGCCTTGTCCTTCATAAAGTAGTTTGACACTGGAGGCATATCATACGTAGCACGAGGGTCAGATTGTGTTGACTGATGCTGATCAATATCAGAACAATGATACAGATCATATACTCAAACTGACGTACAATTGCAGCACCCCATACATCGAGGCGAAGAGAGGTCAGTTCCAAAAATAAGCCGTTCTTCACATATATGCGCTTGTTCGGGAACAGAGGATGGCTTCCGATGGGGTAGCAATGTTCCAACTCCATGACTTCCTTGGTGCTTTCTTGATGCAAAGCATTCTGAAGTGTGCAAGAATGTGGTTAGTGTTCATTAGCATATAATCAGTCATCAGAGCTCTCACAATCTGAGCTTTGTGAGACATGGCTGCATTATGTTCTGGTGGGACACTCGAATATTCATCGTATTCATATCTCGTGTCACGACAGCTCGACAACTCTGGTGGCTTTTTGACATGATAAGCAGAAGTGTTGAGGCAAAAAGTAACATACCCCTTCAAGATCAATGGGCTTCGGGAGGTACAGAAAGATGGTATGACCCTTCGTGCATTCCTGCACTGCATCAAGCATTGCTTGAAAGCCAACCTCGTCAGTTAGTAGTTTCGTGGGTAAACTGGCTGGTGTTTTGAACTTCCAGCGTAGATGAGAGAGCATGAGATTCGACATCATAGTCTTTGCGGCACTTGCAACCTCTCGAACAAAGGCCTTGAATGAACTGTCAATCATGAATATGAATGGATTGCACTGAGTGCTCTTCATGATCGTGACCATGTTTGATTTCTTGCTGCGACCTGGCTGCTGGGAGGTGGTTTTGAGGTGGAAATAAGCTCGCACAGACAAGGACTGTGGTTGATGGTCCTCATCATCAGATTCAAAGATGGCCAGTTTATTGTGTGATCCTTGGCCTGTCTTAGCTTTTTTCGCCTTCGCACCCTTGGATTTGCTGTTTGGAGCTTGTACCTGGTCACCTTCGTCTTCACCTGTTGAAGGAACATTGGCCTTTTGCTTACGACCTATCTGGGGCCTGTTGGCAGCCTTCATCAGCCGTGGATTGTCGACTACAAGCTCCTCCAAGTCGTTGGGTGCAAACTCATTGATAGATGTAAAATTCATGGCAGCTCATATCTTGGATAAGTACTATGCCAACTCATAGCACCAACATAGCAGACACTCACAAGGTTCCGAAGTAGTTTGCAGACTATCGGAGAGGAGCCAATCGTGTTCATCCTCGGACTCCAGCATGACAATACTGTCTTCAGAAGGTGTTTGTGACATGCCTCGTGCATAAGATATCTAGATGATGGTAGTTTTGCGATAGGGAGACTATGATACATCTGAAATAGGCGCTTTCCAAATTCGGACGCACATGAAAAAAAATGATGAATCTCATTATTGTTGGTAACTGCTGTAAGGTTCCAGGTCCAGAGATGAGTTGTGGACCAGATATCCAATCAAAGATCTGGAGAAGTGGGTTTAGGGTCCAGAATGGAATATGACAGTGCTGAACATCCTGATTATTGTACTCTTGTTTCCTTCGCCACACAAGTACTCATAGGGAACACATTCCTCTATTGGGAGACAGTTTCAAAGACATGTCTTGCAGCTCTCACTGAAGCCAAGCCAACATTCAGGGAAATGAAGTCCTTTGCAACCAGCATCTATCACACCTATGTTTCATCAAGTGCTCTCCATCAAATCTTGGTAGTTGACCCAGAGAATGAAGACAGTATTCTTCGCAACATCATCCTCCTCAACTGTGACCTCCTTATCTTCTATGAGCTTGATCTCACCATCTTGTCAGGTGATTTTGGCTGAGTTGAAAATTTCCTCAGTACTCTCACAATAATATTTGCTGGGGCTCACTCATTAACATTTTGGGTCATGACAGTCATGCTGTGGCAAAACATAAACTTCCAAAAGGTATATCTAAACCAACAGACTTGGAGTATGATCTATACTGACAACAGGTCTGTTTAGAATTGGTTCGCAGCAGAGGGACTGCATGGCACTTGGGAACAGCTCAGGGACTTGGCACCAAACATTCCGGTATATCACCCACTTAAACATCAGTTTTGGAAAGTACATGGGAAGCTTGGGGGACAGGACTACATACACAACACCTGTTAAGACCATAGCTCAAGGGTTGAGGGATCTGAAGGGCTTGGCCTCAGCTCATGCGCTGTGCCCCTTACCCAAGTACGTGCCCTGAATTTCAGAATGAAGTCCGGATGAAATCTGACGAAGTCTGAAGGACTTCTGGAGGCTGGCTACTCTAGTAGAGTGCTAGAGGACTTCCAGATGAGCACGGGAAACTTCCAGAGGAGTATAGGAAACTCTGGAGGAGTTTCATCCACTGCATTGGGTCCAAAGGTGAGACTTCCCAAGGTAAGTTCCCTAGATAGAAACACATAGAGGATAGGCTGAAAGGGACAGAGTCCAAAGCAGGATAGGATAGGATAGGAGGAGTGGTCTGAAGGACAGGACATCTGGAGGTCCAAAGGTTACATCATCTGAAGGTTATGATGTTTGAAGGTTACAATGTCCAAAGGTTTAGGAGGACCGGAGGAGCGGACAGGATTAGGACAGGACGAGAAAGGCTACTACGGACAAGGTCCGGAGTAGAAACAAACAGAGGTAGACTACACTTAAGTAGAGATGGAGTTGACAGGGAGTAGACAGAAGTCTCAGAAAGACAGGAAGTGCCGGAAAGGCAAAACTCTGGCTTAGGGAGTCAATCCCTAAGCATGGATGTAGACAGAAGGATAAATCTGGAGGACCAGAGAGTCAGTGTGAAAAACACAACCTGACTAGGCACTTGTTAAGGTACTCAGCCAATATATGTCTAAGCTCTGCCTATGCTGCTATACTTGCAAACAATAAAGCAAGAACATTCGACCCGAGGAAAAAGCTACTAAAGACAATGTAAGATAGAAAGACCCAAAATAGCGCTAAAGCGCGGGAATAGCATGTCGCAAGATAGAGCGCTAATGCGCGGGAAAGAGCAGAAGTCAAGAAAGTGGACACTGAGTCAAAGGAAGGTAATGGATAGCGAGTGAGATCAAAGGTATTGATTGCAAGGGTAAGGAAAGTCAAATAGGGGCCATAGAGCGCAACTAAAGGGTGACTACTTCTAAGTAAAACCTTAGGGAAGGAAATACAGTCAAAGGGAAGTAATGTCAAAGTAGTCACCATAGGCTTCTTATACTAGTAAACTATACCATCTCAGACTCGGAAGAGATAGGATATACATGTAATAAGACTGTAGCACTTTTACAAACTCGAGGCAAGGCAGATTACATACCAATGAGGTAGGATGGACCATGGATGGATTCTGACATTTCGGGTGATTCCTAGAGAGCAAGAACAGCGCGCTGGATAAGCGCTAAGCGCGGGAACAAGTGCTAGATAGAGCGGACATGCACTAATGCTCCTATAGACACATTGCTGGTAGTTCTGATAGCACTATAAGTGCGGGAATAGCATCGGATAAGTCGCGGGAGCATGAATAGCGCTGCGGGAATGTGCGCACATAGTGCGGGAAAGTGCGGAATAGCGTCGGACAAGGGTTATGGCTGAGACAAGTGAAGACTGCCGATAGGGGAGTAGTGAATAATATGAGGGATAACTTTGGTCCACCTATTGAAGGTTTATGCAGGTATACATGCCTAGCGCCTATATGATTGTCACATCGGCCTAGGGAATCCTTCCCTACACCTAAGGAAAGGTCAGACTGAGATGGACCAAGGTCCGAGACAGGAACAAGTGAAGAGAGCAAGTCTATGTTGATATTTGAACTAAGGAAACTTTACAGGAGTTGTACAGAGGTTTATATACTGGAAGGGATCCAAGAGGATCAGTAAGCTGAAGACAAATGCTATGTACGAGCATGTGGAAACATATTAGTAAGTATGAACGGAACATAAGTAAATGAACTCGGAGATGAACAGAGTACAAGGATCAATAAGCAAGATGGAAACACAGATAACCAAAGTCCAGAGTCAAGGGGATTACCATAAGGAGATAGACACTGATTTAAGGTTTGAGCTTCAGATATGAGTATAGGTCGGATCCAGAGGTCTGGGTATCGGATGAGGTGTCCAGATATCGGATGAGCGGATCTGGAGATCTAGGTGAAGACGGAACTAGGATATGAATCATGGACATAGTCCAGTAGTCTAGGGAAGGTAAAATCTGAGATGGAATGAGCTCGGATACGATTGGACTAAGGGCGGATGAAGCAGGCTTAGCTGTGGAGGTCCGAAGGTATAGATATATGGATGTGGGAAGGTGTATGGGTCCAAACTGATAGTAAACTGGAGGACTGAAGGCATGGATGAGGGTATGGAGTCATGGATAAGGGTATGGAGGTCCAGATGTGCATCTGGAAGGCGTGGGAACATCATCAGACATAGGTCTGGAATACGGGATATGACAACACCTAACAGCTCAACATCCATTAAAAAGGTCATGTCAAAAGCAAAGGAGAAAAACTTGCATGTCTACATGCCTGGTCATACTGCCAATAGATGGGTGAAGGATCTCCTCCTTAATGGGAGCTCTCTCACTTGAGATCAAAAGGATTTGATACATTTGCAAAGGGCTACACAGCATGGGTAAATAACAGTACAGCATTTCCAGAGGAAGAGGATGACATTGAGACTTTGATGATTCAAAATGCAGTTGAGTTGCATGAGTAGCATACAACAATATTGAGTGGTCCCATTCGAATATTCTAGAACCATCCATGCCTATCAACTTGAATGCCTTTTTCTTTGGCCACTGGTTTGGTGATTCAAAAACAGATTCAGAACATGGATGTCGAACCAGCAAGCTTGCCATATGCTGTGTGGAATGCAAGCTTCTCACCTGGCTTGGGCTCTCTAGCTGTGATGATAAAATGTGCTTCATCAATGAAAAGAATCCAATTCATTTGATGAACTTCTGATCATTTAACATCAGTGTGAGATGTGGAATATGTCCACCATCAGGAAAAAATTGCTTTGGTGTCACAATGAGGTTATGAAAAGCTCCTGTGTACACACACTGCAGGAGAAGATCACATTAAAGTCATCTAGGACAATGACTGCACATACATTCCAAAGATTCTTGTCAGACAGAGTATCATGATTAATCACAATCAAAGGAATCCCATACTGCTCAAACTTCTGAACCTGTGATTTACAAGTACAAATTTGACATTTTAGAGGTGATAAAATTGTATATTGACCATACATGATCATGCTGCAGCAGTTTCAAAGGTGTGATGGTGATGGCTGTTTTGTCCAGAGAAAGAAGTAAAGGCAGAATCATTATGAAGATCTTTCTGGAGCCTATTTCAGCTCAAAGTACAATATGTCTTGTAGAAAGTAATGATATGAGGCATCTGAGCTGGAACAATTTTGGATGTTGTGAACCTTGGGACATAAAATTGAGTTGCAAGAAGGCCTTGAGAACTTGCTGGTGTTGTGTCATTGAAAGGGCACTTGTAAAGTCCATTGGGAGATTTTCCATCACATCTTGAGCAGTGTGACAATAAAGGTTGTGTAGAACTCATGGTTCATAGCATATAGGCTGAGTGAGAGGAAACACATAACTTGTATGATCGCAGGTACCTCAGCTGGCATGATCAGCATCTGTCAAATTTCAAACTCCTTGCTCCTCCTGCCAAATTTCTCTGAAATCAACCAGCCTGACTTCACCACTCGACTTGTCCACGGTATTAGTAAGCCAGGCTGGTCATGAGCCTATGTGAAGCCTTCATGGGCCTCTGAAATTCATCTTCATCATCTTACACCAGCTCAAGCATGTGATATAGCTGACATTGTTGTTATTGTCATCCATTTATAGACTCAGAATATGTATTCGGAATCTACATACATTTGGTTTACATTTTGGAACATGTTTCTAACTAGGGGTCGGTGTTGCTGACTTGTGACTGTGCAGAGTGATTGCCTTTTTATTGGGGACTCTACAATAATTGAAAACATTGAGATATAAATACAATACAATATGCAGTCGTGCTTTGGGACTGGGTGCTGGCCGTGATGTGAAGCATGGAATATTTCCAGTGGAAGAAAAGGGTGGACCCCACACATGACACCCCCAGGAAATTGGCAAGACAATGTTTTTCCTAGATTTATTTTGCAAGATCAGATCAAAAATACACTGGATTGTATGCAAAAGTAAAGCTAGACAAAATAATACATAAGCATGGGCAGATTGACATCGAAGGATAGAACATTGCAACAAAACCACAATTGTGGTGGGAATATGTCATGTCTCACAAGTGTGATCCTCAATCGATAGAAAGCTACAAAATCCTTACCACAGCGACAGACAATGGTCTCAGGCAGCCATTGCTAGCTAGCATTCGCTTGCACCACTTGGTGATCAGCGCATCAATGCTTATGGAACACTTAGGTAAGCTCTTTGAAAATTTTCATGCAAAGTTTGAACAAAGTTTTCACTTAGTTCATTACCACTTTGTCTATGTGTTGCTTCCAGTTTTCACAATGATCAAGCAAGAAAATTAAATTTATTAATGAGTAATAACATCTGATTTTTACAAATAGGAACAATATCCTTGTGAAGCTATTTGGGCTCAAACCCAAAGGGTTTGCAACCTGGGACATTGTTTCAAACCTGTGGGGAAAGTCCAGGATGAGCCATGATACCCAAACACCCAAAGGAGCCCTGCAACACATTAGGTGCAGCATGGACTCCCATCTCAAAGGAGAAGGGCAAGGTGTAGAATGATGCACATACCTTGTCAATGTGCTGGAGGCATGGTATATCTGGTAAACGGCTCTAGCATGGGGGATTCCTGCAGATATGGGGCCAGTATGAGCGCATGTTTTCACAGATATCCTGTGAAGGCTTCACTCAACCACCTTCCTATGGATTTGACAATGTCAAATGGAACTCTGCACAGTAAGTATTCTAGAGTGCCTCCTATGTGCAATATGTGTCCTTTGAGGTTTCCTAGACCTGCTCTCTTGACGATACCACCAACATGTTTCCAGAACTCGCTCTGGGTCAAGGGTCTGGGTCTTTTCACATGTTAACATGTGAAAAGATGACTGTTGAGCCGGGAATTGTTAACAGCAAAATGATTGAGGAGGGCTGTTTTTGGGTCCGCTTGACCCTCTTGTTGTGCCCAGTATACTCCTTCCCCAACTGCTGAAACCTTGGTACGTGGTAGAAAGATCTTGGTGACTAAAAATTCCTGATGGTCCTTGACATCGAATTCAATGTCTGAGCACTTGACATATTTCTCTGGATCAAGACCTTTCATTGTCTTCACTGTGAGTTCTCCTAGTCTGCAGAGCGCAAAGAATGCACTGGTCAAGCATGCATATACCATGGCATCAAGAGGTAATAATAGATTAAGGTATGCCCAAATCTCTAGAATCAATTTCACAGTGAAAGGTTTGCGTTTGACCCATTTGGAGTTGACCAGTGTGACAATCATATTGGTGCTAGGCATGTATACCTGCATAAGCCTTCAATAGGTGGACCAAAGTTATCCCTCATATTATTCACTACTCCCCTATCAGCAGTCTTCACTTGTCTCAGCCATAACCAAAACCCTTGTCCGGCGCTATTCCGCACTTTCCCGCACTATGCATGCACATTCCCGCAGCGCTATTCATGCTCCCGCAACTTATCTGACGCTATTCCCGCACTTATAGCGCTATCAGAACTACCAGCAATGTGCCTATAGGAGCATTAGTGCATGTCTGCTCTATCTAGCGCTTGTTCCTGCACTTAGTGCTTATCCAGCGCGCTGTTCTCGTGCTCTAGGATCCACCCTGAAATGTCAGGAATCCATCCATGGTCCATCCTACCTCATTGGTATGTAATCTGCCTTGCCTTGAGTTTGTAACAAGTGCTACAGTCTTATTACATGTATATCCTATCTCTTCCGAGTCCGAGATGGTATAGCTTACTAGTATAAGAAGCCTATGGTGACTACTTCGACATTACTTCCCTTCGACAGTATTTCCTTCCCTTAGGTTTTACTTAGAAGTAGTCACCCTTTAGTTGCGCTCTATGGCCCCTATTTGACTTTCCTTACCCTTGCAATCAATACCTTTGATCACACTCGCTATCCATTACCCTCCTTTGACTCAGTGTCCACTTTCTTGACTTTCGCTCTTTCCCGCTGTGAAAAACACAACCTGACTAGGCACTTGTAAAGGTACTAAGCCAGTATATGTCTAAGCTCTGCCTATGCTGCTATACTTGCAAACAATAAAGCAAGAATGTTCGACCCGAGGGAAAAGCTACTAAGGACAACTCAAGATCGAAAGACCCGAAAGAGCGCTAGAGCGCGGGAATAGTGCATCGCAAGATAGAGTGCTAATGTGTGGGAAAGAGGGGAAGTCAAGAAAGCGGACACTGAGTTAAAGGAGGGTAATGAATAGCGAGTGAGATCAAGGGTATTGATTGCAAGGGTAAGGAAAGTCAAATAGGGGCCATAGAGCGCAACTAAAGGTGACTACTTCTAAGTAAAACCTAAGGAAAAGGAAATACAGTTGAAGGGAAGTAGTGTTGAAGTAGTCACCATAGGCTTCTTATACTAGTAAGCTATACCATCTCGGACTCGGAAGAGATAGGATATACATGTAATAAGACTGTAGCACTTGTTACAAACTCAAGGCAAGGTAGACTACATACCAATGAGGTAGGATGGACCATGGATGGATTCCGACATTTCAGGTGGATCCTAGAGCACGAGAACAGCGCGCTGGATAAGCACTAAGTGCAGGAACAAGTGCTAGATAGAGCAGACATGCACTAATGCTCCTATAGACACATTGCTGGTAGTTCCGACAGTGCTATAAGTGCGGGAATAGCGTCAGATAAGTTGCGGGAGCATGAATAGCGCTGTGGGAATGTGCATGCATAGTGCGGGAAAGTGCGGAATAGCGCCGGACAAGGGTTTTGGTTATGGCTGAGACAAGTGAAGACTGCTGATAGGGGAGTAGTGAATAATATGAGGGATAACTTTGGTCCACCTATTGAAGGCTTATGCAGGTATACATGCCTAGCGCCAATATGATTGCCACACTGCGCATTAGCGCTCTTTTGGGTCTTTCGATCTTGAGTTGCCCTTAGTAGCTTTTCCCTTGGGTTGAACGTTCTTGGATCTTTGTTGCAAGTATAGCAGCATAGGCAGAACATTAGACATATACTGGCTGAGTACCTTTACAAGTGCCTAGTTAGGTTGTGTTTTTCACACCGGCATAAGTTCAATTGCACCGTCCAAAGATGCTTTCAGCTCGTCCTGCTGAACAATCCATGGCTGACCATACAGCATGTGCCACACTTTTATGGCATAGAGGTAGTTAACTAACATTTTTCCAGAGTATGAACCTGCGCAGCTGGCGACAAAGTTCAGAAGTGTATGCATGTCAATGGGACAATGCTGATCTTCTGGAATGGCTCGTTCATCACAGAAGACGTGAAAGACCAACAAGCCTGCCCCATAGCATTCCCTCATTCCTATCACCCAGGATAGGTTCATAACTGTCAATACTCTCTCCAGATCATCTTCTGTGATGGCAAGGAACTTCTCGTCTGGTCCCATTGCTACTCTTGTCTTCAGCAGGAACTATAATCTCATTCATTCTCACACTAAGCAATGGGGACATAGTTGTGATGGCACTGGGATCAATCTGGGTTTGTAAGGTTAGGGCTTAGCTGGTTGTTCTGCTGGAATAGTGGCCTTGAACTGCAATGTGACAATCATACCAGCGCTAGGCATGTATGAGTGTCATAGGCATATTTTGCCTTGCCTAGAGGAAGAGAGTAAAACACCAGTCACCAGTGCTACAATTCTCAAGCTATCCATTTCGGGACCACTTTTCTCCCATAGCGCACTATCCAATCTGACACCTAGGTACTCCATCCTCCCATGTCCTGCCTATGTCCACCTACCTCTGCTGGTGTGTTATTAGTCCTTAAATGTTGCTACTAATCAGTCACAGGTCTTATTACATGTATCCTCATGTCCCACTGCACTGCATGTTTTATTACCTGTAGGAACATTGTGCTTTTGCCTGTGTCACTGAAGGATCTTCAACTCAGCTGAGGGTGCAGCTGATATAATTGTTGAAGGGAGGAAAATATGAGTGCGATATGTTCGTCCCTTAGGGGAAGCGGAGAAAGCAAATATCCACTGGTCAACTCTAGGGGGAATGCGCAAAGCGCGTGATAAGGCGAAAGCGCGGGAACAAAGGCGCTATAGGCGCGCGAAGCGCGGGATAGTCGCGCGTCGAAAAGCGGAACAGGGTGAAAGCGGTATGCGAGCGATAGTGAGATGTTAAGACGTGTACTGAGATGCTGATAAGACAACTGATGCGGATATGGCCACTAGAGCTAACTGCTACTAGGGCTTGCGATGATTTATTCAAAACATAATAAAAACTCGGAGATGGTGACTGTCTATGATGATGGTGGTCCGTGGTAATGTGTGTTGTGTAAAGTAAAAAAATGTGTAATGAAAAATGTGTACCAAGTGAAAATAAACATGGTACGATGTTGAAATAAATGATAAATGGAGAAATGCATACCTGGGAACTTGGTTGGACATGGGAAAACACAGTGGGAAGTCAGGCGCCCTATAGCGCTTAGGCGTGGGAAAGTTCGCCTAAAGCGCGCGCAAGTCGCGGAAGTGTCGCCTATGTCGCGGAAGTGTCGCCTAAGTTGCGCACGTCGCGCGAACGTCGCGTTTATCGCGCAAGTGTCGTGTTACATGCATGATACTGTAGACTCGACCTATGTTGCAATATGTGCCATTGTGAGGCTACCCAGGATCGAGTCTCTACATCGCTACTATTCTTGCCTACACATTCCCAAACTTTTACACAGTATGATAAAATGGCTTGTCGCACTTACAGTACTTTACTTCCCTTCCACATACCTTTGCTGGTGTGTCAGAGTCACCTTAGTCACTATATCTCAGTTTTTTGCAATCGATTCCGCTCTTGCCATTCTCTCTGATCACATGTCGCTTGACTTGCTCTAAGTGCACGTTGCTAAGGATCCTCATAGTTTGACTTTCACAACGTCAGAATCACTATCGGTAGTTTGCACTACATCTAGCCACTACCAGGCATTTCACTTGCACCATCTTACTATACCTTCACTTCCCCTCCTTTGATTTCTTCTCACAGTCGCTTGTTGCACATTCACATAGCACTATCGCATAAAATACCTTGCACAGTGCATCTCACTTATATGCACATTTCTCTGTCGGAACTCTCTTAGTTGCTGATTGCTATAGTGCTACTCACTAGTTTTTGGTCTTAGGTTGCTATAGGTTTTAAGCCCTTTGTGCTATCGCTCCCCTTGCTTATTAGTAGGGAGCTTCATTAGCAGTCCTCTTGGGTCGAATATTACACTCACACCTATTTGGATAAGTAGCACTAGTTGCTAACCGCCTAGTCGCTATTTCTCTTTCACAGCGAGCTAATAGCAGTGCTGTTGCTGCTCCTGATGAATGAGGAAGAGTGAGTCTGAGTCATCCTTGTGTTCATTGCTGCGGGTTCGATCAGAATTGTCACAAGCAGTGCTGTTGGTGAGGGACAAGTCAATTCTGTCTGTGCTGTAGTCTGACAGATCTGTGGAGATGATGAAGGGTTGTAGTTTGGTGGGTATCACAAGGGTCAGGAGGAAGAACTCCATGCTATGGTAGATACCTCTTGATGGATCATCTGCTGTGTTATGCTTGCTCAAGACATAGGCTGGGTGAAATGAGTAAGGTGCTGAGGAATTGTAGATAAGATTGAAGATACATTTGAACACAGCATTGACAGCCGTGTTCCTGCTGCACCCATTTCTCCAGCCTTCAATGACACCTTGGTTGTCACTGTAGACCCTGAAGTGTCTTTCTGATTCTCCCATTCTGATAATATACAGAGTAAGGAGCTTGAATCCGACCACTTCTGCCCATTCAATACCTTTTTTTTCCACCGAGCATCTGCCAGCCTTTGCATAAGCACTAAGCTCACCATCTGCTTTCAATGATGATAGCAATTCCAACACCTGAGCTGGCATCTGAGTATGCAGCTGGGTCATGTAATGTGAGTGGCTTAGGAATTAGATGACTGACAAATGCACTCTGAAGTAGCATCTTCCACCAGTGGAGGTCTGGTTCAAGGCTCTTGACTGGTCTGCATGGGAGAAAAGGCTTCTCAAAGGCAAGGCGTAGCATAACTTCCAGAGACATAAGATAAGCACGTCCTTTCAGGATGACAAGGGTTGTATGTAACAGCTTACTATACAATTGTTGTATGTCAAGTAAAATGTGTGTGTCACACTGTTGCCACACTTCAATTGCCAAGAGGTATTTCTGTTTCTTCTCTTTGAAAAGGTATACTTTGTCCTGTGCAAGATTTCAAATGATGCCAATGTAATGATTAGCATATGCAAACAGCTTGTCTTTGGGAATCTCCCACAGAACATCAAGCTCCTCTGATACTTCATCAATGTCAGTGAGGTTGCACAAGAAACAACTATCCTCAATTCAACCTCGCTGATGCTCCTGATATATCAATGATTGGAAACTGACAGTCTTTGTCAAACTCTTCCAATGTCCTGTCCTCAAAGATGTGGCCCCCAAACCATATCCTTCCCCATGTCGCTGTTGTCCTCTTTGTGCCATTGTTTTCTCTTTTCATTGTAAGTTGCAATGTACTCTTTGAGAATCTGTTAGGACCATACTCAAAGGGTAACAAATCCAAAGGGCTTTGGCCTCAGCTCATGTGCTGTGCCCCTTTCTCGAGTATTGCCCCTTATTTCAGGAGGCTAAGGATATCACGTCCAGAGGGACGGACAAGTATCATAGTCTGGTCCGGATGACTTCTGGATATCAGACGAGTAGCTGTAATGGCTAATCCAGACAGAGTCTAAACTAGAAACTAACAGAGATAGACTGTCCTAAGACAGAGGCGGAGATGTAGACTATAGGAATCAATCTTAAGTCTCAGAGTAGATAAGAGTCAAAGTAACTCAAGTCCAGATGGAAGATGGAAGGCGGACGGAGGAGGACTTGAGTCCAAGATGAGGATGAGTAGAATCTAATATGATATTCAAACTGAGGTGTTACAAAGTTGTACAAGAGTTTATATACTATAGGTACCTAACAGAATGATCAGTCAGCAATGTCCAAGGCTATGTACGAAGCATATGCAAAGACTATTGGTAAGTAGGATTGGTCACCAATCATGAACCAGAGATGAATTTTATGTAACAGATTAGTAAGACAGATGGAAGTACAGATAACCGGAGTACTGGTAGACAAAGGATTACTGAAAGGAGATAGACGCTGTATTAAGGTTATGTAAACAGGAAATGAATAGTGGACCAGGACAATGGAAGGGAATAACAGATCTGGATTGGATCTGTGATCCGGATATCCAGACTGGAACTGGAAGTACAGTATATGACACAATCCAAATGAACAAGTGGTTGTCGACCCATCTTGAGGTCAGGCCAATTCCTTTCAAGCAAGACAAGTCCAGACCTGCATCTGCAAGATTTCCATAGGCTCCGGCTGATAGGCATAAGCCAAAACACATGCATGTGTCAATGCAGAAGTGTTTGTCCAAGATCTGGATGATGGAATCTGGCTATTGTGAGGGATGAATTGGAACTGTGCAATAAGCTTCAGACACGTCTCTAATGGCAATTTGCGATCCTGGTGGCAGTCTACTGATTGTGAGTGCAAGTACATGGAATGTTCCCCAAGTACTAGGGAAATTATCTGCATTAATATACAAGTTGATTGAAGCATTAGGAAATTTGGCTGAAGGAATGTGAGAACAGGAGTAGTTTTGGATGATGTGATAACACCCTGGCTGACCAGGCTTGGGTACAATAGAGAAGGGCGACAATTGAAACGGCCTGATAAGACTTTCAACCTCATTAATTTCAAGTGGACCAATATAGTGTCCTTTCTCAAGTTTGGTCTGTACAATGGAGTGAAATTCTTGTTGATACATCTCAACAGATTTTTTATCAGGAGGGGCTTGCATAACTTTAATAATAGGGATATCAAGAATGAAACCTTGATGAAGGCCGTCAGGAATGTGAGGGTACCTGTCAATGAGTCTGGTAGCAATGAGTCCTGATGCCCAAGCTTCTGCATTGTCTTTCTGTGCTCAAGGACATGTCTGAGCTCCATGAGATGAGAGGCTGCATCCAGAGCAGAAATGTCTGTGGTCATGTGTGATCTCGACACATCCACTGACACATTGCCAGTCACTGCAGACAGGTTTTCCATCTTGCATGGTAAGTACTTTGCCAATTTGAGCACAGAGAGTGTCATAAGACTCGTCCCACAGTTTGGGTGCCTTGCACTCAATAATTCTATGTGATTTCCATCCAAGGCATATGGCACAAGTGGAGAGGACACCTCTGTTTGTGCCTGATCAAAAATCCTGGCAAGGCTTTTTGGTTCTGTGGGCATGCTCAGGTGGCACCAAGCGTTTACATGCGTCTCTAGTGTCACATTGCCTAGATGAGGAACTAGCCCATTGATCAGATGGTGCATGATGGGATGTGAAGCATGTGGTGTGTGGCATGTGGCGTGTAGCGTGTAGCATGAGGCATGTGGCGCATAGCATGAAGCATTTTTGTAATTGATAGAATTGAATCATAAGAAAAAAGAACAATGAGTAAAGGATATGTGTATTGTTCACTGCTGATACTGACCTTGTAGTCTCAAGCATTGTCTCTTTTCAAATACTCCTCCCAATAAACTCTTCCTCTCATTGTCTTCTTAGATAGATGGTCTATAGATGAACACCTATAAAACCAAATATCTCCACGGTCAGTGATTCAGACAAATACCAATGACTGATAACATGGTCGTTCGTGGATGGCTAATTAGCAATACCTAAGCCACTATCAGCAGAAAGTGCTTTGTGAGATCAGTAGTGTGAGTGACCAATCCAACAATGCCTGGACAAAAGAAACAAGTATACCTTCTCATACCAAAAGGATGCCCAATGGCAATTTTACTACAAAGATTCATGTGAAGCTATAATGGTCACTCCCACAGTGCAAACAGGTAGGATCACTGGTCAGGACTAGTCAGTGCTCAGAGAACTTTCAGTACTACTGAACCTGCTGTCAAGGAACTCACTTCGAGTATTCAAACAGAAACAGGAACAGATGTCCTTGGTATTTGACACCAAGTCCCCTTTCAATAGCTAAAGCCTTATGGCAATGAAACCCTAGCTCAGTACTACTACTCAGATGTGTGTGGTCAAGTGCACAATTATCAACTTCAAAGCTCCCCCACTAAGCTATGCAAAGTCTTAGGTAGACTAAGGAAACAACACAAAAGTTGCAGAAAAATAAAAGAAGAATACGGAAAAAACAAACAAATGGGGGCAGTACCAGGCTTGGTGGTTGTGGAGGATGATGAGCTCACACTAATGGTATCTCACAGAAGAGTACCTTCACCCATCTTCAACAGCTCTTCACTGTTGTTTGGCTTCAGCCACACTTCACACTCAAGAACTGGAGGGGAAATCCTCTTTTTTTTATTGAAAGAAGGGGGCTCTTATATAGACAAAATTAAGGGCTATGCTACCAGTACTTTAAGGTTCCTGTCAAGTCATCTCCAGTCAGACTGAGTCATATAAGTTAGTGTGAGTCATACTGAATCAAGTTGAATCATTGTAAGTCACTTCAGATGGTTAAGTCATTTGGGTATATAGATGAGTCATCTTGACTTGGTGTTAGTCATGTGACTTCTCATGACAAAGCAGAAAGGTCTAGACACTGATTATGTAATGTGCCAGTCCATGTGTTGTGTTTGTGTTTGGCTATCACATTTTCTGTTAGGGGCCAAACTGGTGTGGTACTTTGTATTTAGGGTTTCCTGCATGTTCCCACAGGACAACTTGCATGGGAAATAATTTTCAGTCACCTGACATGTGAGAAGTTCATGCTAAGTCATTTTTAAGCCAAATAAAATGAAACTGAATCCAAGAATAAATCTCCAAAAATATTCATTCCTGCTAACTGGGTTTGCAGAAGGATGAAGAAAAAAAGCAAGTTCTTTTCTTAGGCCAGGCTTTGGCTCAGGATGTTGCAATCATGGTCTTTATGATGTCAGGCTTCTTATGAGAATGTTAGTCAGCCATGCACCAGACTAGTTTGGTGCAGGTCATCGTTTCTTCTGGGACCTTCTCATTGATCTCTACGAGATCATATGAACCTGCTGCAGACTTGGCTACAATGTGCCACTGTTTATATTGTTCCACTTGGTAGAGTAGCAGTGTCTTCTGTGTCCATCAGTCACAAATAATGATACTTGTGAACTTGTAAGTTCCTCCAAAAGAGTGCCATCATTTTGATTCTATCTTGCGGCCAATCCGTTTCTAGTAGCACAGTTAGGAAATGTGGGCAGGCCTGACAGAAATCCTCGAATGGCAGGTTCTTATCATTGATGATGGAACACGCATTGCACATTGACGCTGCAGAGACCCATGCTGTCAAACTGTCTGTGAGGGTAGACAGAACCATGGCATCATCATCCATTGTCTTCTTAACAGCTGCTTCATCAAGTCCATCATTAGTGAAGTACCACATTTCTACATACTCTCCTTTGTCTAACTTGCGAAGAGCGTAGGAACACAGTGTGATGGCTGGATCATCCAGGATGCCTGTGTTCTGGATTGGAGTGTACTTGTGCTTTTTTTTCTTCTGTTCTTCCTTGTGGGCCTCTTCCTCTTCTGCTAAGTGTTCTTGCTTTAGGTGTTCCTCTTCATCCTCTTCTAGATGATCATGGTGAGCTTGTTCCTCTTTGTTGTCATTTACTTGCTGTTGCCACAGGCGTTTCTCAGTGTTGTTGCTAGCCTGCCAAATGTTCTTAAGCAGCTGAACTGCCTGTTCTTCAGCAATGTCCTCATTAATGAGCTGAGCTTGTGTGTTGACGAAGTCATCAGAAGCATAGTCAGGACAGACGTTCAAGTTTGGATCACCTCAAATTCGCAGCATGTTGATTAAAAGAAGTGTAGTCGAGCAGTAAAGGACTTGTGAGTACTTTGTGATGATACAAAGCAAGAAGGGTGAGAACTTCCAGAAAGTTGTGTCACCACATAGAGCTCATTCTATGTACATTCTTGTGCCTCGAACTAACTTAGAATACAATACTACACTGTCATGCACCAGGGTGCTCATACCCTCCTCCTCTTAGCCCTCCATCATGGTTCCTCCTTAAGTGGTCCCTCCTTGATCCTCTGTCATGGCCCCTCCTTTTTTTTTTAATCCTTGTTTATTGTCCGTTGGGGCGTAGCCCTATGTTAGACAATACATGCAGTAACTAATCTGTCTACTTTTGTTCTTGTATGTGAATGATGGATCATGTACAATGGTCCTGGCCTGGGTGTGGACAATGACACCAGCTTAAGGTGAAATGGTATTGGTTACAGAAGGGGGGGTGGGGGTTAGGTTCGTTCAGTTGCTGTTCTTGTTCTTGTCTTTTGGCGGCGATATGTCTCCGAACACTGATCTGAACCTTCCTGTACTGGTGATATATTTGAACAGCGGTTTCAAGCATTTTGTCTCGTTGAGGATGTGTTTTACATGGTTGGCTTTTGTTCCCAGCTCCAGTCTAAGAATGTCACGTTGTTTGGAGTATGCTGGGCAGGTGAGTAGGAAATGATGAATGGACTCGTTTCCTGCATCACATTGGGGACATCTTGCTGAATCTGTTTTTGCGATGCGCTGAAGGTGTTTGTTGAGGAGTGCGTGCCCCAATCATAGCTGGAAAAGCAGCAAGCTGTGACGTCGTGGAAATTCATCTATGATCTCTGAGAAGTGTTTTGAAGGGGTGGAGGGGTCTATGGAATGCAAGATGGCGTAGCAGGGGGAGTTTTGTAGGACCTTCTCGGCTTCTCTCTTGATTTTCAATCTGAAGTTTTGCAGCGTGGATGATTTGCTGGAAGGCAACGTGATGGGGGCCGTTGATGTCATTCTAAGAGAGTTCAGGAGCCTTCTAGCCTCTGATACATCTCCTTTCGCTGCTTTCTTTGCATTCTTGTCCGCCCTTTCATTTCCCGGAATGTCAATGTGGCCTGGAGTCCAGCATACTACCAGTTTCCTTCCATCATCATGTGGGAGCACCTTTTGAAGGTCATCGTGAGAGGTGTCCATGAGATAGTGGCCGGGTTGAGAGTTGAAGGTGTTTTTTGCGCGTATCGCTGCTTGGTTGTCCACCCCTAGTGCCATCGTTCCTTCACCTCCTGCTTTCCTCAGTAGCTCAACTGCAAGGATCATCCCTATCAACTCTCCCTCATAGACCGTGTGATCGCAGTCCTTGCCCAGGTGGAATCTCAGCTCGTCAATTACTTCTTCTCTTCGTGGCCCCTCCTTGGTCCTTTGTTGTGGCCCCTTGTTGTGTCCCCTTTGTGGCCCCTTCTTGGTCCTTTGTCATGGCCCCTTGTGTCCCCTTTGTGGCCCCTCCTTGGTCCTTCATTGTTGTCCTTATCTAATAATACTACCATACTACCTCTGTATATCCCATGAATAAAAATTGATTCTATTTGTCAAAATGAGTGATAAAGCCTGAGACTTGATGGTAATCCATTGGCACCCTTGGCTTAATTACATCTTGTGTCTGACCTTGCAAACCTTTGTCATGCTTTGCAACATGTGAAAAGATGGCAAGCAGTCTGCCATGATTGTGCTTCGGGCAGTTCTCATCCCACTTAGTCCAGGTATATAAAGCTTTCTCAAGTAGATTCCAATTCTGATATATATTATATAAATTTTGAACTAGATATGATTTTGCAAAGCTTTATCATTTTCAGGTTGGTTACCTGATGACAGACTAGAATGGCAGGTCACCCGTGAGAATGGTATATTCCGGATTTCATTATGACGTCTGTTTTGTTACTCACTGCGGAGATGAGAAAATAGTCCTACCCTATTCCGAGACAGATAACTTGTATAATTGTACCCAAACCCGCGTCATACAGTAAACCCCACCCAAAGTCGATGTGCCGCAAATTTTGAGAGATCCTGGGAAGGCCACAAATGTAAGCAGAGCATTTTCCGACTTGATCTTATCAAATTTCCAGACCAATATCTACGCCTTGCAAATACTGCCTAACCCCATCCTAAGTCTAGCGGGATATTCGTTCTTTCCCGCAAGGCTTAGGGCAAGTACCATAAGCAGAGTCTTTTCTGACTCGTCAACCCACCTATCCATACCTCGGGAAAGTTTTATTACTAGTATCAGCTAAGTTTGATAAAATTCTCCCAAGTCTCTCGAAGTCGCTGTTTCCCTTCTTGACTTGCAACCACAACCATCTCCGCTGAGTCCGCTCCCACCCAGCTGATGTGAGGTTAAATGGAGACGGTCTGATCTACTTTGCTATTGCGTACGTTCACTGTGTGCTGCCCATTCATTTATTCAATCATTACCCCAGATTTTTGGCAAACTTGATGGCGACGATCTTCATGCTCGTCAACTTGAATGCAGTCCTGTCGATCATTGCGAATGTCCCTGCTGCTATCGCATCAACGGTTTGCACAAATGCAGTCTTTTGAGTGTATGCTAACATCCACTTCCAGATCGTAGCATGCTGCGTCGTACGAAGGTTGACCAACTTTACCTCTCACGACGGCTGGGGCTGCGATGCCACCGCCTCAGTTTACAGGTAAGCTCCTGTCATATCTTGTTGTATATGCTCCAGGCTCATTTGCATACAGTTGACATGGCAGGATCATTGCTTGTTGTTCATCGTACAGGGAGAGTGACGAGGGAAAGCCTGGAGGATGTGGAGGATACCTAGTAGCCGGCCGTCATCGTATACATCACCTTGTTTGTATGTACATCAAAATCAGATCTGCTTTCAGTTGAAAACCCGACCATAATCTGATGTGCAAATCATTTAAATCAATATTAAAACTGAGGTCTGCTTAACACGCAGACAACAAACCCGCGTCTGGAAATCTCATCATTTCACAGTCGGTTTTGCATGTCAAAACTGAACCTTTCTGTATCTGCATTGGTGTACTTTGCCTCGATTTGCATTCTATGCTTTGTGTGTATTTACAGGCTATATTCGGACTCTATGCGGATCCGTTTATTTTGTCGTTTCCGCAGTGACTGTGTCAGGTAGCCTTTGATACCATAACGAGTCAGATTTCTTTGGTGTTGTTTTGAATCTGCAGGTCACACAATATTGTAGATGACCGTGCTCCGCACGGTAAATCTCCGACAAATAAGATTTGAAACGATATCTAGGATTCTAAATTCTCCGGGAAGTCACCCAATGATATCTTATATACAGCTCGTAGAAAAGATGAACACTGTCATCGGCATGGAGATGCATACGCTGCAGTATTGCAGTAAGTATTGCTGGCATGCTCTCACGGGTGACTAGCAACGTGGTAGTACGATTGCACACGTCAGGTTACAATTTTAGTTTCGTATTTGATTGCATATTGCATATTGCATTTGTATTCGTACCACACCTATAACAGACAGACTGCTCACAGGTGCGCGATGAAGAACTCCACGGCCGCCTTGAACGCGCCCTCCTTCCCAGCTTTGATCAATGGGTCTTTTATATCCCCACGTACAGAAAACCCATGCGTGCAACCAGGGAAATACTCGCGCTTGTACCCTGGGGCAAATTTCCCATCGCCAAAGATTTGATCGGCCTGTGCTTGGGCTGCGATAGGGAACATCTGATCGACTTCACAGGAGTTGATCAGGAGAGGTGCCTGTGATTTGGAAAAGTACGTCTAGAAATAATGAGTTCAGAGGGCAAAACACTATGCCGGACAGTATGCGTTACCTCGAGGTCTTGGGGGACCTTCAAGAGCGAGGGGTGGGAGACCACGGAGCACTGAATGGCGTTGTCAAATGCAAGGTCAAAAGTGTAACGACCTGACAGGCACCGTCAGGTAGAGGAAGAAGTAGCCGAGTGGAGAAACATACCGCCGAAGCAATAGCCAGTTGCGCCAAACTTGGTGACACCTTCCGCTTTGAGTGCGGCGATGACCTTATCAACGGGCGGGCGGGTCTGGTCGGCGCCGTGCTTGGAGAGCCATCCCATCAAATCAAACGAGGGAGACTGTGAGTGGGCACGGGATCAGAGCGTGCGATGCAGAGGAGATCAGGCACGACTAACGTTCATGGCATCAGCAGCAAGAGCATCGCCGTTTAAGTAGTCGGGTGCAACGACCTATATGATGTCATCAGTCCCGGGTCCGTGCATCATGATGTTATGGGCTTTGGATGCAAACCTTGAAGCCGTTTTTTGCAAAGTCATCTGCTAGAAGCTGGTGTCGGACCCCATTGTTAGTCTAAGTGGGAGGAATGGTGTACGAATTGCATACCTTGTTATTGAGGAGCTCGATACCGAAAACATCCGGCAGGAATAGGATGACTTTGTCCTTGGGATAGTCAACAGTAGGGGTAGCGACGTAGCAATCGACACCGGCGATGGTTTCAAGTTTGCCTGGTGACGAGACTGATGAGAAAGTGCAACGTAGCGAATTGGAAAAGTTCTCACCCAGAGCCTCACCCTCATGGCGTACACCTGTTGGTAATCAAAATCAGCAATCAGTATTCGATGTTGATCGCGATCGTCGAGTGGATATAAACACGCCTTGGATGCAGTGCTTGCAAAAACTCATGTTTGGATGTGGTTTGAGGGCTTGAGAGTACTGTCTAGATGTTCTTCTGATATCGACTTATATAAGGGTCATGATCGGAAGGTTTTCACGGATAGGACATATATGACGCACATGTTTTAATAGGCTGACATTTCATATTCTTAGCAACCAATCCCCGATACCGATATCCACTTTTGAAGGGATACGCAACACGAGCGGCATGTGTGGTGAACGGGCTGACTATACGGCGATGCATAAGCTGTAACTTATATCGCTGATGCTTAGTGTATGGGGTTGACCAAAGTTGCTAAGAATCTTGATGCCAGAGTAAGCTGGTGTGACACAGTGGGAACGCTTTGGGAGTTCTTAGTACAAGACCATATGTAACGTTCCTGCGCACCAAACCGACTGCTCCGTGTGTACTAGAAGTGACTTTGAAGTACTAAGAAAAGCGAACATGACTGCAATATTATGAGGACCACGACGGACGGTCATGGCTCGGGCCGCCGCGTGACCTGTATTGATCGGTTACAATGAATTTCTTTTTATAGTAACCCAAAACTAACCTCCTCCCGGCCAGTGAGAGCTTCTAGCCCGCACAGTCGAACAAAGTTCGTCGAGCTCGCAGTTTCCTTACGATTTTCGGTTTACGCTGAAAATCAAACATTTGGAAAAATCTATCCCCGTACGATGCCACCACAGCCAGGAATGTTCGCCCTACCATATGCATCAACCCACAAGGCGCGCACAGACATTATTCAACCAGACAACATACCCATGTCAATTGCTTATTCGAATATGCAGCCCCCTCAGGGTCCTAATCCTCATTATCATAACGCTCATCCAATTGCTGGTCCATCCCGCGTGCAGGGTATGTCTTTATTTCTTGCCTTCTCAAGTATACGTACTAACCTGCATGCAAACAAAGACGATCCAAAACGAGAGAAAAAGAGAAAGGATATATCAGGCAAAGTAGGAAAAGAGATGTTAGACCGCAGAGACGAGTATGTCCCTCCCAACCATTTTTCTCATCTCCGCTCAATTTCGTGTTAGAGGACGACACTTCACTGAAAATATCTCTGCACTCCACAGCGCCGCAATGCAGCTCGCTTCTCGTCCAGAAACTCATCCTCTTTATAACCTCCGCTTGTATCCCATTTCTCTCGAGCGCTCCGCCTTGCTCGCCCAGCATGCCGTTCGAAGAAAAACATAGCCTGGAATCAATACAGACCGCCTACGAGGAGGAACGTGAAAGAGTCGAGGAAGAATGGCGCAAGGGCCGTGATCGCATACGAGAAAGGCTCCTCGAAGGCATAGAAGAAGCGCAGGACGGCGTGCAAGAGAGGAAAAAGAAGGCGAGGGAACCGTAAACGGTACGTCACTCACTCTCTCATCTCAATATCCTCCAATTTTCATTCACCACATCAATCAGACGCAACGCTAGATGCCCAATCTCGGTCCCATATCACTCGGAAATTGCGAAATAAAGTCGGCACTTCTCCCCCTCCAACACCCCTCGCACTTCGAGGAGAGAACCTTGTCAATGGTTCGCTTGGAAGCAACACACCCATTACAACCGGCCCTTTCACCAACCCCCACTCCCTCTCCGTCGATGAGCTACCTTCGCCTTTCCCTTTCCCCCTCACGGCCGTCACCCTCACTAATCCCTCTTCGGGTGCCGGTGGCAACTCCGGCGCCAATGGCTCGAGGCGTCGTGCCAAAGGCGCAGGGCTTCACTCAAGCATGGTCGGCGTTGGCGGCTTAGGCAAGAGCATAGCAATGCTAGGCCCCAGCAAAGAAGCAGACATAGAGGCAGATTTGATGGAAATTCGGAGGGGCAGCAAACGGCGTAGAGCAGCAGGCCGTGTCTTCTGGCAAGGTCTCGTAGGCGCCCTCATGTTCTTTTTGATTTTGAAATCGTATCATATGATTCATATCTTATCATCGGAAGTCGGAAGTCGGAGATCCATCTAGCTCCGTAAGCGGGCCCTTTGATCCTTTCGTATTTCACTTTGTGCACATGGACCAGTCTGAGATTGCCCCTCCTGCTAAGCGCGTGTTTCCGCCATTGTATGTATCGACCGGTGACGCGTCCATCGATAGGCTTGCGTTCTTCCACGTGCTAGAAAGATTAAAGGTACAGATCCACATTACTCAACGTACGATCCCTGCACTCATGCACTTTCGAGTAGACTCAAAAGCGCACAGGATGGGTCGATAACAAGGAACATATCCCTACCCTCCAAAGGTACCGCTGAATCACTCACCACCCGATTTTGCAGATCCCAAATGCAGAGAGGTTCGCGATGCACACCCTTCCATAGCATGGCATGACTCACTCACTCGCGTTCCCGATAGTATATCAGACCATATGTACCGCATGGCTATACTCGCCATGTGTACGTCTGACAGCATGCTCGATGTTTCCAAGTGCGTTACTTCCATCGTAGATGAGTTGTGGAATGAAATATTTACGGCGGTGCCTGAAGATGCGTCATGATGGCTGTCGTGCATGATCTTGCTGAAGCGCAAGGTAAATCCGTGACATATGTTTTCTTGTGTTGCGAATATCAGTATTGATGACATAACAGTGGGTGACATCACGCCTCGAGAAGGTACTTCGAAACAGGAAAAACGGCGCTTAGAAGCGGTCAGCCATTCATACCTTACAACACCCAGAGTCATACCTTTGACTCAAAACATCTTTTACCGTATAGGAAGCGATGCATAATTTTGTGCATGATATGCTCCATGGCTCTCCAGCAGCGCTGCGAATCGAAGCCCTCTGGAACGTAAGTCCTACATCGCTCAAAATGGCTCAATTCAAATCTGTTGCTTTACGCAGGAATACGAGGAAGGAGAAACGAACGAAGCGAAGTTCGTCAAAGGTCTGTCTTTGCTATTCCTACTGCCGTGCTTTGATTTATTTTTGACGTGTTTGTAGACCTTGATAGACTGGAGATGGCGCTGCAAGGTATGTAGCTGCGTCGTTATCGTGTTATGTTCACGACATATTAATGTGCGTGCGTAGCACGCGAATACGAAACGGCGCATGCACTGGATCTTCAGCCTTTTTTCGACTCCAGTTTGCCTCATTTGCGTCATCCAGAGATCAAGCGGTGGGGTGAGGATTTGGCGCGGACTCGCTCGCGCTAGCTGGATTTGGTTGATATAAGGAACAAGGATTCCCCTTCGGTCGGCTCTACGACAATACAGTGTTGGCAGTAACCACTCAGGAAATACTATATTAGCATCGTCTGCAAATAGACAGTGTCTGTCCATAACGAACGGTTTGAATGGAATGCAGGGGATGCAGTGGCTTTCGAATGTATTGACTTTAAGGAAGCGACAGTGCAGCGCGACGACGCGCACGCGCGCGTTTCTCACCAATCCCATTTCTACCGAGAGGTTACATACTCCAGGATCGGTTGACATTCAAGGTAGTCGAGTGTGTTTTGGTATGTTCAATTGAGTCTGCTCAGCTTCTTTTAGGCTGTCTGAACTGAAATAAGATCCTACATAGTTTCGTCAGTGAAATGTGTGATTGAGATCAATTGTGATACTTACGAAAATCACCCAGCAATTTCTCTAGAATTTTGTCGTTGAAAATCCATCGACATAGACGTTGAGAGGGGAAAGGAATGCACGATCAAGACAGCTTTCAGGGTCTTCGAGAAGAAGAGGAAATCAATTGTGTCATTGAAGTTTGTGGTCCAACAACACCGTGAAATGAAGCAGAGGTCGGCCATAGTATGTGCATGAACGCGCAACAACACAGCATGACGCAGCAGACGGAAAGAGCGTGAAGAAAGACAGAATGCAACAACACAGCATGACGTGGTGGACGCCATCGCCGGCGGTATTCTCGTGCTTAAGCTTTAAGGTGGAGGTACTCGGAACAAGTAAAGAGATGGGTTATGAACCGGGAGTACAAGTCACACCCGCGAAGCCTGCTCGTGGCCGTAAAACGTGACATTAGAGTTGTAGGTTGAGTTGATTGAGGTTTAGGTGGCACCTACGGATGTTTAAGATATGGAAGTGACGAATGGCTACTAAGGACTCGCTGACGGTGCGAGATGATAGAATGGGGAACGCTCTAGGCATTCCCAAAGGGGGATGGATGGATAGGTACAATAAGACCGTGCACAGCAGCTATAATGGGTGATGGCATTGATGAATTGAACGGGGTGCGGTGCCACAATATGGTGTCATGGAGGGAAAAGTATGAAAAAGACCCCCCCCAAAAAAAAGTGGTGTATGGTGAAGCGCTGCCCCAAGCTGAATACGCTCGACCGCAAGCGTTAATGCGGTGACTCCAATCAAGGGCCGTCCGTCGGTGCTGATGTTCGTAGGTTGTAGGAAGCGAAAGCGTGTGGAGGGGTTGGGGGTAGAATTCGGTGCAGTTAGCTCGGCGATGAACGTTTAAGGGAGTAATGCCAATGTGGCAGAACAGCGCCGAACGGGCGTACGCGAACTTTGACTCAAGGAAACTTACCGAGCGGCGTTCGAACGTTCGAACGTTGAGCGCTGAGCCCCGAGGCCTAGTAGGTCTTTGCTACTGATGGGCTAATTGATGCCTGTTGGGAGCCGATCTACTTCAGTAACAGGGCACCACAGCACTCCAGAACTATTTTGAGAACTATTTTGAGGTAATTCTGCCGGCACTAGAACTGGCAGAACGTTCTGCTTCTGCCAAGTCCAACTTGCAGATACTGCCAGTGGTAACCACGCGTGACTTGCACCGCATCGATGGAATACTAATAATAACCTTTTCATGGATGCCGTATGTAAAATGCTGCAGCTGTCTAAAGAGGCGCTGCAAGAAACTCGTGCAAGGTTCGCGTTAACCTTTATTAGAATGAGGCTAAAGGAAGAGTCTCAGCGTCTGCGAAAGAACTGCTGACATTGATGATACCTAAAGGAAGAGTCTAGAGAGATAAGAGACGGCGTGCATAAGAGACGTAAAACATACCTCAGCGTCTGTGAAAGAACTGCTGAGATATAGACGAGAGGCTTATAAGGTAAATTACGTAAAGAGTCCGCGGTGACAAATAGAGAGAAATACTGGTTCTGCCACTATCTGCTCAGTTTAATATCATATTCAATCAAAGGCGCTCCCCACTAAAGCCCAAGGAACTATGGCCGTTTCAAGCGGATCGCGAGCGTTGACGCCCAGTGAAAATCAACAAGAATGAGGTAGATACGTGCCGATAGACGTCTAAGTACAAAATGAGACGGATACAAATCGAAGAAATTCGAGAAGGCAAAACTCTAATTTCGTGCAAACGCAAAGAATCTTTCCAAAGGTGAAAAAATGCAAACATGTCAGACCTCGATTGCGTAGTACTTTGCAACTTTGCGACAAATTTTGCACCTGCATGCATTCAATGCACATGTGTATTTTGCACAAGTCCATAACCGTATTTGCATTATGTTTATTGGAGCATCAGTAAATTCACACATTCCTTACCTTCCTTTTTCGTCACTTGTCGCGAAAATATCTGACATGACGCTAATTAGTTGTACTTAGTCACTTGTTATTATTTTTTCACAAGCACTTACAAGTGGCGTCAAGCAATTAAGTAGCGAAAGTGAGAAAAGTGCAAGTGCGTTGTATACAATTGAATTAAGTAGTTAAAATAAATAATAATACTACTAAGCTGCTCGCTGCGCTCGACAGCTAGCAGCGTGAGAAAACGTCTGCGGCTGAACAATTCGTTTGTCTTCAGCCCAATATCATTCACTAGCAAACACAACTCACTTTGATCAACAAACAATGAACCTAGCAGCAATGGTAAGTCTTCCAAGGCTGTGTCTCATGTGCGGATGGATTTGATCGCTGACGCGATCGTTCGTAGCACTTAGTCCAGTCCGCACATCAAGATCAGCGACGCGTTGTAGTAGAGACGCGTCTCTACTACACGCGAGGAAGGCGCAACCAAGCGAGGGGAGCAGAAGTCGAAGGGAGAGGGGTTATGAGGAGTGTGGGGGTTGGTATTTGGAGGGCATTGAAGGTTCTTTGCGGGTGCCTGGATCAAGAGACGCTCGAACGCGTTCACGACATGGCGTAAGCTGCATGCTGGCGGACTGGAGGTGAGTCAATGTATTTTGCTAAACGAACGGCTGACTTACTTTGATATTAGAATCATTGGAACGAGTTCAGGGAGAAGAACGCAGGGAAGACGGCCTAGGCGAGGTATCAACATATGATTTTTATGTCGACCGAATTATTGTACAACACATACCATAGCAGCTCCAAAGAACGCCACCCACTTGAGATCAACCAAAGTCCCTGCAGCAAGATGAGGGAAAGCAGCATAGTTCGCGTAAATGAGGTTCGGCGTGCTTGATTCATCATGGTCGTTCTCCGTTCCAAGCACGTCTTTGGAGACAATGTTCTTCCCCAGCGAACCAGCAAAAGTCTACTTGCCCTCATGTGGCTCGCCCTGCAAGATAAAGTTCAGCCAGGACGTCTTGGGAGGATAGCGTGTGCCATGATGGGTGTGTCAGGTAGTGGACCATCAAAGGAGGGTTGACAGCATGCAGGGGAACATGGGGTGTCTGAAGGCTGCCGCGGTGGGCACATACCACTGGGCACGAACTGCGGATATGGAGTAGCGAGGGTTGCTGGGGCTGTTGTGACGAAGATGACGGGGTGGAAGGAGACCATTGGATTTTGACCTTGAGAGCGATTTAGAGTGAGAGACAACTCTGGTGACATTGAGTCAGGAATTGTGCTGGGGATATAAGACATCCAGCGTCTCTGGGAGTCGACGTTGTTGGAGTCGAGTGAATCGGTAAAGTCGTCTTGCGGACATGTTTTGATTTGAGGCGGGTGGAGGACAAGGGTTGCGATCGAGCGCTGGCACATACAAATGAGTGAAAAATGAAACAAACAAAAATTGAGAACTCACCAGTCAAACCCGGTCCCTGCAATGAGCTCGGCTCTCTGGATCTTGTTGCTGAGATCGCAGTCATTAGTACGTCTTGGTGTATTCGTCGTAACGCATGACAACGTCGTTTCGTGTCGTCGGGTTGTGCGATGGGGAGTGTCGTCTTCGTCTCCGTCTCCTCAAAGTTTGGTGATCACGACGCGATCTCAAATGCATGGTGATCAGCAAATTTATTAATATACAGTGGCTCAAAAAACCGTCCGTATGTTTTGGCATTTTTCACTATCTATGATATTGTGTGAGAATGAACAAATTCCTCAAGGACATACTTATACCACATTGTAGTATGGCTTCAGGGCTTTTATTTGAGCCCTACACCGTGGGAATCGGCGGAGATATGGTGGAGATATAAGGCTTATAAAATGATGACTCATGTGGACAGTTTTTTGAGTGTATATTAAAACTATATAAATCATTATTTATGACACCATAAAAATCATGCCACTATTATATAAATTATAAAGTGGTGTCATTATGTTATTTTATGACTATATCTAACTATATAAACCAGAATATCTCATGTATCATAGTCATAATCACCATGAAAGCCATCTCCTCTGCTCAAAGAGATAATATCCTCTCTCTGTCTTATGCTGGCCTCTCTGCTCGCCAAATTTCCTCTAGAACTGGAATATGCAAGTCCACTGTGGCCAAGTTCATCAAAGAAAGCCACCCAGACAAGGAAAACTCTTGTGGAGGACGTCCATCCAAGCTTACCTCTACTGACAAAAGGGCTATTATCCAACATATCACTACAGGAAAGGCTGATAATGCTGTCCAAGCCACCCATTATATCAATTCCACCATCACTACCCCTGTCTCTTCACAAACTGTGAGGAATGTTCTCAAGGCAGCTCATCTCAAGGCAGTAACAAAGAAGAAAAAGCCTCTTCTCTCCATCAAACATAGGCAGAGAAGACTAGCCTTTGCCTTAGCTCATCAACACTGGACTGTAGAGGACTGGAAGCATGTTATATGGTCAGATGAGACCAAAATCAATAGGATTGGGTCAGATGGGAAGGTGTATGTATGGAAAAAAGAAGGGAGATGGCCTAACAGACAGAGAGGTTAATGGGACTGTCAAGTTTGGAGGAGGTTCTTTAATGGTATGGGGCTGTATGGGATGGAATGGTGTGGGAATGCTTTGCTGAGGTTGAGGGGAAGATGAATGCTGAGCAGTATGTGGACATTTAAATGACCACTTGCTGCCTAGCTTGGCAGAATCAGGGATTGATGAAGAAGATATCATTTTCCAACAGGATAATGATCCCAAGCACACATCCAGAAGAGCTAGGGAATGGTTTGAAGAACATAACATCAATGTTCTTGACTGGCCAGCACAGTCTCCTGATGTCAATGTCATTGAACATCTCTGGGGAACACTCAAGAAAAAGCTTCAAGCCTATGAAAACCCCCCTAAAGGAGTATGGGAGCTTTGGGAGAGAGTAGCAGTGGAATGGGGGAAGATCACAGCTGAGGATTGCCAGAAATTAATTGAGAGTATGCCTAGAAGGATAGAGGCAGTAATTAAAGCCAAGGGAGGTCATACAAAATACTAGAATACCTGGTTATTACTGTAAATACTTGAGTCAAAAAACTGTCCGCATGAGTCACCATTTTGTGAGCCTTGTATCTCCACCATATCTCCACCGATTCCCACGGTGTAGGGCTCAAATGAAAGCCCTGAAGCCATACTACAATGTGGTATAAGCATGTTTTTGAGGCATTTGTTTGTTCTCACACAATATTATAGATAGTGAAAAATGCCAAAACATACGGACGGTTTTTTGAGCCACTGTAGAATGAGCGAAAAGCATCATAGGAGTGAAAATACTCGATGTTGTCAGCAATGAAGTCGGGACCATAGACAGGGATCAAGTGGGCTGCGCGGGTAAATTGTGTCAATATGGATGACGGCGAAGTTTGGGGTGCCATCGTCATGAACAGTTGGACGTACTATCCACATGCCGGTATCCTCGTCCGCACAGTCGCCAACCTTGTCGAACCACTGAACGAGGGCACATGGATATGTGACCCAATTAAACTTGAAAGAAAAGAAACATTTGACTCTTGCGACTTCGAGCCCTCTCATCCCTTCAAGGTCTGGATTGGCATTGACAAACACACAATCATTACGGGCAGCGACATTCCGCCAGAGTGGACAAGCTCGTATCTGTTCACGTCGCATGCCGCCAATGCCACTGGGATCGCTCGGGGCATAGAAAGTCGCAGCTGCAGAATTAAAGACATAAAGCCTGCCATCATGCCGAGGACAGCTAGCAGCGGGGACATCCTCGGGGCTGCGGGGATCGTTAGGGTGGAGTTGAGAGAACGGAAAGTAACGGATAAGGCGTCGCAGGTGAGGTACATTGACCTCATCTGCTAGCTCCATTACAGTCCGTGCCCGTTTTCGTTCTATGAAAACCTTAGTGAGTATTCAAGATGACACATGAGAGCATCACTTACGAGGTGTCCGCGCGAGCTGCACAAAAGCGAGCACAGTTGGGCCATCAACAGCTTCACCATCGTCAACCTCACCCTCGACTTCTGGTGCGATCACTGGGGCATTTGGCTCATCTTCAGGGCCGACAGCTGCACATCGAGTTAGTAAAATGACATGATTAAATATGAAAACTTACTGAGAGCGGCCACAGCTCTTGATAACACAGAGCCGACAAGCATCCCACGAGCAGCAAAGTCCAGGCGAGATGCTGCAAGTTTATCAAGCCGTTGATTGGTCAATAGCATTTGACCCAGGGCGTTGTGCTTGTTAGACCACCGCCAAGGTTCCTTGACCGCCTTGATGTGCTTGGATTCCGTGATCGACGAACATAATCCGTTTGGGGCACCAAACAGTCGGATCATGTCCACATAGTGAGTCATCGAGTGTTGATGAGGTAATGAGAAGTGAGGGACTGTGCCTGTGGTTTCGAATATCTTGCGGTAGTGGTGGAACCGAGTGAGCGCATCATTGAGTTGAACCAGAGAGGCTTCGGTAATTACATCGCGTCGTGCAATATAACAAAACTCTAAAAGAGCGCGAAATGCGCGCACCATGTCTTGAGGTACATGGCCTTCAATAGCCGGAAGGAAAACCTTCATGAGGGCCTTGGAATCGTTACCCGTCCACTGTTTTGAAGCCACGGCCGTCGGGAAATCGCCGTAGCCCAGTGAATGATGCCACAGCAGCAATTCTGACTGATTGTTAGAAAATGCCAAATGGATGAGTGAGTTCACGTACCTGCGATCTATGTCACTCATGATCTCTTCTCCTCGTTTGGTCCCATGCGTGAGTTTGAGATACTTTAAGACCCAGTCCACAAGATGATCCTTGAAAGCGCCTTTGACTAGCTGGTGGAGGAGATCGAAGGATATCAATTTATGAATGTCGGCTCGGGGGAAATCATTTGTGAATGGCTGTACAAAATAAATAAGTACATAATACGAGAGTGGGTAGTATCACTCACGACGAGAACGCTAACGATACCAAATTCATGCCACAATGTATCTGAGTCTATATGTTCAGATACAAGGAGATCTGTATGCTCTCGAGTGCGTGGGAGATTACCGCCGCCATCCAGGTCACCACGATGTGCAAGACATCTACAAACATTGTCAGTAAAAGTTAGGTAGAATTAAGAAAGAGCTCACTTCGGGCACCAGTTTTTGACAGTGCAAGATAGCACCAGTTGCTCCTCATAGTCAGCTATGTAAGGTCCTAGGCCAAATATGATGCGTCGAAAATGACCGTCTGCGCAACGCAGGACCTCGTACTCGGTCATCGCAGGCTTCAGGGTGGATAGAATCGCGGATAGCGAGCAGTGAAAAAGCTGGCGGCGAAATAGACGAAACGAATCGTCGTGAGCATATTTCCTAGTAGCTGCGCAATAGGTCAGATGAAGGGCACAATATTAAACGTTGATACACGTACTTTTTGGTATAGAGAGGAAACCAATGATAACGAGAGCATCGCGATGAGCGCGTCGCACATTGTTGTGCACATTGCCAATCGAGGCATACAAGGGGTAATATTTGTTATTACCCGTGCCCACAGATACGGTGGTCTTGTCCCTCCCAAGGATTATTGGGACGAATATTGATCCATGCGTGTTCGGATCCTTCGATATCTCGTCCTGATAAAATGTTAGTGTGCCCCGAATTATAAGAAATGAACTTAAGTATGTTTTAGAACAAGACCTTCAACAAGAATCTACCATTTCGTGCAGCACTCTTGCGCCAGCTACTCATTAGTCAATTTTTCAAGGCGCGGTATCAGAAGGTTTGCTATATAAGGATGAGTTTGAAAAACTCCCTGATAACCTTCTTGCATTAATTGCTACTGCGGTAATGAAGCCTTTCTGTGGATTTAGCTATAGCTGATTTTTTTTCAGGCTGAATGCGCATTCAAGGGTATGCTCACTGGCTCCCCAGTAGTCATAGAATTCAAAGAGCCAGTCTTTCAACCAAGGTGAGTCGCACTGTTGTGTAGTATAGTTTGATGTCAACTAATGTTAGATTTCTTTAGACACCAGTACTATATGCTGAAGCTGGCTGAATACAGACAGAAATCTCCCATGTATATGGAGAAACTTCGTCATGATCTGTGGACAGAGGTTGGGTAAAAGCGCTTTCTTCATTTTATATATAGATATATTGGGCTAATAATTGCTACCATAGGGAGGCATGTCGCTTGTGGTGAGAGAGGATGAGGAATCTGGGTCAGAATTAGATTTTGATGCCATGGAGGCGTCTGCTAGAGTACAAACTAATGCTCCTAGTACTACTTCTGATGTTGCTATTGCCTAATAGCATTGAAATAGGTGCTTTTATCTATCTAATATGAATATGTGCGGTTTGAAAAGCTACAAAGCGTCTCATAGACAGTGAATTCAACTACTATACCAAGATTTGGATATAGCATAGTCAAGTATAGTTATGTATAGTTATGTATAGTTTTAAATTTGATTGACATTGGTTGTGTATGATAGTAGTATATATTTACAATACACTGTATGTCACTATAGAGCACTATACATAGGTCTAGTAAGCCTGCAAAATCAGGCACTTGTCTATATGGGCTTTGGGGCTATAGAGACTATATAGTGTGCTATAGTGCTATGGATGGCTATATAGACTTACCATATTTTCCTGATGTTGATACAGTGTATGGCTAGCGAAGCAGAGACTAGGGAAAAATTCAGGGTTCAACAACGGCCTCTAATATCGGGTCCAGACTCTGCTTGTTTGGCGCCACATCGGGATGAAAATGGGCGGCAAAGTTCTGGTTACATGGACAGTTATGTAACCATACCACCAGAAACTTTTGGTGAACTTTATGTTCCCGGGCCACCGGAAAGGTTTTGGTGAACATCCGCGAATGACACCCCACCATCGGAAAGGTTTTGGTGAGTATTGGTCACCTCACCACCAGAACTGAAATATCCCCAGTGCACGTCAATATACCGACGGACAAGTTTTAGTAAATGTTGATACCTGAAATATCCCCAGTGCAGGTCAATATACCGATGGACAGGTTCTAGTAAATGTTGATACTCACCAGACTAAGGTATTTCAATTTGGTGTGGGTCCTGTTATTCTGCCGAAAAAAGCGCTGGCATATATGCTCCGGAGGTTTATGGCAGTCGCAGTAGACTCACAGTAGTTAGACAAGTACGTCAGACTATTAAGCAGGGTCCGTGAATTATTCAGAGTCAGCTATCAACTATAAAATTTAAAATGTAATGAAACTCGCCTTGAACTCCCGGTAACCCGCCGCCGCCAACTTTCTTCAGCCTCCAAATCCCTCCCTCAACAGCCTCCAAATCCCTCCCTCGACACAATGTCTCAGCCCAAGACAGTTGCGCAGCGCATGGCAACTTGGCCTAAGAATGCAACTCAACATCCGGGACGCATCGTGATTGAAAGTCAGGGAAAGAGACGTACCGCTGTTCAGAAGGCCGCTGACGACCAGCGCGAAAGGAGGCAAAGGAGGCAAGTCATAAAGCTGTGCAGGAAAGTTATCAGCGTATTGCAACTATGCAAGCACAGATGCAGGCTGATCAAGAGAATGCCCGTGTTGACGCACCTAAGCCTAAGCCTCCTCGTGCACGCCCAGTGGGGAAGGCTGCAAAAACCTCGAAGACCCCCGACTCGACTATGGATGGTAGGCAAGCAGGAGCAGAAATTGTCGCCACTGATAAGCCTGTTGTTTGCCAAAGGCAAGGGTCAAAAGGGTAGAGCCAGACAGTTAGCAGCTGGTGTTAATGTTGAACATCCTGCGACTGATGAAGACTTGGAGGAGGAGCCAGTAGTAGCAGCAAAACCCCAGAGAAAAAAGGCCACCAAACCGCTGGTGAGAGATGCGATTGAAGCGTTAAACGCTGGCGTCGTTATCGATGGATCAACAAAGGCACGTGACGCAAACGTCAAGACGATTGATATGTAAGTCTTTTCTCTTACCTAGTAACTATGAGTCTCCTTTTGACTGAAACTGCCCTTTTTTTCTTCGATTGTCGCAATAAATAATTCTGATACTGCAAGTCCCAAAAAAAATTTCGTTTGCTGGACGTGTTCCGGGGTGGATATCGACTGTTCCCACCACGAACGCCTCAAAGCCATCCTCCAAGGCTGCTACTACGCACTCACCAGTGCTAGTACTAGCTCCGCTTCTCTAAGCTCACAAAGAGGGAGCACTATCAGCAGCAATGTTCCACCCCGTCCACACCCATCAGTATTCCCGATGCTGGGTCTGCTTTCTCGGGCCTGTATGCATCTGATGCTGACTAGGACGAGTACGACTCGGAGGAGCTGTTCACCAAACCTCTTTCTGGTTTCAAAGGCAAAAAGGCTTTAACTGTGAGTCTGATCATATTTAGATTCAAATTTGATGTAGTTTCAACGAAAACTGCAGATCGCGTCCAAAGCACTTGACGATGTTTTCCCTCGCGGGTGCAACCTCAGAACCTGAGCAGCCTGATCCAGTTGAGGATGCCAGCGCGCAGAAGTCCTCAGCGATATCCGCGACCAAATTATCTTCATGAATTCGGGTATTGGCGACATCCCCCCTCCTCCACAGCTTGCCTCCCTGGGGGACTATAAGTCCGATTCCGATGCCAGTCACGAGCTACAGGCCGCGGATTATGACTCTGACCTTGTACCTCCACCCCTCGCCCAAAACCTCTTCCCGCTCCGCCTTCCCAGTGGATTATGAGTCACTGGCTGCAAGCCAGAAGCGGAAACAGCCACTCTTCTGAGCGAGGACGTTATTGTCGCTATCATCCGATGATGAAATCGTGGAGAGCACTAATGACCGTATGATCGCAATTAGGTGAACCTGCTTTTGAACCAGGTCCACGCACCGGTTGACATCTACGGTTTGTGTTGTTTGCTTGATTCTATGTTTAACTGATTGCGAGTTGTCAGACCAACATTGCTACCACTCTCAAAGCCCCTCCGGCGAAACGGCTGAAGTCCGAATCGTCCACTACCACTATAACTGGTTCCCATCGCGCTATCGCCACTGCTATCGCCACTCCCTCCAAGGCAATTGCGCGTTCTGCATTCAGGAAGAAGCATCTTCCAAAGGGTTGTCAGATGGCAAACAAGTGGGCAAGGGAGTTCATTCCTACTGCCATTCGCTGTGTTGGCGATTTATCTGAAGTATGGACGCTATCAGATGACATTCTCTGTCCTATCTTGCAGTCAGCCTGGGACGCGGTCTACAAAGACAAGATTCCACACACGGTTACAGCAGACGGGCCTGTCATCGCCCTCGTATGTTTTTTTTCGCACATGATGTAAATCTGATCATTTTATTTGTAGACCCTCCAGCGGTTGTCAGAGTGGCGCAATAGCATTAGCAATGTGGCTCTCGTTGTACTCGCTAACTTCATGATCTCGCAGGAGGACCTCAACACCGATCAGGACCGTCAAGATTTCGCATCGGGCTTGCTCGAAAGGCTCTGCTTTTGTTTGGGGACATCTCAGAGGACGGAGAGATGTCCAGACCATTCCAGTCTGACCTCCTTGTGCAGGTCCTTGTGCAGCACAAGTGCGCCACGTCTGGCGCTGTCAACATGCCAGGAACAAACAACACATTGCCGGGACACTCGAAGGGCGCTCTCGCTCTCGTTACAGCAGCGGCATGTATTTTTTTCCTCCTCATACAGCTGACCTCACCCTGTGTTTTAGATGGAACGTGCCATCAAACTTTTTGCCAATGGGCAGATGCTTCTGAGCGACATCGCCACCGCTGGCAACGGCCGAAACAACAAGACCCCGCTGCACATCAATCCGTCAACGGGTAAAGAGAGTAGTGTTCCATTGGCGTTTCAGATGCCAATTGGGGCGTGCAGACCAGGGCTTACACCACATCTATCAGCCGCTTGCCAGACTCGGTCATTTACCGCAACTCGGAGCTCGCGCAGAGCCTTGCCATGAAGAGGCGTTGGCACACGGATGGAGGTGGATGACGAAACTGAGGATGAGCGAGCCCTCATTTTCTAGAGGTAATGTCTTCGCTCTTGTTTTCATCCAATACTATCTCGAATCTGACTACTGAATAGTAGCTTGTACTACCTGGGTTGTTTTCTCGCTGTCGCCGTCTCGTTGCTGTCATCGTCTCGTTGCTGTCCGCCGTCTCATTTTTAGTTTCACACTTATTCTACTTACTACTACTTATTTCTCTCGCTACCTACTTAGTCGTCTTGTTTGGTTGAAATGTAAATGTTTTTTTCCCTCGTAACAAGAGTGATTAAGCACAAATAAGTCGAAAATAAGTGCGAAAAAGGGGATATAAATTAAACCTATCCAGATTGCAATGCAATACATCTCAAATAAGTGCACAAAAGTGGAAAAAAAGCGAAGAAAAGCTAAATACAAGAGGAAGGGATCTGCTTTTGAACTTGTTGAAGCTTGTGACAAGGAGATGACACAGCGGGGAGTTCGATATTTTACTACATTTTGCCACTAGTGAAATCACATTCGAAATGCAATCTCGAGGGCTCCGAGCGTTCCAGGCTAGGTCTAGAATGCTCTAGTCCAGGTCTAGATCTGCTTTTGATTGAAATTTTGCAAGAGGCAAAATGTCCAAACCTCCGATGTGTGATATGGTTCTTGTGCGCTCTTGTGTGAGAAAATAAGTGACGAAAAAGGAAGGTAAGGAATGTGTGAATTTACTGATGAGTCCTAGTACAGTTGAACCACTCGCATCTTCTCATCCACCCACCATGTAATTCGCCCCTGCCGCAACACCGAGTCCAGCTCGATACGACCATTCCCTTGTGTTGCTAGCACAACACGACAACCGCAAGCCCAGGGCGGCGAGCAGTTATTTCGCTTAATGTGACTGCCAGTGTTGTCCTTGAGGAGAGGAACTCGGTCCATGCTAGTTCTTTGTGCCTCTCCCTTGTGTTTCCTTGGTCACTGGTCTTTCTATCACACTGATTAATCTCTCTACTTCACTCAAACCAATCTCGTCTTCCACGCTTCATTAACCAGTCACGGTAGCATCGCGCACACGAAGTCTATTCGTTTTCAAATCATCAAACTAATCTACAGCAGCCCTTCACTCTCTCATCCTTCTCATCCCTTACCTCCCCTGATTGAACCAGTGCGGCACTCACCCTCCCTAGTTTCAGGCGCTGTTACATTCGCAATGGGACTGCCCTAACCCGTTATTTTGCCTGGTTGGAGGAAGAACTTAACTTAACGGCGGTGTTGAGCTCAACGAAAGCAAAGCCAGAGCTAAGCTCGAAGAATTCAGATTGTCGGCGTGGGGCGATATTTTCTTTTGCAGCTCACCTCCTAGTAGTGAGCTGGACTTGTTTCGTGGATTGTCATTCACAACAATCCCATCTACTGGACTTATTGCTGGTGCGCTCCTGATGACATTGACACGACACCTGAAACTCACGAGTCCTCCATCGAGATCCCAGATATATTGGCCACCTCCCCCTCTAATCCCCTGAAACGAGCTGTATCTCCTGATGTCGAAGTTCAACCAATACCAGCACTGAAAAAATAGTGAACTGGCAGTACTACGGGTGTTCATTCCAGCCTCCCAGACTCACCTTCACCAGCCTCGATAAGTTCCGAGATTCCCTGCATTGAATCTTGTGATCAAGAGAATGAGGTAAGTGCCATATTTTTCGTATATCGCTCTCGGTCAAGAAAGAGCTGCTTGTAGTTCCTGCGCCTGCTAAGAAGACTCATCAGCCAAGTGTAAAACCAATGCGTATTGGCACGAAAGTAACGCCTTGGTACGTCTTAGCTGATATCACGTACTAGTATTTTCTGATCTGTTTTCGTAGTAATCTGTGTGCGCTCGATTGGCAAGCAAATGGTCACCAGCGTGAACCGGTTAGTTCTAATCTTGTTCTCAAACCTCGGCCCAGACCTATTCCACAGCAACTTCCTCCAACTTCTATCGGTTCTCCGCCTTCTGAATCCCACTCTGCTATGATACCGCCCTCCAACAAGAACACACCAGTCTCCGTGCCAGAGGTCCAATCGAACACCGATGCAGTTTCACTAGCTGTGAAAGTGGAACTCGTTGGAATGACTCATACTGAACAAACGAAGACCGCGATCGTGGTCGGTGACTCGAAGCCTAATAGCATCAATAAGCACCAGCCGAGCACCAAGCCAATGCGGGTGGTGAGCCCAAAGATCACTGCGCGGTAAGATATTCTATTATTACCAGACCAATCTAAACTGACTCTGTGATCCATATCAAACAGAAACCTGTGTGCTCTCGACTGGCAATCAAACGGTCATCAAAAGGAACCAGCGACCGTTTTTGCATCTTACTGGAATGGGCTATCTAAAGCCGACAAAGAGGTGCGTCTTCTTTTGTTATATTGATATCTATCTGATACCGTTTACTATTGTAGATATACAAGTGCAAGGCAGCTGTTCAGGTGAGCGCTACCCACTATATTCTATTTCATCGTACTACACTAATGGCCCTGTTCTATAGCTCAAATCAGCTTAGCTCTATATCGATATGTTTTTCAAGCCAAATCGAGTGATAATGTGCATGTAAATGTCTATCTAAAGATCTAATGCCATTGAGAATCCTATCTAAACGTTAAAAACTCGTCTCGATCTCTATCTTTTTGCGTCTCAAAAAGTCACAATTTAGGGATATACCTCGAAATGGGTCGATAGAATTGATGTCCTGATTTTTTTTCTATGTCTATCGTTACATATCTACCTCTAACTTGTCGATTTTCACTGGGGTTGACGCACGAAACATGGCCTTTGTAAGCCGTCACATGAAGATTCTCATTCGGTGTGCTTCTATTCTATTGAATCACACATCACAGTTCTCCCCAGGTCTCAACTTGAGAATCGGCGCTGCACTTTCTCCTCCTTCTCTGCGCCCATCGTCTTTTGCCTTTCGCTCTCTCGTTTTTTGCACCCACCCACCTCCCTATCTGCAACTTCTAGCGTGTTTTGGTCTGGATTAGTGTTTCCTTTCGGACCCTTCGGTCTGCGCACTTTTCGGACTCAACACAATCCGAAGGTTTGTCTTTGTCGATCCCAAATCCTCTCCGAGCACAAGCTGCTTTTTCGGACTTCCCGGGATCCACGCGCCTCGCCCAGACCCCTGCCTTCCTGCACTGGTCTGGCAAAGCCAGACCTTCCCACACACAAAACGAATTAAACTAAACAACCTCCCTTTGATTCGTTTATCTAAGATCGCAACACTTCACGTCTCGTCTTCTCTCCTCGAAAGTAATATTCGTTCGCATCTAACTACCCCCCTTCTCCTCCTCAGATCTCTCTCGATAACGGCTAGCTCTCGCACAGATTCGAGCTAACGAATATTATTTCCCTTTCTCTTATCTTCTCTTAGACGACGCGTAAATACAAAGGTGTATGGGCGTTAATGAGAGTCAATTGGTCAAATTAAAATCATTTGAAATGGACCGAGAACTTGTATTGGGAGAGCAGTTCGGATCTGGACAAAAGAAAAGATGCGAATTGTTTTTTGAAGAAAGCGCTGAGCCAGCTTCTTCGGCCACATGTACACGCTGCCACCAGGAGTATAGCCTATCACGTCATGCTGCAGTGTACCATGTTATGTAGACTTCCAGGGAGTCAGCAAGTACAATTCAAACTCAAATATTATTTTATTTCGCCGGTCGTTTAGGTGCAGTCTCAGATGAAAATTTTCAAATAGTTACTAAAAATTCGGGTTGTAGGGGGAGCGCTGAGCCTCGAGGCCTAGGTCTTTGCTACTGATAGGGGTCGGCGGTGCCGACTTGTGACCGTGCGGAGCGATTGCCTTTTTATTGGGACAATGGTAATAGTAGTCTAGGGACTGTGTGCCCTGAAGGGAGCCGTGAGAATCGGATTTCATTATGACGTCTTGTGTCAGGTTGCCTTTGATATGTGCTCTACTTTTGCAACTTCTTCTTTGATCAGAACGAGGCAAGTGCTTCCATTGACCTCCGAACACCCATTAGAAAACTTTATTAACCATGATTCGAGGTATCTCTTATCTACATGCTGAGCATAAGCGCCACGCAAGTACTGCTATATGCGCACACTTTGGTGTTGTTTTGAATCTGCACGTCGTAGTTGATCTGCACGGTAATCGATTCCACATTGCTATCGAGTGGTCTTAGTACTTTAACTTCAGTGCCATAACGCGCGATTCTGCCGCATCTGCCACGCTTTCTGCCACTATCTGCCTGGCAGCATCACTGGCCAGTTTAATATCAAAGGCGCTCCCCACTAAAGCCCAAGGAACTATGTATTACGGTATGGGCGTTGATTAAATTTGGACGGTTCGCATTGAGTATTATGACGTGCACCCAAACCACGCCCCCAGTGACAGCAACCCTATCTGAGTAGGTAGTAGGTACCAGCGTAGTGGCGAACTTTGTCTACAATTTACGGAAGATCGGAGTCTCGGGACAAGTCCCGATCTTGCAAGCATCGTGTATGCATATATATAAGAGAACACAATGATGCAGAACCTCAATATTCAATGATGAAGATGGTTCTGCACCTCTTTTTTTTCCTGGTTCTGCCTTTTGCTCCCGTGCTAGCGCAGTACCAGAATATAACCGTCACCAATACTGATCCTTCTATCCGTTTTTCTAGTGGTTGGAACCCATCTGGCGTTGGCGTCTGCACAGTAGATGTTGATGCCTACGGAGGCGCGCGCAATTGCACCGATCAGTACGGCGCTAATGCAACCTTCACGTTCACCGGTACGTATGCTTGTAGCATTATTGATGACTGAGTACTGAATATCGAATCCCATAGGTGTTGCAGTATACTACATAGAGCCTCTTTTTCCTAATAGCGATTATGTTACTACCGTTCTTTCACTTGACTCTGGACCACTTGTTTTGATAGATCTCAGCGCCGAGACCGCAGAGCCATGGGCTGTCAGATGGGGAGCAAGTGGACTGAATAACGGCCCACATACTCTTGTCATCTTCGGGCCTAGTCATACTGCTACCCCAAGTGGCACGTATGGCGAAGTGAATGCATTCATGTGAGCGATCTTGTGTGTGCTTACTCCATCGCCTAACAGTATTTGTAGCTACACAGTAGTTGAGCAGGATCCAGTAGCTCAGACGACTTCAGGAGCTCAGACGACTTCAGGAACTCAGTCGACTTCAGGAGCTCAGTCGACTTCAGGAGCTCAGTCGACTTCAGGAGCGCAGTCGACTTCAGGAGCTCAGTCGACTTCAGGAGCTCAGCCTTCTCCAGTAGCTCAGTCTGATCTAGCAGTTGAACAGCATCCCAATATCGCTGCAATTGTGGGCGGTACTGTTGGTGCGGTAGCTCTGGCATTAATGGCACTAGCAAGTTGGATCTTTCGCCAAAATTTGGAGGATTGGCTCAGAGATCTCGTTTGTTTCTTGTCTTGAGTAGGTCGATCTGAAATACTAATGACGTTCGTTCCAGGCGTTTTTCGCGTTTGGATGGTTTTTCTTCAAGAGGTGTCGCGTTGTCCTCATCTCCGATGTCCTTCACGAAACCCAGGTTCGTTGTGATATCGAATGATGCTAGTCTCACTCAATCCCTCTCATTCTCTAGATCACGTTTTTCCTCACTCTGACTCCAGGTCTTCCTGGCAGTGCCAGTCAAGCCCAGTCGTCCGGTGACGGTGAAGATGAAGTATTACGTTGGAAGGTATATCATCGAGATTTCCTGGATTTCGGCTGCTTGACACTGTTAACAGGTCATTCAAATCGGTCCCGCTAGTAAGAGCTTGACTTGGTGTTTGTTCCTCAGTGAACCGTCTAATAATTCGCAGAGCGTCAAGAGGTTGTCTATCTGCCCTCCACGTATGTAGCGATATCTTCTTGGTTGAGCGGCAGTACCCATTTTCTTCAGAGGTCGCACGGATATTCCTGGCCTTGTGGTCTGTAGATTGAACGCGATGAGAAATGGTTTCGAGGCCAACGAAATATCACCTGGGGCAGCGGTCAGGCTATCTTGTTTTGCCAAGTATCTAGAGATCTAACACTGTTTCTGTAGTCCGACTTCATACAGAATGGGGAAGCCTATGAATGGGTCCCAAGCGATCGCCCTGGGATATCTGTTAGAAATCAGGCGCCGCATGATGACCTTTTCGCTCTTGGTCAGACATTTGGGACTTCCTCCTACAGATGACTAACAATTGTAAATAGCAACGCTGTTTGACGATGGAAGCGCAAATCCATTCAGGACATTCACTCTACTGTCTGTTGATTTATTTCATCGTATCCAACATTTGTCTGACTATTGCGATGTAGAAAAAATGCATCACGAGAGTTCGATGTCGGTATCTACCTTCACGCATTCCGAACTACAGGTGCTACGCGTGAGCATGTCTCTAATTTGGATATGGATTGCGGTACTCAACGGTGGACCATAGCTGGTTCCCAACATGACTTTTCTGATCCTGAATTCCTTGCCAATCGAATCACCGAAGAGGAAGGCTGCGAAGTTTCAAAACTTGGCCCAGTACGTCAGAATCGCAGTCTTTGGTTTTCATCGTTAACACTCAGTCCTTGCGTTTGATAGGTGACGTACTGGTATGTTTACGAGGACGGCAACCGGTTGAAGGTCAAAATTGCAAAATCTCGAAAGGAGATTAAACGATACAAGCATGAACTTACAACGAATTTCCCTGATTCTCCGAGTCCATGGTACAAAGTACGTCGGGACGGTAACAGGGGCACCTATCACCCTATTGGTAGTACTGCAAAGAATGGATAGTCAGAGCCAGCTGGAACAATGTAACGACCATATTATAGTAGATGAAACCAATATATGAACGAGAAACTAAATGAGTGGACATGTTATAACTACAAGAGGCGAGCCTTTGTGACGGGAAGAACAAGTGCACGTACCTCATAGGTAGTCACGGTGTTGCCACGAAGTGAGCTGAACTGAAACGAAGTGTGATCAGTGTGAGTTCGGTCACACTTCGTTTTTCGAAGTCAAACGAACTGAACTAAAAGAAAGTCGGCTATGAAACCAGCCAATCAGGTGTCCGAGCGATATACACAGCATGTACTCGAGATATGAAGTGGCTATGTGCGCCAAGATAAATCTACGCTAAGATATCCTCCGAGTCGTCCTCATCTGTGATCGAGTTTCGAACGAGATCGTGAAGTTCATCCAACTTCCCTGCATGTATCAGCTCCTCCATAGCCCTTTGCAGAGACGAGTATGTCCCTCCCAACCAACCACTTTTCTCATCCCCGCTCAACTTCGTGTTAGAGGTCGACACTTCACTGAAGATATCTCTGCACTCCACAGCGCCGCAATGCAGCTCGCTTCCCGTCCAGAAACTCGTCCTCTTTATAACCTCCGCCTGTATCCCATTTCTCTCGAGCGCTCCGTCTTGCTCGCCCAGCACGCGTTCGAAGAAAAGCTTAGCTTAGAATCAATACAGACCGCCTACGAGCAGGAACGTGAAAGAATCGAGGAAGAATGGCGCAAGGGCCGTGATCGTCTCATGCACTTTTGAGTAGACTCAAAAGCGCACAGAATGGGCCTATAACAAGGACATATTCTTACAAGATACCGCTGAATCACTCACCACCTGATTTTGCAGATCCCAAATGCAGAGGTTCGCGATGTATACCCTCCCTCAGCATGCCAGCACGACTCACTCGTGTTTCCGATAGTATATCTGATCACACGTACCGCATGGCTATGCTCGCTATGTGTACGTCGGACAGCACGTTCGATGTTTCAAAGTGCGTCACTTTCATCGGAGATGAGTCGTGGAATGACATGTTTATGACGATGTCTGAAGATGTGTTATGATGGATGTCGTGCTGAAGCGCAAGGTAAATCCATAACATATCTTGTGTTATGTTTTCTCGTGTTGCAAAGATCAGCACTGATGACATGGCAGTGGGTGACATCACACCTCGAGAAGGTATTTCGAAACAGGAAAAACAGCGCTTAGAAGCGGTCAGCCATTCATACCTTACAACACCCCGAGTCGTACCTCCGATTCAAAAATACCTTCCACCGTACAGGAAGCGATGCATAATTTTGTGCATGATATGCTCCATGGTTCCCCAGCAGCGCTACGAATTGAAGCCCTCTGGAACGTAAATCCTGCATCGCTCAATTCGAAGCTGGTGCTTCATGCAGGAACACGAAGAGGGAGAGATGAACGAAGCAAAGTTCGTCAAAGGTCTGGCTTTGCTATTCCTGTTGCTGTGCCTGTTGCTGTGCTCTTATTTATTTTTTGACGTGTTTGTAGACCTTGATAGACTGGAGATGGCGCTGCAAGGTATGTAGCTGCGTCATCATCGTGTTATGTTCATGATATATTCATGTGCGTGCATAGCACGCGAATATGAAACGGCGCATGCGCTGGATCTTTACCCGTTTTTCGATTCCAGCTTGCCCATTTGCGTCATCTAGAGGTCAAGTGGTGGGGCGAGGATTTGGCGCGGACTCGCTCACACTAGCTGGATTTGGTTGATATAAGGAATGCCAAGCACAGGCCGTGTTTGTGACTCGAAGCTTGCTACTTAGGTCACCCAATACAACATTTGAAGATAAACTAGTCCGAACACTTTCACATCCCGTCTTTGGTGGGATATGTATTGTGTACTACCCACAGCAGGGAAAGACTCGAACATTGGAACCAGGAGGTGATGCTAGTGTGAATTTCGTGTTCGACACTGCGTGAAGGGCACCACGATCTTTGTCTCTGCATGTATGCCGACTGATCGTCTGCCAGGATTGAATCCTGAGGCCTCGGTTGACTCTTTACAGATGTGATGGATAGTATGTGGACTGACATACAAGAGTAGTCTATCTAGTTAGTACATGTGCTAGTGGAGCAATGAGTCTGTCTCTGGCGCCATTGACTATATGGAACTTCAAGGTGGGGTACTCCGGACAAGTAAAGAGATGGATTATGAACCGGGCGCACAATCCGCTCATGGCCGTAAAACGTGACATTAGAGTTGTAGGTTGAGTCAACTGAGGTTTAGGTGGCACCTAAGGATGTTTAAGATATGGAAGTGACGAGTGGCTACTAAGAACTCGCTGACGGCGCGAGATGATAGAATGGTGAACGCTCTGAGCATTAGAAAGAGGGGATGGATGGGTAGGTACGATAGGACCGTGCACAGCAGCTATAATATTTGGGTGATGGCATTGATGTATATGATGAGTGGAACGGGTGTCTTGGAGGGAAAAGTGTTCTAAAGGATGAAAAGGCCAAAAAGTGGTATATGGTGAAGTGCTGCCCCAATGAATGCGCTCGCCCGGTCATCGTAAGCGTCAATGCGGTGACTCCAATCGAGGTCTGTCCGTCAGGTTGTATGAAGCGAAAGCGCGGAGTGATTGGGGGCAGAATTCGGTGCAGTTAGCTCGGCCAGTGACATCGGTGAACGTTTGATTAAGGGAGTGGCGAGAACGTGGCAGAACGGCGCAGAATGGGCATACACGAACTTTGACTTAATTAAGGAAACATGCGGTGGTTGCCACGTTGACTCGGCCTGGATGTTTGCCACTGATACGTTCAGGAACTTGTGTTTCTTTCTACCGGCAGAACTGGCAGAGCCACAGAACGTTCTGCCTCTGTCAAGTTCAACAGATACTGGTGGAATTGCACTGACACGCAGGCTCTACGCACAGGCTCAGTACGTACTTAATCATTCAGACTCGGAGAGAGTCTGGTTAAAGAGCTAGATCCCGATGCCATGAACAGAGCAGTGATAGTCAATTCGAACACCTTATGGATGCCGTATGTAAAATGCTGCAACTGTGCACAAGAGCCGCTGTATGAAGAAACTCGTGCAAGGTTCGCAACACTGGCGGCCGCCCGCCGCGCGCAGGAACTGCAGCACGTTAACGAGGGATTAATGTCTTCCATTATGGTCACGGATCATAATACCTCCAAACTCAGCTGATCCATGGGATATTCCAAGGAATATTGATTCCACGTTAATGCATCATTGGCTAGTGGGTGGTGCCATATGATATTCAATTAAAGGCGCTCCGCAGTGTCCGCACTACTAGTACACAAGTACTTATGTACGTATGGGCGTCAGTCAAAATGAAAATTTCGCTAAAGCTCGCCAACCAACTCTCGGCTAATAATAGCAATGAAAGCTGCCATCTCCACCAATCGAATGGGTGGGCGACTGAAGTTGTAAGTGCTCGTAAGTGTCCGTAACGCGCGTTATTAAGTTAAGCGTTAAGCCAGGCCTAGTGCATGTGGCAAACTTTGTCTGCGATTTACGACATGGTTCTCAGAGCTTTGAGTCTCATAACTATCCCTCCAGCATTGTAGCCCCGATCTTGCAAGCACATTTAAGGACTCGTAACATTGACGAACATGCAGTGTCATGTTCAGCTTCAGATCTTCAACGATATTGATGCGGATTGTTCAGCACCTCTTTTTTTTCCTGGCTCTTCTTTTTGCTCCCGTGCAAGCGACGTACCTGAATGTAACCGTCAACAATACTGATCCTTCCATCCAATTTTCTAGTGGTTGGAACTCGTGCCCAGATATTAGTCCTCCAGATGGCCTTTCCTACGGAGGCACGCGCAATTGTACCAGTCAGTACGGCACTAATGCAACCTTCACATTCACCGGTACGTATGCTTAGGCTTGTGGCATCATTGATTACAGAATATTGAATGTCATGGACTGACTGGTATCCCTAGGTGTTGTGGTATACTACATAGCGCCTCATTTTACTGCAGATGGAGATGTTCTCACCGTCCTTCAACTCGACTCGGAACCACTTGTTGTAGTGAACCTCACCCAGGCCCAAGGTCAGAGCCTTGATTGGGCCATCAGATGGGCAGCAAGCGGACTGAAGAACGGCACACATACTCTTGTCATCTACGGGCCTAGTAATACTATGACCCCAAGTAGCACGTGGGGCGAAGTGAATGCATTTATGTGAGTGATCATTGTGCGTGCTTACTCCATTGCCTAACACTATCTGTAGCTACACAGTAGCTCAGCCGGATCCAGTAGCTCAGCCGGATCCAACAGTTCAGCCGGATCCAACAGTTCAGCCGGATCCAACAGTTCAGCCGATCCACAGTCCGGATCCAGCAGTTCAGCAGCATCCTAATATCGCTGCAATTGTGGGCGGTGCTGTTGCTGGTGCGGTAGCTCTGGCATTAATGACACTAGCATGTTGGACCTTTCGCCAAAATTTGGAGGACTGGCTCAGAGATCTCGTTTGTTTCTTGTCTTAAGTGGGTTGGTCTGAAATACTAATGGCGTTCGTTCCAGGCGTTTTTCGTGTTTGGATGGTTACTCTTCGAGAGGTGTCGCGTTGTCCTCATCTCTGATGTCCTTCACGAAACCCAGGTTCGTTGTGATATCGAATGATGCTGGTCTCACTCAATCCCTTCCATTCTCCAGATCACGCTTTTCCTCACTCTGACTCCAGGTCTTCCTGGCAGTGCCAGTCAAGCCCAGTCGTCCGGTGACGGTGAAGATGAAGTATTACGTTGGAAGGTATATCATCGAGATTTCCTGGATTTCGGCTGCCTGACACTGTTAACAGGTCCTTGAAATTGGTCCCGCTAGTAAGAGCTTGAATTGGTGTTTGGTCCTAGGAGAACCGTCTAATAATTCGCAGAGCGTCAAGAGGTTGTCTATCTGCCCTCCACGTATGTAGCGATATCTTCTTGGTTGAGCGGAAGTACCCACTTTCTTCAGAGGTCGTACGGGTGTTCCTGGCCTTGTGCTCTGTAGATTGAACGCGATGGGAAATGGTTTCGAGGCCAACGAAATATCACCTGGTGCAGCGGTCAGGCTATCTTGTTTTGCCAAGTATCTAGAGATCTAACACTGTTTCTGTAGTCCGACTTCATACAGAATGGGGAAGCCTATGAATGGGTCCCAAGCGATCGCCCTGGGATATCTGTTAGAAATCAGGCGCCGCATGATGACCTTTTCGCTCTTGGTCAGACATTTGGGACTTCCTCCTACAAATGACTAACACTTGTAAACAGCAACGCTGTTTGACGATGGAAGCGGCAAATCCATTCAGGACATTCACTCTACTGTCTGTTGATTTATTTCATCGTATCCAACATTTGTCTGACTATTGCAATGTAGAAAAAATGCATCACGAGAGTTCACTGGCGGTATTTACGTTCACGCATTCCGAACTACAGGTGCTACGCGTGAGCATGTCTCTAATTTGGATATGGATTGCGGTACTCAACGGTGGACCGTAGCTGGTTCCCAACATGACTTTTCTGATCCTGAATTCCTTGCCAATCGAATCACCGAAGAGAACGGCTGCGAAGTTTCAAAACTTGGCCCAGTACGTCAGAATCGCAGTCTTGGGTTTTCATCGTTAACACTCAGTCCTTGCGTTTAATAGGTGACGTACTGGTATGTTTACGAGGACGGCAACCGGTTGAAGGTCAAAATTGCAAAATCGCGAAGGGAGATTAAACAATATCGGCATCAGCTTACATCGAGAGTATAGGATGTCCATGTTGCAAATATCTCTCGGATCTTCAATTTCCTTGATTTTTATGGTGCAGTCACAAAGGCTCGCCTCTTGTAGTTGTAACACGTCTACTCATTTATATTCTCATTCACATGTTGGTTTCCTCAATACCATGTATGGCCGTTACACTGTTCCGGCTAGCTCTGACAATCCATATTTCGGTACATTAACAATACTACGAATAGAGTGATAGGTGGCCCGTTACCGTTCCAAAGTCCTTCATGCTGGTCGTTGTTCAGCGCTCAGCAATGAGTATGCAGAGAGAAGTACAAAGACGGCTTACCAAATCGAGCATCTGAGATCAGACCCAGCCCAACGCCAAATCGGGCCATACATCCGGTTCGCTCGTACTTGCCTGGCGAAGTTCCCCTGATTAGGCGGATGCGACCACCGACCGAACCGCCATATACTGATGAACTACGAAAAAGGAAACCGAATCGAAAGTCAGCAGAATATCATAGCCATATCCCGTATGTATCCCCGCAGATCACTGTACCCACTATGAGCAAAATCGGATTTGGTGTTCGTACGTTGACCTCAGGACGCCACACAAAACTGGGCCGAAACACAGATGTACGCTCCATTTGCCTGCTATCTACTAACATCTAGACTAATCTCTGATTTTCATGCAGGTCGTCATCACACTTGTTCCATCGCCTGGGGATGGGGAGAGCGTGATGAGTTCTGGTGGCTTTATTCCAATACCTTGGAAGGTACGCAGCCACCACCGTGACCTAGCATGATAAAGACAAGTAGTTGACGTGCTATTGTTCCAGATCCTTAATTTCCAAGCCAATAGTGAAGTAGTACTTTTCCCGAGCTTGACTTGAGTACTTAAAACGCTGTTGTGACAGGCAGTACATACCGTTCAGTTACTATACACTCAGAGTAAAGGGTTATCACTATTTCCTTGTTCCGTGCGACTGATGAGATTTTGAAAGGATTGCCGTTTGCACAGTCAAGGAAAAGGCAAATGGCGTCCTGACCCCTCAGCTCAGTGAAACACTTACGGTATGGCGAAATTTGTGTCACTCGATATCTACCCTTGACATTACTTCCTGAAGAAAGGTGGCGAGATTGTACTCAAGATTATGAAACCGGGGGAGCAGGACGAGGACGAGCAGGGCGAGTTGCAATGGATGTTAGCTTCTTCTCTGTCTCCGCCTTACACTGATATGAACGACCATAGTAGTAACACAGACGTCACCGGAAAACAGGTATCGACCGATTTCGGGGACAAGCACGATGACTGACGAGTCGCTTCCGATGTGTTGCAGCAGACTACACCTGCATCTGCCAATGACAATTTCATAATCAAGAATGAGTATGAGGATACTAGGCTTGCTCTATGCTTAACCGACGAGGACGGTGAACGTCTACCTATCGTTGATTTGGGCGAACTCCCGTCCGTTCCTGTGCGACTTCTCAGTGACTGAGCTGACAACACCTCATGCAGAAAGAATCAAATATTCACGATCAATGGCCCGTTATGTGTGCAAGCCTACGTCATGGCAGGACAAACGGGTGCATTTATGCGCATTTACAACAAGGAATTGCCTAAATCTCCTCGTTGTCCCCAGTGGGAAAGCCGCTGAAATCGACGAACTATGTCCCGTCGCTGGGACCTATGGCTGTAGGCGATATCTCCGAGGTGCGTTTCCTTCATGTAGTATCGCTAATACTGAACATTCCTATTCCCTTCATCGTTATGAAGAAATCATTCAAACTTTATACCAAGCCAAACGGAACAACCATTCTTGAGTAGCCCTCATAATAGTGTCTTATATGTCGGAATGGTACAACACAGAGGTTCGCGAATAGTGGTAGTGATAGGTCGCCAGTGTCGTTGCATACCAGAATTCAATGCGATCTAAGTTTAAAGATCACCATCCCTTGCCATTGGAAAAAAAAATCATTGGTTGTGTTCTCCTTCAAGTCAGCCTGACCATGCATGTTTTTATGAGCAGAAAGATGCGTCTTGCTGCCATGGGTTTCACAACCTCTACCAGGTCCACCCTACTTACTTTGCTTCTGTGCTCATTGGCTATAGCTAAGTGTACTCTAGCTACTGCAGTGCAATTTGATGCGCCCATTATCGTGATCAAACGGAGCCTACGATTACCGCACAATAAGGTAACAACACTGGTAGGAGGATTTATGTGTATAATCTCATTACCCACGCAAGGGACCACCAGGAAGCACAATTGTCACAACAATTGCATATCATATGATACGAGTACCGGGAACAGTAGTAGTTCTATGAAGGTAAGTGAAAAACTTTCTGAGACATCCCCGCTCTTCAGGATGCATAATATAGCTACAGTATCTCTAGTGTCCTGATGGAGTCCATCATGTTGTTAACAGAAGCCACGTCTTCGACTTGTGCGACGATATCGTGATCTGACGCGATTCTCTTGTATTCCCCGCCACGCTGCTGCGCTAGTAGAAACGCACCAAAAGGCTGTCCAAGACGAACAATCAATTGAAACGCTCGCAAGTGAGAGTCTGAATCAGCCCAATATTCTCCAGGAAGTCTGTCGGGTGAATCGTGCGACGGAGACTGAGGCACGGACCAAAAACCTTCCTCGCTCTGCGTATCGTCCCCAAAACTCTGCTCGCTCTGCGTATTGTCCCCAAAATCAAGCGGTTCTGCGAAGTCAGGCAACTTAAGGAGGTGCCGATTCCACGGATAGACAAGTAAGAATGTCTGCAGGATTGGCTTTGCTGGTGAAAATTGAACCAGCTTGTCTTCCGTGGTGATCAGCAGATCATGAAGTCCGTGTGCCTTGACTTCATACGTGAAATACGGCTTCTGGCCTTGATCACGCCTCCGTCTGAATTCCGTGACAAGGAATGTGATGCAGGGCAGATGAAGCCGACGTTGAGAGAAACGCGGCGCGCTTAAGTTGTCAAGCGCGTTGTACAGTTTTGAAGCCAAATCTACAGACACGGTATTCTGAAGCGAGGAGACAGTTGCCTGGAAGTCGTCTTCAGACAAAGATGGTAGGGTGCATGACGGAGCTGTATATGAGGTAATTTCGGCTGGCAGACAACTATTGAATTCGGATGATTTTCCGACCCAGTCCAGGGCAGTGATGTCGCCCGACTGAGCCACGATCTCCTGCAAGAGCCTTCCGAGAGCGTTTTGCTTCTTCTCACCGTAGATAACGGGTAGGTGAATGTCGAAGATGCCAAATAATGAGTATGCAATGTCTTCCTGCAACGTGGTGACACGCGTTGACGCCCATTGGAGTTTTTCTCTGGCGCCCCTCATCCCTGGACGGAATGAGACGAGGGTCTGTGGATCTATGCCCGTCGCATCCTGCAATTCCTTCATGATAGCGACAGAGTCTTTGTGGTTGCGAGAGCGGTCGTCGAGATAAAGGGTCCAGTCCTTCTGATAAAGAGCACGACTTTGGGGGCTACGAATTCCTGAAAGGTCCATCCTCTCCTATTCCACTCACTCTTCGCCAGTGCGCCAGACTTGGATGAAGGAGGAGCATCCGAAAGGTAGACAATCGTGAGAGCTGAGTGGTGATACCAAATAAACATGGAATTAACTGATTCCTGCAGCTCTGCATTATTATTCTTGTCGATGCAGCATGTATCGCTCCACGCCCAGCGATACCCCGCATCACGAGAAGCTTTGCAGAACGACTGCAACTTGACGACACCGTCAACTGGATTCAACTTGTACACGTCCTCCTCCCGGATGTCCTGCAGCAGCGGCTCCATTCTTTCCCACCTATGTGATAGCATGACATAGTGGAAGTACGGCGCCACCACGTCTTTGATGCGCTTCCTTTGGAGGTCGGCGTGCTTCGTAGTTGACGACACAAGCTCCTTGTACTCTGTGCTCGCTTCGAAGGCGCTTATCTGCGCCTTTCGATCACATAAGCACCCAGTGACGGTGTTAAATAGACGATGCGGGGCGTTCTCGAGTTGAGCATCAATAACCTCTCGAATAGCAACTTCCACTTCAGATCGTTTGACATACTGCTGGCGCAGCTCTGGATAAACAGTTAAGCATCCTGTCGCATGGGTTATATGTTCAGCGCTCACTTTGCATTTGTGTGTCGGGGGAATATTCCAACTTAGAGAGCATGATTTGGAAGGCCTCAATTGCTTCATCGTAGCGTTGTGCGCCATAAAGCGCCGTATGTTTCACCTCGTATCCACGATAAGATGAAGGATTGAGTTCAACAGCCTAAGTATCGTCAAAGTGAGCATTGGCGACAAAACGGTAGATATCATCGCACCACTTGCGCATCGACAATAGCACCCTCCCATAGCATTTTTTTCGACTTCGCCATACTGCGATTCGCATAGATGGTATCGGTTGCAGAATCCAGGTCAATCGCCGCCGAGTATAGCTCAATGGCCCTGTCATAATCGTGTGCAGCGAGGGCGGCATCTCCGCCCGCAGCGAGGACAATATCACCGCTCGCAATGAGAGCAGCATCTATATTGGCAGCATAGCGCATACTGCAATTTTGCTTAAAAGCTGAGTTAGATGTGGATAAGGATTGTAGCCCGTGTGACGTTGCTAGAAACTTGCCCGTGGACCAATTAAGGCAAGCGACCTTCATACTTTCATCGCTCTCATCCATCATATATCGATATGATCTAACAGCTTCGATAAGTCTACCCGCGCAAAGGAGTGCATCACACCATTTCTGATGTGCATTTTGCCACAGGGATTTCAGGTCCCATCCGAAGAGCTGCATAAAGCATGCAGTTGAGCATGTGGAGCACATTTGGTTGCGTCATATCAACGTACCACAACAAAGTCCTCGTATGTAGAATGAATGGCTGATTCAGACGAGAAGCCAATGGAGTTGACAGCATTGGCGAAATGGTCAGCAGCTTCGTTGTAACGCGCATCATCCAAGGCATTGGTTCCCAGTCGGACAAGTAGATAAGCCTAGAGTACAGGTTAAGAAAAATTAGTGTCGATCGACGTACGAACCTGAAATTTGTTAAATGCAAGATGCTCACTTCCACGACACCATACACAACAGTATTTGCACTAGGACAAGTGGTGGCAAGTTCTTGAAGGCGTTGTTGCATTGCGTCCACTTGTCGATTTGCATTGAAGAGTGCGATGGCCTGAAATTCGGAATGAAAGAGGTAGTATGCGGGTGATACTGAACCTGCCTTGATCAATAGAAGTAAATGGACAGTCTTTGAATCTTCGTTCGTGAACGTGAACGCGACGTCAAATACTTTCATCGCGTCCTGAAATTGCATTTTCCCGCATAATGCAATGCCCTTCGAGATCAAGCCCGATAACGAGGGCTGAATGCTCACGGACTGTGTTGTCATGAAAATTAGCCCATCTCGAGAGTGGTGTATTTCACCTTGCATGCATCAACAAGAGCACAATCCCAATCAAGTTTTCGTGCCATGACGACGGAGCGATTGGCATAGGAGTTATAGTTGTCACCGTCGGCGTCGATCTCCTTTGTTAGCAGTGCTTCAGCGACATCCAAGTCCCCAGTTAAGCATGCATTGCGGATCGTCGTGTTCATGGAGAGGATCTGCATGAAGCATGGTCACGTTGTGTGACCACAGTCAGGGGTGAGAGACATACCTCGGATTCTAAAGCTTGAGGCTTCACATCAAAATTAGAGAATAGGACAAAGGGACAGGATGTCGGTGCGAACTTGCCTTGTTTGTCCACTGACCGCCTGGTGTGTCCTTCCGCAAAGTGTTCTTGCGCGAATTGAGCTTCTGAAGGGGTAAAATAAGGGGGTCTTACGACGTTTAATGGATGTTCCATAGGGACATCCACCGGCAAAGCATCTTCAGGTACTGTCCACTCTAAGACTTTTTTATCATAACCTCCACTCAGGATGTGCTTTCCATCTGCAGAGAAGGTAATGCAGCACACTGCACTGGAATGCTTGAATACGGAAATGGTTCGTCGATCCGAGAGACACCATAGACGGACATGGGTGTCATGAGATGCAGAGGCAACGAGCGTACCAGCAGAATTTATGGCAATGGCGTTGATAAAGCCGGTGTGCCCGTTCCAAGGATTATCAACCTGGTTCCAGGTCAATGAATCCCAACCCCGTATGGTGGGATCAGAACCAGAACCCGCCGAAAGAAGCTGCCTGCCATCGGGCGTCCACACGAGTGAAATGTTATTTGCTGGACTGATCGCTGCGTGAAAGTTTGCGATACAATCCCTTGTGCGCGGATTCCATAATTGGATATCCTTGAATGTCGCGATGGCGAGAAGTTCGCCATCTGGCGAATACCGAACACAGTAGACTACTGCACAACAGGCGATTGGATTTCCTTGCAGCTTCCACGTTTTGGTGCACCAAAGCTTTGTCGTTTGGTCCCGTGAACCAGTTGCTAGTATTTTGTTATTAGGAGAAAAGTCCAGCGAGAAGATCGACCAGGAGTGGGCTTTGATAGCTTTGGTGAGAGATTCACCAGTGACACCGTGCCAAGCGATGAGCTCTCCCTTGTCACCCCCGCTTATTATGACTTGCCCATCTCGTGATATCACCACTGCCCATACAGAGTCGTGATTTCCCTCCATATTCTTCAACACAATGCCATTCTTCAAGTCCCACAGACGAAGGGTCTTGTCTGTCGAGCCCGTTATCATACGGCGTCCATCGGGGAAGATTGCGACTGCGAGAACACTGCCTTTATGACCCTCAAACGCTCGACCGGACGTGGTAATGACGGGCTGCGCTGGGCCTTCCGCTATTCTAGGAGAGGTTGATGGTTGTAAGCTTGATCCACGAACCTATATGCACCTGATTAGGATTAGTTGGTATGATACAATGTAAATGCTTACATTCAAGTACATAGCTGCATTACACAACGTCGAAGTGACATTCAACGTATTTAATCCGTGGTTTGACGAAGTTGGACAAAGTTGAGCGAGATAAAACCCTTGATCTCAGAAGATGAGCCTCCCAATCACATTAGCCCATGGTCGAAGTCACGAAGCAACGCTAGATTAGGCAACTTCAGCCGATTGCGGTATATCCTCCGGAAGTGCTCGGTTGATCGGATCCTCAGGCCTCAGCAGCAACGCAGACACATGCAAGCCCATATGTATAGAATGAAGATGATCGTCCCTCCTTTATCGAGACAAGTGCACTGTCTCAGAAACTCGTCGCTCCTTTTCCCTATGAGACCTCCAGGAAATTCGAGAGTGCTCGCGATACAACCACTCTTCAAACCCAAGGGACTACCTTTATTCTCGCTCGTTCAGAGACACTCGGGGACTTTCTAATGCAACCACGCTCACAGAATAAGGAAAAGGGGTGCGCGCTAACCCTCATCAGCACGAGGACGATATTGGTGAACCTGCCATAAACAATTGAGACGTATTACTACGGACCAACCTGTGTCGCCCTTAGACCCTCTCATGGACTCACAGGAAATTGAGACAACGCATCATCATCATCCTCAATCGTCATCGGGGGGCATGATATTCATATCCAACGAGCCCCGGATGAGATAGCGGTGATGGAGAACACGAGCAAAAGCCAAGAGGCATAAAGAAGTCTAATAAGGCTGATCCGAATCCTGGGTTTTTCGATTCCAGTTTGCCTCGTTTGCGTCATCCGGAGGTCAAGCGGTGGGGTGAGGATTTGGTTGGTTGCAAGACCCGTTCACGGTCGCACTAGCTGGAATTGGTTGATATAGTAAACGCATCCCGTTTATCATTCCGATTCCATCATTCGTGGTGTACCTGCATGGGGCAATGAATTTGTGAAAGAATGACGTTCCTTGCGTACAACTTGAATGTCTCAAGATGGAAGTTTGAACGGCAGCGTTCAACTTCCGGTCTGCAGGTGCCCGGGGTGTTCATGTGATTTCATATCATCGACTCGGATATCGCCCGAGCTCCTCCCAGCTGACTCGGTGAGCGCTTGTATGATTGCCTATACTTATCAGCCTTACTCCTGCACCCCGATATATAGCACCGCAGATGACTGCACCCATGGCAAGGCTACGAGCAAAACGTTCAGTTGATATGCATGGGAACGCCTTAAAAAGCTGAAGCAAAATACAGATTAGTACGCTTGGTCTTCATGGCTTTGGTGTCTGACTAACTTTAGTATTTTCATACAGGTGGTTATCACACTTGGTCTAATGCCTGGCGATGGGGACAGCGTGATCACTGATGAGTCAACTCAAGGCAATACCTTGGAAGGTACGTACCCACCAGCCTCCACTTAGCAGGGCAAAGACAAGTATGTGACATGCCTGCCTTCAAGTTGTACCAGATCCTTTCGTTTCAAGCCAATAGTGAAGTAGTACTGGCTCCCGAACTCGACTTGAGTGGTTGAAACTCTACTACAGGCGATACATGTCGTGTGGTTACTGTACGCTCAAAGTGAAGCGTTATCGCTATTTCCTCATTTCATGTGACTGATAAGGTTTTGAAGGATCGCTGTTAGCACTGTCAAGGAAAAGGAGAATTTGTCTTGACCCCCCAGATCAGTGAAACACTTACGGTATGGTGTTATCTGTGTCACCCAATCACCAGTTTCAGATGACATTTGATTCCTGAAGGAAGGCGCAGAGACTATACTTGAGTTTGAGCAGAAGGCGGGTTGCAATGGACCTCGGCACCTCCTCACGGTAAAAAAAATCATCCATGGTAGCAACGCAAACCTCACTGTAGAACGAGTATGTGCCTCAACCGATTAAATTTCGAGTACAAGTATGAAGACTAATGTCGCCTCCACTGTATTGAATTCACCAGGCTGAGCTAACTCAGACTCGGCTTATATCTGACGATTTGGTGATCAAGAATGAATATGAGGAAACCAGACTTGCTCTATGTTTAGTCGACCACGACGATACACGTCAACCCATCGTTGATCTAGGCAGGCTCCCGTCCGTCCCTGTGCTACTCCTTAGTACTGCGCTGACGACACCTCATATAGAAAGGATCAAAGATTCACGATCAATGGACAGCTATGTGTACAAGCTTACGCCATGGCAGAGCAGACGGGTGCGTTTGTACGTTTTTCGAATAGGGGATTGCCTAAATCTCATATCCTCGTTGTTCCCAGTGGGAAAGCCGATGGAATCGAGTAATTGCGCAGTTGCTCTGTTCCCGTGGCCCATAGCTATAGCCGACCTCCCTGAGGTGCGTGCCATCAGTGCATTGCTGAGCATTCCTCATTCATGCCATGGATTGGCGAGGCTTGAAGAGCCCTTCTAACGTCGGGTTGTTTGTAGAATACAGTGCCACAATCTCCCGGGGGTGTAATATGTCATTATCTTCTTCAGTGATCTCGAGAAGTCCTCGATGCGTTCCTGATTCCCAATGCGAGTATGTATGAAAATAAAATGAAAACGTATGCAGACAATGCTACGTGGCGAAAGGAGTAAGAGCAAAGCTTAAGGAGAGAATAAGGAGGTGTACATCGTGTACTCAGCGCAGGGTGGCAGATGGATGCGGCCGCCAGCGGAATGAACGTTGATCAGCGTGAGGGATCGTAGATGTACCACGCCGTGAGAGAGTGCACCACAGTTCATGCGCACGAATCAGCAGCTGAGGTGCAGCACGCAGCAGGATGACGAGGGCTGCGGGCCCTGGGAAACCGAGGGGTAATACACCATGGTGCAGGGATAGTGTAGGGATAGTGTAGGGAGTTGCATTGCAGAGGCGCAGTAGGAGTGTCAGGAGTGACGGTTTAGTGTTAAGAGGGCTGTAGAATGACTCGGAGTTCTGGCTGTGGGAGAACGGAAGACTCGGCAGGTGCGCTAGGGCTGCATGCCATTAGTGGGTGTGTGTACATAGTCATCTAGGGTCTCGTTGTCAGTAGGTACAACGAGTCACGTCACAGTAGCACGGGCACCGATAAATCACGACACAGTAGTTCGATGGTCGCACAGTAAGTGGACGCCGCGACGCACGCGTGGATCATGTATCGTAGAAGTTGCCAATAGAGGGACATTCAACACCTGTTCAACACTGGCAGTGAAAGAATTTTCAGTGAACATGGCTGACGGCAATCAATCTCATACAAAGTTTCGTCACCAACTTGAACGTTGCCTCACCTGATGCAAAACCCGAACCAATTACAGTGGGACCAGCGATTGTGAAGATGGTGAATTTGGGATGTACGACGGTGGCTGGTCCGATGGTGATCTCTCCCTTCAACTCATCAACCCAACCCATCATGGATGCGGCCTTCAGCCTGTCACAACGTTAGCGCCGGATGGAGGTGGTGAAGCAGGTTGTAAGCATACTAGCTTCCTGGAGTTCCCATCATCTGTGTAAATACTGTCCGCCATACTGAAACAAAGCTTTCAGTATCACTGCTCTTGACGTAACAGTTAAGCGGACGACAGTCTTGACTAAGTTGCATATTAGAGTCTAGACGGTTCAACTTAGAAAGATGTAACCCTAACCCTAGTTCAGGTGTCGCCAAAAGTTCACTAAATTTCTTCAACTTGATCGAATATAAGAGGAAGCACTCCAACACGTGGTTTCGACAGGGACTCATGTACAGAGTATATTCTTTTCCTTTGTGCGGTAGAAGACATGGTACCCATAATTGTATACAAGATATAGATTACATGAGCAAACTCAATATAATGTCAAATCATATCGAGCATATGTGCCATTAAGATTAGGTAAAATTGAATCATCGCTACAAGATTCTGCATGCCAATTCGTGCGTCATAATTAACTGCGGTAAGCATTCTCGCCATAATTTAATGATGAAACAACGAGCAAATAGATAGTCTTACGACTTCTCTAAGTCTGGTTTCTTTTGTTCAACCTCGATCTCCAGGATCTTCTGGGAGATAGGGCTGCACCCTCGTATTCTCGACCCATAAAAGAAAAGAATCTGTGTAATCGTGGACAAATGCACACAATAGAGTGTTCGAAACACCTACATATGGTATAGGGATCATAATGGCCGCGATTAGCGCAAAGACAGTACCTGCCCATTTGTACGTCAGGAGGTCGTTCATTTGGCTCGTGAAGAGCGGGAAGATAGTACTAAGTGAGTTTCCTGCGAGACACATTGGTCGGATATTGTTCTTAATATAGGAATGGGGAAGCCCGGGAAGGACTCACGACACAGGCTCTGACCTGCCAGAGCCGAAGATGCATACGGCCCGTAGCTAGCTCGCTGCCCGTCAGCAGGGGTAACAAAGCATGTCGGTACGCGGACGTAGCACTCACCAATCTGCCAAGTAGATGAATACAACTTGATATATGACAAAAGTGGAGGCCATGAAAAGCTAGCAGTATCATCAGCGGTGGTAGGGAAGATCGATGGCTGAAAGATGCTGACCGTAAGGCCGATCAGGGGAACTATCCACGGGACATCTGGTCGGGCAGTCCACGCAAAGATGAGCATCCCGGTTGGAAGGGTTATACATGCTGCGCAAGCTATGTAAAGACGAGCTTCTTGTCCTTTGCGGTGGACATATTTTCTAAATCTATGATCAGTCTGGGCTTCCTCATCAGAGAGTTGATCACTGACTTGTATAGTCTTTCTTCGTAGATATTAGCCAAGTAACCTAGAAGGCTTCCGATGCTAAGACGTTCACAGTTACTCGCACTGCTTATTGCGTTGACAAACCAGCCTCACGCTATGGTGGCGAAAATGCTCCCAGTCTCTCCGACACCAAATCCGTAGATGTTTTGGAATTCGCCCGATACTGAGCTGCAGCAAATTTTCCCTCAATATTTCACCAACTTTCAGGGGACGCTTACTCAAGTAAAAAGAAGAGAACTCCCCACACAAAACCAATCCAGAGCTAGATGTAGAATCAATTGTAAGGCTCATGAGTCAGGTCTGCGGTGAAGATCGGTGAGAAACGACATACACTAAAGCTCTGAACAATGGGCTCAGTGAATAAGAGCCCTGGCACTGATTCAGCAAATGGTTTAGTGCTGATGAATGCACTTACTTAATGGGCGAGTGCATGAAGTAGCAATCATAGACATAAGGCAGGGCTTGTTTGCTTCTGATCTTGCACGGTATCGGCCATCTCCAGTGTCCTTTCGAACTTGACGGGCCATACGAACCAGAATGACGGTCGAGCGAGTCTCTCTCAAAATTAAAAGCATAGAGATAGAACATACCCCGCTGACGCTAAAAGAATAGTGAGGACGAGGACAACAAGATGCAAGCAGATAACACCGCACATAGCCTGGATCCATTGTATCCACCGCCATTGCAGGGATGGGTTAGCTTCGATCCAGCCCGCAATCATCGGGCCTAAACCGGAAGATGCAATAGCCGCTAAGGCATAGAGGGAAATCGGGAATCCACGTCTTCAGGATTATAAGATCTCGAATTCCTAGAAAGACGGTGAACCTAACTGATGAGGCAACCATATGTCTGCAATAGTTCCAGCTACGAGTATTGCGCCCGTCGAGCCAAAGCACCCTCCAATGGCACGAGCTACAATAACGGCTTGTACATTCGGTGCCCTGAGCATTCCTTATAGCAAAATAGAGACGCTCCGGTGAGACACAAACTTCACAAAGCCATCATCACTTCAGACAGTACAAACATGAAGGACGAGACGACGTAAAAAGGAAAGCGGCCGAATTCCTCGCTGAACGACGAAGTGACCAGGGGCGCGAGTGCAAATCCTATAGTGAACACACTGAATCCAAGAGTTGCTTGGAATAATGTACAATCGAGGTCTCTGATCATGGACGAATAACCCATGGTAAACGAAGACGCGGCGGCAGCTAGAAAGGCAAGAGATGATAAACATAAAGTCGTGAGCTTCTACCGACTTGTAGATTTACCTACAATGCCCGTAAAGGCACAAGCATTTATCGTGATTGCCCCACTTCCTCGCAGGAGAGAAGTTGACTGGATTCCGTCTATCTCCGTCTTCGAAATCAACCTAGTCCTTGTCAGTAATTGCGTTACAAAAATAAGAAACTGTGCAAAGACTAACATAGAAGGACTCAGCTTCTACCACAGTCGGTGCATGGGATATTGTTTTTAAGGTCTCTTCGTCCCTTTCATCTGTCTGAAGCGGGGCATTTGTGTATACCTCCTCATGTACCAGTGGCACTGGCGCTGCAATAGGCGGATTGACAGATTCTGGAGTCATCGGGAACCCACTGCACACTTGTGCAAGGAGACAAAACAGAGCCGGTTAGTATTCAAGACGTATTCAACAAGCTTATTTATAGTCGGACTGGACTCTGCAAATCTAAGATGAGTCACATTCCGCGAGGCTCCTGTCCTCAAGTTTACGCTCGAGGTTGTCTTCAGCACTGAAGCAAGTACTGTCATTGGTGGAGAGCTCGCTGAGGGGCACCACTTTGAAATAGGGTCGCAAGGTGTCTGGTGATAGCTAGTTATGGTCAATGAACAACTAAGTTTGTAGATCCGGGGATGAACTGTGACCCACCTCTATCTAGCGGGATAATTCGAGCCCGGCGTTACAGGCCGCTGAGTTTGACGAGCTCGTAGGATTACTCAATTCAAAAGATCGCCTGCTTAATGACCGTCTGAGTCCGACGAGAACTCGGCTTCGCTATCCGCGGACACGCACACCACCACACACCCCTGTTGGCCTGAAAACCGACGCCATGTCTGCCAGGAGAACACCTGGTCAGAAAAGGCGCAGTGGGAAATTTAATGACATTCAGTAGGCCACACTGCACCTGTCTATTTGAGAAGAACAAACGTTTATGGGAAGTGACTCAGGAACAAATGGTTCGGAGTCATAAGTCCGACCTAGCAATTAACTCAGCTAGGATTCATGATAGAATGAACAAGACTCGTCGTCCAGCAACGTCCATCCTGGTTCAAGTTATAAGCAAGCTGTTCCAGCTCCAAGAATATGTGAACACGGCCGGCACACTTGGACCCTTAATGCGATGGCTCCTCACGGTAATTAAGATGTAGCTGTATTTGTTGAAGTTTGGCACAAGCTTTAGAATTCAACTAACCAAAACAACGCGTCGGCTATGTGCAAGCGTATCACCGTATCCACCGCGGCATTACCTCAGCAGTGGCTGGCTGACTCTATTAGCCGAGGATGGAGCGGCTTCAGAGCGAATTGGAAAGGAGGAAAACTGACATCTTCTCAGATAGCACTCATAGAATGCCAGAGCGTCCACTCTCTATTCAGTCAGGCAAGGGTCGAGGCCATGAAGACCTCGGGTCTTCGTTTGCTCCATCCCAACCAGTGCGAGGCAAGGCGATTGGCAGCAACTTCAAGCCTGCCCTGGCCACGTCGCGTCCTATCATCACCAGTTTGGAACAAGACTCTTTTAGTGACAGTGACGACGAGCTGTTATTATCTGAAGGCGCTCAACCGTCGGGCTTGTCACCTATACCTAAACGCGTCGTCCGCAGCAAGACAATGATAGCGTCGACGCCTCAAAAAGCCAATCTTGCTCCAAACGGTCATCCGTATCACCCAAGTTTCCCTCCGAAAGAAAAACTCCCAAAGTTCACAAGGATTAAGAAGCAGCCGCAGGTAGAAGAGAGCATTCCAGTTTGGCCTCTATCGTCATCTTTACCCGACGCAGACGACTCCCAAGAACTATGCAGACCAATATCTGACTACCTAGCCTCTCAGACGAAGCCCTTCCAACCTACAACCAAGCTGAAGAAAGAGAACCATAAAGCCTTTGCGCGTCCGGGCCCAGGAAAGAACTCTATGTCCAGGAAGACGGTCACTCCATCCTCGACCTCAGGAGACAAACTTCCCAAATATTCCAAGCACGTTACTAAGCCGCGAGCTGTAAAGGCTGGGGGCTCGATGGTTCGTGGTCGGAGTCCCGAAGCAACTCCGCGTGCCAGCAGGCAGCATCAGCCATTCCCTTTGGGTAGTCATTCCTCGGTATATGATGGGAGCTCACACGCTTCTGACGCGTCTCCTGCTCGGAAAAGTGCTCGAGAACCCTCAACAGCAAGAAAGGAGAAGACAAATGCGCTGTCGCGTAAATCCGCTGCCCCTTTCCCCATGAGCCAGCCGAAGGAGAAGGCAAATGCACCGTCACGTCAACCCGCTGCTCCTTTCCCTATGAGCCCCCTAGGAAAGTCAAATCTTCCGAAGCAGCCACTCCCTGAACCAACGGGACCCAGCCCCTTTCCATTATCTTTGCACACTCCGAAGTCAGGTCTGACTCGTTCAGAGACACTCGGAAACTTCCCTGCGCCTTCCCCATTGGCCTCCCCAGTGCAACCACCCTCGCGTGATAAGGGGAAGAGTCGTGCGCTAACCCCTCATCAGGACGAAAACGACGACGACGAACTTGCCACAAACCATTGCGATACCGTGCAGACCAATGTTGCCCTTAGACCCTTCTCCGTGGGTTCGAGCGGAATCAAGATTGCAGATCGGCGTAGCCCTCAGTCGTCTTCGGAGAGCATGGGGTCCAAACGAGCTTCGGGCGGTGGAGATGGAGAACGCGGACGAAAAGCCAAGAGACATAAGGAAGACAATTCAAGGTAAATCCTCTTCATGATCGCTGCTCCTCCTGTCCCATAGCTGAATCTTGGCAAGGCTAATACTGGGAGGAGATGAACACTTGGATGAGGACTCATGTAGGTCTTTCTTTTCATCCAGCATTCTTCATTTAACACTTTAATGCCCTATACGCGCAGTTGAAATAGACAGAGTGATTGATCCTTCTACAGTCTGCCCGTACTGTGACGAACCACTGCCACGCAATCCAACTCCACAACTGGAGAACCTCCTGGCGACTGCGAAGCGGAAGTCATACCCAGACCCGCGCCCCCGAAATTCTAGCGGGCTCAAGGCTCCTCTAGGAATTTATATCTCAGCTTGTCAGCGACATCGCTTCGAAACGCACTCCTTGCCTGAGGCTATGGAGAAAGGATGGCCGCAAAGTATCGACTTCAAGAAGGTACCCAAGAGGGTTGAGGGGATGAAGGGCGCGCTGGAGGCTATAATCACCGATACTGACATCCACAGTGACAATGAAGATTCTGTGGAGGTCGACGCCAGGGGTCCCCGAGCACGAAGTGACTTCTGGAAAGAAATTAAGAAGCAAATCAAGAAACAAGGCAGTAGAACAGTTACTGGTGTGAAGGGCCAGTTTGCCAGCTTCGAAAAGACTCAGCCTGGATAGTAAGTACATTCGATTCTCATAAGTCTGTGTGTACTCAATAGTGTCCTAAGCTATGGTGAACTCGGTTTCTTGATCATACATCAGACGCTCTACAATCTCTTCCCCTTTTCATCATTTGAACCTTCTTCGATAGCCCCTCTCACACCTGCGGAGTTCATTCAGCTCGTATTGATCCCCGAAGCTGCAGTAGGGCTCATCATGCAAGACCTTGGTCTCGATAGGGACGAAGCGATTGTGACCCTCCGTGAAAGCTCGCAGTATGGTGTTGCCATGTTTCCCGATACCGGTTCTGGTAAGAGTCCAGCACTCGGTGATGATGACGACGAGGGTGTTGCGGATCGCATTGTTATGGAACGTGCTAAAGCCAGGAGGTTGGAGCTTGAGGAAGAGGAGCAGCTTGAGGAGCAGATGTGGAAAGAGGAGCGAGCGAAGCGTAGGTGCATAGCACAGATGGAGAGGAAAGAGAAAGCTCGCCAGCGGGCAGAGCAACTGAAGAAATCGAAGGAGCTTCCAGGGTATTCCTCCCGCGAAGTTAGCGAAGCGACTGAGTCGGAAACCCAACGCAGGCCGTTGAGGAACGCTGCGAAGGCTGGGTCAAGAACAGCTACGGACTCCGAGACCGACAACATGTCTGTGGATAGTTCGACGAGCCGGCGATCTACGCGCTCAAGGACGGGCGCTAGGATGTATCGCACCGCTTCTGCCAAGTCTGATTCTTCAAACATGCAGATTTCTGATGACAGCACCGTAGAGATCGTGGACGAAAATGAACAGCCGCGAGTCAGACGGTCAACCAGGCATGCAGCTCATAGTGTCAACGACATTGGCCAACACTCTGAGGCTGCATCGTCGTCGAAAATGAAAACTCGTGCCGGGCGGTCGAAGAATATCGAAGGCGACGACGCAGACGTGGATGTTGGCGATACGCCTCTGAAACCTGTTCCCGAGATTGACGAAGAATCTACTCCGCGGCCACATAGGAGGTCGAAAGTTCCGGCTGTATCACGCCCGCACCCTATTCTAGGGATATCTGGAGTTACAACTGCAATTAAATTTCCTCTCCAAGTTGCTAGATCAAGATCGACAACAAGGTGCTCATCGTTTCCCTTCCCCTTCACTTGTCCTCGTTTTAAAAATGTATTATCTTTCTTCTGCAGTGCCACATTGGACGGGTGGCGTAACAATCTCATACCTGGTGCTTCTGAAGCTGAGGAATCGGATGATTCGCAAGCAGTCCAACCGTCCATGGACGTATATAGTTGGCTGCTTAGTCCAACGTCATCGTCATCATTATCACCGTAGTGACATATACCGTCACTGACTATTCCTTGCAAGGCTACATAGTATTAATTTTCATTGACAAGTTCGATGGCTTTGTGTGCATTGCAATCACTGATTGGACTAATTCCACGTACTTAATCACTTACTACCGAACTTTCGCAATCACAACCGCCAGTATGTTCACTTTACCTAGGTGTCCACCGATTCATCCAGCGTCACACTAATATTATACATAAAATATCATACATAATACTTGTAATACTATGATAATACTGTACATTGCACAGCCACTCTCACTCAAGTCAGTTCTGCTACTAGCTCCCAGCAGAGATGCAGAATCTCCCTGTCGAGCTTCAGCTTCAAATTGTCAGCTTCTTGGATGTGAAGACGATACTTTCTCTGCGCAAGGCATCCCCTTTTCTTTGTGAGTACAGGCGTGAGCTAAAGCCAAGCATTACAGACGTGCACATCCTTGTCTCAATTCACCCATGACCGCAGCTTATGGCTCGATTTAATTCCTCGGATGTCCCATATCCTCCCGCGGCCGCTTTCTGAGTCGGAAACTGCAACACTGTCGACTTTGGAGTTGGAACACATTATCAAAACTGCAATGCACGTCGAGCAGGTGTGGCTGCTGCCGAGGAAGGACTCTTTTCTCGTCAAGGAACGATGTGATTCAGATGACATTGAAAACTCAATCCCTCGTGTCCGATATCTAGCTTTTGTCTCCGACCACTATTTGCTGTCCTTGGGCTCTGAGGGAAAAATCAACTTGTGGAAAATCAATGATGTTTTCGCACCTTTCGCTGCAGAGGTTTTCGTCACCTATGCTTCTTCAACATGGTATCCTTGTGCATATCATTTGAATGCAACTGGTTCCGTACTTGCTATTGCATTGACGCATGTTGAACTGTCAGTTACCGTTTCTTTATACGCCTCTAGCTCCAATGAATGTTACTTTCTAGCGTTGCTGCAAGAGTTTTAACCATCTCTCTCGATACCGGTAGTTCATCGGAATTAGGTCCTCCCATTCTAGTCACTCAAGGAGAATTTTCAATATTTCCACCACAAGTTATCAGAGCGATTGATGCCGACTTAGAGTTTGCTTTGCTGTCTAACACTGCCTTATCATTCGAAGTTGTGAACTGGAGAACCAAAGCTCAAGCTACAATAGCTCTTCGTGCTAATGATCCTGGAGATTTAGTAAGCTTAGTCAAATGAAATGGCTTATTCAATTAACATCGAAATTTGTATCTTCTTTATAGTGGAATGGCATCACCGCCATGCGGATATGTGGGCCGTATATCCTGGTTTTTAGAATGCACACCGTCGAGGCGTATCCTCTCCCCTCCCATATATCTTCTGGAGTTGAGGAGCGTTCTGATATTCTACCCCAACTCACATTCAGATTCCCACATACCATGACCTATCGCCGTGTATCTCTCACGAAAACTACGTGCATCAAAGACGATGAATCCGAAACCTACGGGCTATCCGCGCTTGCAAACGATCTATTCCATGGCATATTTCATTTCCATGTGAAGTTGACAGTGCGTGCCTTGCCGTCATTGTCGGTCTCGCCTTTGGGAGTCCGTCCCATGGCAGTCGCTTCGCCACAATTTATCGCGGCGCCACTGCCTGAAGATTTATCGCCACCACTGGCGCCTCCAGTCCCGTTTGGGATTGTGCAGGACACGAGGACATTTGTATCAGCTTGGGCATTGGGAGACTACGGAAGACGCGGGATCTGGGTAGCAAGGTCGCGGACCAGCATGATCCGTACCGTCGTGGCATTCACAAATCCTCCGGATGTTATCAATACAGTTAGGAGAAGCCCGGGTCTGGAGTGATGATTCACTGCAGGCAAACGTCGACTCGGAAAGGCCAAGGCTGATTAACGGCCAAGTGGTTCATGATATACCCTTACGAGGTTAGTCTTGATGAGATTCTTTTGCGCAGACGAGGACTGACATTGGGTCAAAAGATGACATCACAGTGTGCGCTGTCTCGGACACTACGGGGAGAATGGCGCTTGCATCTTGGGCAGGTTCAATAACTATATTGTGAATTCCTTGCTCTCGTTCTTCAATTTGCACATGCGTAGACATGTCATACTGATGACTTGGCGTTCCCCTCTACCAAGAGTGCACATAATCTCTGTATCCCATCGTCCGTAGATTGGCATAGAGTCTAAACAAGCACCAAATAAACGAGCATAGCAGTCCGCTATCGTGCTGCCAGTTCCGAGGTCAGACGCAAGCTACTATGCGTAAAGGCGTTAGGACCATTTTTCAGCGTCAAATTTACAGGATGAGGTTCAACTGTGCTAGTCATTAAATCCATCTCTACCGCCGATTGTCGTTCTCCAAGGCACGCCCTCATATTAAGGTTTGCAAGGAGGGTGTTGCAGTGTGGAGAGCAGATGGGCATGCCAAAGAGGACATGATGAGTCGTCATACCGAGTCAGGTCATCCAGGTATATCCTCCCTCAGATGCATTCCCTTTGGGCAACTGTGACGCGGTTCTTGTCCAATCGTCTGAGAACAACGGTAAGACATCGGTTGCAGGTGTCGTGTGTGTACTTACGAATCTGCTCAGACATCTACATCGCACAAGCGCGTTGCATTTTTCAACCTGTCACCAAGAAAAGCCGCACTTTGCCTCACTATCTCGAAGCTGCACCTCTCTTATACGTTCAGTACTTTCAGATCAAATCCACACCTGATGAGGAGCCGAGCGCTGGGATGTACAGGGTGAAACGGATCATCCATCAGAACGGAATGAGTCGACTCTTTAGACCTGGCGCCATCATTCCGCTGACAGACGTTACCTGTGGCATTGAATCCATCCCTGTGTTTGGCTTGAAGTTCGATCGGACAATAACTGCCGCGAATTCGATGGAGGTCTGCAATGAATATTTTTTGAATACTTTTTCTGATCATCTGATACAACTTGAATCTGGCCTATCAGCATCTAATCAGAACTTCATTCTATCGATTTCATTGATTTCCGTAAAGCTTACGGTGTTCACCTGAGCGTCCGAGCTCTCCACCTATCGGATGGCAAGGTCGTACGTGTCTGGTACCCTGTTATCATTCAGACCTTTCTCGGTTCCTTCGAACGACTTCAAAGCCTCCCTGAGCAAACAAAGTCCGGACACCCTTACGTCATTCACAATGAAAAGACCCCAGACTCTCAACATCTTCGCTTCAAGTTAATGTTACAGCCGCATCACCGAGCAGTAGATAATCCTCAACTCCCCACTGCCTGCACGCCAGCTCCCGCCATCCCCAACCCCCCGCTACCGTCTTTTCATCTTTAGCGTCTCTCCTTCCAAGTCGTTACTCCTGTCGATGTGGCACTTACACTTCGTTAGGATGTTGTGTTATTTGTATTCTAGCATGTAGCCTAGTAGCACATCAACGAGTACAATTATATGATGGATTATCAGTCTTACACAAAGGCGCGTGTCCAGCTACCGTAAAATAAAGCGCGCCTCGAGTTCTGGAGCAGGACGAGAGCGGCTGGAGTTACGGAAGAATGGAATTTGGTACAATGAAGTGCATATGCAATAAAATGGGGGAGCTTTACTCGTGAGTTAGAAGGGGAGTACTTTGGACAAGCAAAAAAATGGGTAATGAAGAACACACAGCCGCGAACCTGCTCATGGCCGTAAAATGGGTCAGAGTGTCTTGTTGTAGGTTGAGTAGACTGGGGTTTGGGTGGCGCCTAGGCTATCATCATCCACACAGTGCGCCATTGACAGTACTGAACTGTGAGACGGGAACATCGGCGAAGTGGAGTGGAATGAGTGAATCGTCAAATTCGCTAGTCACGAGTGCAGTGATATGATTGTGTATAGTATGCCACGGCCGCAGACACGGCTCCGGTACTGCTCTAATACCTGGTCGAAGGGCATTCACAAGCGTGCAGGATGGCGTTGGCGTGAATGGTATGGTTATTTGAGGCGCTGGTTGCTGCAGTGCATCACGATGTGTGGTGTAATGTTAGGAACCGCAGTGCTGAGCCTGGTGTCCGTTACCTGCAGGCTGTGCCGCTGAATTTTGCGTGATATGGCGGCGCTGCGATAGGGCTAGATCACTGTTAAAAATTGAATGGCGTGAGTGAAGATGCATACCTTGACGAGTGATACTTCTCGATGCACGGTAGGCATGAGTGGAATGACGATCACGACCAATGCCCAGTGAAGCGTGAATATCAATGGTCTGCGCCGCTCGGTCGTCAAAAGCGCGTCCTCTCAAGCTTTTCCCGTACTTCGAAGGTTAAGTATTGCGGTACTCCAAGTTCAGCAGTGGTGCATCCCTAGCGAGGCGGTACCGTCAGTAATGTGTCTATTTGTCGTCGAATCGCGGGCAACAGTATTCCCTGTCCATGTCAGTATTTAGGCTCTGTTAACACAAATGCTATAGCTGCGCATGTGCCGGCGCCGCAGGTGCGACAACTCTACCGCGCGTCTGCTGATGTGTGCATCGCCAGTGGTTCTACTAGCATCCTCGCTGACGAACTAGCGAGTCTGTCTCTGACAGAGCAGGAGATACTGCACTTACTCGCAGAGGGCAGAGGCATCACCCAGTATGACGGTATTGGGATGCCGCTGGAGTCATGCGGAAGCTGTTGACGGATGTTTACAGCGACTGTGTTGCGGGCCCACATCCTAGTCTGCTCGGAGAGTTAGAATGTTATGTGCGTATATACTAACAAGTCTGCACTTGTTACAAAGTGTCGATAAAAGAAAGCTGATGCGCTAAAAATGCAAGACGGTAACATGTCGAAGAGATGACCAGGAGAAGATCGAACTGACGGAGTTAAAAATGGGGGGGAGGAAACATGTGGGGGAATGTTGAAACCGTTAGACACTGCTCGGTGACGGCCACGACATTAAGCTGAAGCGAAGATGTTGAACAGAGTCTGGGGTCTTTCCATTGTATATAACGTGAGGAACGTGTGCCCAGACTTTTTTCGCTCACGGTTTGAAGTCGTTCGAAGGAACCGAGAAAAGTCTGAATGATCACAGGGTACCATGAACTCAAAGTCGTAAGCGTTCGTAACACGCTTACAGACTGGCAGAATCCAGAAAACTCACTTAGCCGTTTTTATTTATTATTGGAGTGACATCAAACAGAGGCGCTCATGCTAGCTACTTTTGTAACTCGCATAAGTCGTTGACCTTACTTGTGCGGGGCGGTACAAATGCTCTGACGAGACCTTGGAATCACGGCGCGCACCAGGCTCCTCCCAGCCACTGCTTCAGGTTGTGCTGGGTTTGAATTCTTCACGTGATTTCGGATAGTGCCGCACCCCTCGTATGCCGCCCTCACACTCAAAGCAGTGGCTGGGAAGGAGCCTCGGCGCTCACGCACATCCGACGGCTTACGCGAGTTACAAAAGTAGCTAGCATGAGCGCCTCTGTTTGGGGTCGCTCCAATAATAAATAAAAGCGGCTAAGTGAGTTTTCTGGATTCTAGTCTATCGATATGAAAATAGTTGTAAGCTAAGCGTTAGTTTCAGCGGTTTTACTGATCCGGGCCACTAAACTGACAACTTTCAAATCAGAGAGGAATTCAGTTTGTTTATTCCCTCAGGCTACGGACGACATACGGCAGCCTTCTCATGCCTTCCGAATTTCTGATTTAAAGAGTCCTGCTGAAAGTGACTCGATGTTTTATTCTCTCGTTAAGGTCGACGATGCTCCTTCCTGTCCTGTCTTTTACAGTAATCTCAGGCCTCATTGGCCTCTCCGCCTCCACAGAGCTGCGGAGGGCTGACTATACTGCAACTTGCCAGAAAATCGCTGCCGCTGTCTCCCCCGCGTCCAAAGTGTATTACAGTGGTGAGTGAGTGCATTAATACTCATCACCGCAAGCGGGACTAAGCAATGCATAGGGTCGCCCCAATACATCGATGATAACGAGCATTGGGCTACTACCGGCTCTCAACCTTCTGCATGTTCCTTTGAGCCTGTGAACGCTCAGGACATTGGAATCGCTGTAGGTTTAATAGAATACAAAGTTTAATTATGTTTACTGACGAAGACCAGCTCCAATTATTGGGAGAAGACCAGACACCATTTGCAGTGAGTCCATCAGCTATTTAGCTTGCATTTTGATCGTCACACGCGGCTGTGTTAAAGGTCAAAAGCGGTGGTCATTCAGTGAATGCAGGGTTTTCGTCGACCCCTGGAGTTCAAATTGCTTTGTTTTCATTCTCACAAGTCATATACGACTCGGATGCCCAGACAGCAACTATTGGCATGGGGTTAATTTGGGATGATGTCTATTCCCAACTCCAACAATACAACGTGACCGTCGTAGGAGGGAAGAATACTGGTGTTGGGATCGGCGGCATCGTCCTTGGAGGAGGTAGGTTCACCTGCTCGTGGAAAAACATCGGTGATTGAGCGTTTTATTTTCTGACCAGGATATTCATATCTCAGCAATCAGTACGGTTTGTCGGTCGACAATATCGTATCGTTTGAGCTTGTGATGCCTAATGGCACGGTCGCGAATATCACAAGTTCTTCAAGTCCAGATCTATTCTATGGCCTTCGGGTAAGTGTCTTGACATGGAGATAGTCAGCATCTCATTTTTGGTGAATTTTTTCAGGGAGGATTTAACAATTTTGTGCGTGATGGTGTTGCTTCACGGATGTTAGTGCACACGTTGATCTGCTGCAGGGAGTTGTTACCACAGTGACCCTGAAGACATACACCCAGTCTCAAGTCTGGGTACGTACCGTACTTCTGCATTGGTACGATCCTAATGGTAATTGATTACAGGGCGGGCTTATCGCGTACGGGTCGGATCAATGGGATGCAGTCAATAATGCCATAGCTAATTTTGTGTCGACAGTCACCGACCCCAAAGCCTGTCTGTACAGTACAACCGACTACGTGTCTGGGGTGGTGTGTTACGATTTATTCACATGACTATATTCCAGTACCTGATTCCCGATAGACGACGATATTAACCATTCTGTTTTACGATGCGCCGACTCGCCCTGATGATATTTTCGATGAATTCCTGGCGGTCTCACATTCTGCCCAGGACATCTCGACGAGGACTTATTTAGACTTGATTCAGACTTCACCTACGAATGCCTCATCGGGCCTAAGGTACGTCGTATGGTGTCCAGCAATTGGTTTGGCTGGCTCAGTTGGAGACAGGGCTATGTTCGACTGGGTGCCTATTGAACAATTCACGACGTCTATGCTAGAGATGGTCAAGAACCAAACACTGGTGAGTCGCATTTTTCACCTGATCAGGGCACCACTCACCAGAACGTCCAGTTTTATGGCAAGAAGGTGTCGGAATCAAGCGGATTTTTGATCTCATACGACATCATCCCTCTCCTACCCTCACTCTACAGTCACTCTGACACGCCGTCTGCTTTCCCTTCTTCACGGGATTCGGGACAGGGGTACTCGTTCATTCAGGTGTATTATGGGTGGACGGATGCGAACGATGATGAGGTAATGCTTCAGCTTGGTGCAGAGAGCGCTGCCTACATGAAGCAGTTTGCCGTGGACGCTGGTCAGGACGTTGCGAATGCACTGATATACCCTAATTGTGCGCCTCCTGGCACGGCTTTGGAGGACATGTATGGGGATGCTGTGTCGACTCTGCATTCTATTAGGAGTGCCGTGGACCCAGATGATGTGATGTCACTCACGGGAGGGTGGAGATTCTAGCTGCACTGTTGTATATCTGGGGAACATTTCAATAATTATTCCAAACCCTTGCGACACTCATTTATTCGTTACAGTTGTTCTACAAGGCCTTCGGCCGAGTACTTTACAACCCGTTCCATTCCTTTGTTTTGTAATCCTGTCTTTCTCGGAGTACTGATTGGATTAAATACTATACCCACTTGTAACGATACCTTGGTGTTTTCTGGGCCTTCGAATCATAGACTTGTACACTGTCCTTCGACCGAGAGCATCCGTGTTGAATTTCAAACGGTGACGATATGACACCCGGCATCGCGGCACACCTTCCTAAAGCATGAAATGATATTCTATCTTTCATTATCTTTGCCTACGGGAAGTCATCCAGTCGCCCACTAGCAGGCCTTAGACCCTACAGTTTTATTACTTTGTTGCATTAATATGACAAGAACGTCTGCCCTCGATAGACACCTATACTAGTAATACGTATGATACTACCATTAATCCTTTGTATTAGTCAGCAACTCCCAACCATTAATGATATTTTGGTCAGTAGTTACCTCATCTATAGCCCAGCATGCTACAGTCATGCACGAGTGCTGTAAGACGTGCAACGCATAGTCTGAACCACAACCTACTCCAAAGCTATAGCTCTGCGCCGTCTGCACAAGCAGGGCTCGTCAAACAATCTCTGCGCAAGCTTCTCCGAGAGACAGCCCAGCCCGTGGCGGTAGTCACGTCAACGTTACCAGACCATGAAACTGCGCCACGAAGCGATTCGTCCGCGCAAGGCCAAAAAAAAGCACTGTCAATCTTTCATGGCGCTACATTGTCGTCTTTCACGTCCATCGCACTCGATCCGCATCCGCTCGTCGCATTCTCTCTCCGCGTCCCATCACGGATGGCTTTGGCTCTGAATGCCCACGCATCAAATCTCCAGATGCAAATGTCGTCCCATATGGTCGTCAATATTCTCTCTGCTGCGCAACCTCATATCGCACGATTGTTCTCCAGTCCAGGTCTGCACCCCTTTTCGGAATCAGAGGTGCAGTGGACGCAGTCTGTAGATGGTCTCCCGGTTATTAAAGGCGCTTTGGGCGCGCTCTCCTGCACTGCGGTCGGTCGGGTCGTTGCCCTTGAGTGATACGCGGTGGTTGCATTCGAGCATGGAAGAGTGGGAAACGGAGGTGCAGCAAATAGAAGGTGATAGTGGGTTGGCTTCAGAGCTATTCATTGCACGTGTTTTACGTGTGGAGGACGTTCAAGAGCCAGAGGGTCAATTCGAGAATGACAGGTTACGGACGTTGCCTTTACTCTACCACCAAAGAACCTACGCCACCGTGGGCAAGATACCAAACCCATGACTTATCTTGAAGCTGTTCGACAATAATCGATGATTTGTTGTCGGCAGCCACTCATAACTCGGAATCCATCAATGCATCAGGTCTCTCCCATTGGAATGAATGAAACACGTGATATTACATGGATCTCCGGAAGCCTATGAGAACGATTCACCCAGCATCACCCATGTTGTATGAAGGATGAGCAACAACGGATATACATGTGCTCTAATTGTAATCATGGATTCCAAGGTGCGGTATCCTCCACGCCCAGCCAACGTCAAGCCCAAATCCAATTGCGACTACAGGGAGAGCAATAAGCATTCCACCAATCCCAGCCCAGCGGGGCAACCCATGGTGGGCGATGCGGGAAGCACGGTAAAGAGATTGTAGAAGATGCACCACGCGAGGGATCAGTATGCATGCATCTGCACCGCTATCACAATCTAGAGCATTGCCGGAATGCCACGACGGAGATCTGAACCCAGAAGCACAGTTCCAGCACTGGCGAGTTCAACCCACACCTGAGACCATTTGCAATGGCGAGCATACTTTCAGGATGGCCCATCCGATGTCCTTCAGCCTTATGCTGCAAAAGCATTTTCGAGCGGGACGCCGATGGGATTTGCAAGAACGGCAGCTCGTGTGTTGCTGCTAATTCTTGTCGTAGCTTGTGATCCACTACGAGTGCATTCACATAAGAGTGTATCAGCAAAGACGGAAAAACACGATCACTTGACCACCGAGTGTGACAGTGAGGAGTGTAAGTCTCGATGACTGAAATTCCGAGGAAAGCAGGTGAAAGTCAGGACTTCCAGACAGAAGCACTGATCCCTTGCCTACATAGGAGCGAGACGACGTCCGTAATAGTGCATCCACGGTGTTGTGTCGCAGCAGAAGGTGAGCGGTGAGATAGCGGTGAACAACCTGAACTTGAGAAATCGGGTATTTGTTGTCCTCGACCGGAGATGTCATGAGCCATTTGCGGCGCGTCAGCCGAACGAAATAGTACGCATGTCAAACCTCTACTGCGCAGTCGGCACAGTCCAGTCACGTACCTCCAGTTGAAGGTCTGATGTTCCCACTGGCGCCGGTCAACTTAGTAGTCTCTTGTGTCTACAAGATTACAAGTCTTGATCATATTCGTATTAGCCGAGACTAAAGAATTTGAGTCCGTTCCCACCCAATGATTGAATATTGAATGATTACCAAAGCAGGCATTCTGTATCCATACATTTACTGCACACTCACTGCACCCAACAATTCTACCCTCTGTCATATGCTGTACCCTTTAGCTCAGATTTGACACGGCGACGAAGAGAAGGCAGCCCCTCGGTCCTCGGTGGCATGATGTGGACATGAAACGGGTCAACCACATAGTTGTCAGTTCACAACCTCCACCAGGATCCAGGATCCATCATAAAGATCACTACCAACCTCAGCATTGTCCTCATTATCAGCATTCTGTCAATCCTGTTTCTTGTCACATTTGCTCTAATTCTCATGTCACGGTAGTGCTTGTGGGCGCATTTTTAGTGGCGTTTCCTCTCGGTTCTGGCGTTCTTGGTTTTTCTCTTCGCTATAGAGATTCTTCGATGTGCGGCCGGTCGATAGACCGGTCTTTGTCTTAATCGTTGGTCATGTGGGTTTTACCTTGAATGTTCTGAATGCCATCATAATCCAACGTGTCTTTTCATCTTTTTTTTACTGTGTATGGAAAGTATATTTATATGGCGATTATGCAGATCACAGCGACCATCCACATGGCACTTCGGCTCATGCGGAGGAACTGGCCGACAGTGACGTTGAGCTTACACCTACTTATGCCTCCTCAGGCTACTTACGGAACCTACAGTTGTCACCATTCGTACTCAAGTCCTTTCAACATACCCTTCATAACCACACCAGTTTACCAAAGGCAGCTTCTCGAACTGACCTGGGAACCCTTGGTGTTCTAATTCAAGGTGAGGTTATTTACAGTACCAATTTGTCCGGCTTCAGATAGAATACGACTGAAGCTGTCCGCAGATATATCATCATTTCCGCCATCACCATCTGGAAGGTCACGGCGCCTTCTCCATTCTACTCTGATCCGGCAGTGTGGCACTTCAGGGATCCGAGATCGAGTTCGATTTCTTATTCATGCACATTACTCGAAGTTAACGTTGCTTTTGCTCACGTGCTACATTCCGCTGACGTGTGGTGCATGTGCATGAGTCTTTTAGTTCTCTTTGTTGCTCTATTCCTGCACCTATTACACTCGTCGTTCGATGACCTGCTAAACTCTAAGACTTATGGCGCTAAATGCAAATTTGTGCCATATACGCAAGTTTCCGATGGTATGTTCTTTACACCTTTGAGCATCTGACCACTTTTCTCAGGCTCCGAAATTAAGTGAGCGTCTGTTAGTGTTCGTGTGCTTTATCCGGCTGACATGCTGGTCCGGATGAGTTTTTTAGCCTTTCTTCCAAGTTCTTACTCCTTTATAAAGCCCCTGCGGCTATATTATACAGAACCACAGACAGCATGCTGTAGAACAGACCGAAATAAACAGTATGTCTAATACAACCATTCTTGCAATTCGGACTGTATACCTTCGAGTCTTTTTGGACCTCGGGCCTCCATAATCAAGAGGACTGACTCCAAATCGGCCACGGGCAGGACCGTTTCAGCGGCGGGCCTATAGTCAGCTTGAATGTTCAATGCTCGTTGCCGCGCAGGAATAGGCTCGTTACCACATATTCAGCACACTGCAGGCATCCCTTGCCAAACATTCACGAGGGTACGCCAAGCTCTCAGGGACCAGCCTACCCCATCAAGTTAGAGTTGCAACCGCTACCCGATCTAGATACTGGTTCAGCATTATATCGTACAGAATTTCCACAATGTTGGTCCGGATGCGCAGACGGAGCCAGAGCATAACGTAGCACTAGTGGATGAAGCATACGCGATTCTGCATTGACAGAATACCTCCTCTTGGCCTCATATAATTCGCACCGGACGGTGAGTAAATTCCCGTGGCATATTCGCCACGGTAGCACATCATGAGCGAGTAATTCCATTGAGGTAACTGCAAGTACCGAGCTCGAAGCTCGAGAACTTGCAATCCGTCAGGAGCTGGAATTTCGTTTTGTGGTGCTACGCTTCCCAGTTTTTTTCATACACCCTTGACGCTTAGTGTTTTGGGTTTTTGGAAGAACGAGCGCTGAGCGTCGTTCTTAAGAATAAACTCTAATGATTTATATCATTATGTAATGTAATCATGGGATTCATTCGCGGAGATTGAAATGTTTGCTCAACCAAGATCTCAGACTCGGAGTCACTGAGTTGTCTCAGAACATGATGTTATCGTCAAGGCTTCTTCGTAGCACCATCTTTATGCCCTACAGTGTCCATGTTATACCATGCACTAAATTGGCATTTAGAAGGGTTTCACAAATGCCTTGTCTTTCCCTTGGAACTATCCGGTTAAATTCGTCCTTGCACCCGTCCAAGACTTGCGCAAAGTCTTCGGTTTCGCATTTGTCTGTGTCCTCGGAGCAGATTAAGGACGATTCTCCGATCAAAGAGGCTCACTTAGGCATCGTCTTTACCTGTACAGCGGAAGGGTGCTCTCATCGTTCTTCGCACACCTTTACGAAGCGTGCATACGAACGTGGTATTGTCATCGTTCAATGCCCTGGATGCAAAAATAGGTGCGGGCTCATCGATCTCATCGCTGCCAAATCTCACAACCTATATTTTCCCCTTCAGGCATCTCATCGCGGATAATCTCGGTTGGTTCAAGGATAGCACGGAGGATGGAAAACTCAGAAATATTGAAGATCTCCTTAACGCTCGCGGCGAAAGCGTCCAAAGAGGCTCCTTGGATGCTAATGGTGTAGTAGAATATGTTGATATTGAAGCTGGTAGAAAGTAGATGGAGCACTCCGAGTTGGTGTGTCATGCTCCCAAAGCCACTTCTGCAGCTCTAGCTGACAGCTCGAGTATGCTCCCCTCTTCTGAGAACCAACATCATTCCTGCTAATACCACACCCGGCATGATCCTCGTCATTTTACATTTAATAATTGGAACAATAACATTCGCATTCGATCCATGATCTCATCTACGTGGTTCGTGACTCAGGCGAACGGCAAAATTGCCGTGGTTCTGTGACAACTGTAAGTAGTTACATTTCCGTGCGTTTGTCTTCACGGCATTGTTCCGATCACCATCAACGTACATTGGTGTTGACGCCGTTGACTCATAAATTGTGTACTAGCGCTTCATAATGCTATACAGTCCTCGAAGAGCCGGATTTGTGTGAAATCTTCTCCGAGTATACACTACGAAACCGAACAAACAAGCACGGCATCCAGTTGTGTTAATGGCGATCTCAATAGATTTGCCGAATACGTAACGGGCACCCTACCCGCCAGAACCTCACAGATGAAGCAAACCACTTTCGAATATGACAAAAGATGACGGTGTTGGTTCTCTTCAAAAGCCAAAGCTCTCAACGGTCGTCGGACAAGGAGCAACAAGAGCCCACTCCGTATGGCCAGCGCGGTACACTCTTCTCCAATTTCAGTGATGGGCATGGATAACGCCCCTGAAAAAATGTCCTTGATGCGTCCTAGCGGACCCTCCACCACTGCAACGCTGCTCAACGTGCCCATCAGTCCGGTGAAGACTCTATCCTTTGAGACCCTTCCTGATGCCCACAAGTCTGCCTCGACAATAGTCTCTCCTACAGATTCGTTTTTTGCTGCGTCGACCATAGTCTCTCCCACAGACTCGTTCTATGTCAGTATTACCACCTTTCTGCTCACATCCGTTCACTACATTAACATCAATACTGACAGGTGGAGTTTCAACGCGGAGACCCGAAAAATCCAATCAACTACTCATGGCTGCGAAAATGGTGCATTACCCTAGTCGTTTGTGCATTCAATGGGATCACTTGTAAGGCTTATCAATCTCTACAAAATATCACAGGCTGATCGACACCCTCAGCCCCTGCGACCCCGTCATTTGCCATGGGTTACGGTTCTATGATGCAGGATCTAAACTGCACGCGTTTTGAAGCAACTGTTGCATACTGTCTATATTCTCTAGGCTTTGGTATTATCCCTCTGTTCACGTCCTCACTGAGCGAGGTATGAAATGATTCCAAGGTCGGGGATCAGCGCTTATTAATTTCCGCAGGAAGTCGGAAGGAGGCCGATTTACTTGGTGTCGGCGTTTCTCGGGGCTATGTGCAACGTGCTTGCTGCTCTGTGCGTGCTGCAGCTCTAGCTTCCCGTGGACTGGATTGACAATCAACGAACTACAGCTCCAATAATATTCAAACCATTATGGTCGCACGTGTCTTGGGCGGTGCTTTTGCCTCGACTGGTGCAATACTAGTTGGTGGAACGATTGCCGATATATGGGAGCCTCATGAGTACGTGATTGCGTTTTTTGTAGCCTTGCGCTCACTTTACGCCCCATATTCTAGGCGCGGCCTGCCTATGGCTGTTTTCTCCATGGTGAGCATGGTTACAACTGGTCTGGGGTCTATTATCTCTGCTTGGCTGGAACTCGACCCTCACCTCCAATGGAGATGGATACAGAGGATTCAAGCGATGTGCGTATATCTTTTTCTGAATCATGATGCGCTCAAATGACAATCAACGCAGCGTTCAGGGAACCTACTTCCTTCTCAGCCTACTTATAATGGAGGAGACTCGATCACAAATTATCCTCCGACACATCACCAAGAAGCTCTGTAAGGAAACTGGGGACGATCGGTACCGGGTCCGGGGAGAGGAGACACGGCCGAAATTGAGCACCATGATTAAAACATCGTGTACTCGGCCAATCAGTACGTCATTTAATGATTGTTATGCAATGTGGTGCTGATGGTGGTTAGTGTTTGTCCTCACTGAACCTATCGTGACTAGTATATGTGTCAGTATCTTTTCCCGTTGTTTTGTTGTTTCTGAAGTTCTCTCCACAGATTTGGGTCTTTTTCATGTCCGGTGTGCTCTACGTCCAGATCGGGTATGCAAATATGATATTTACATAAAACCCGAGTTGCTGCTAAGTAATGTGAGCAGATCCGTGTCTGGGGTTTTTAAGCACACATATCACTTCAACGTTGGGCAGAGTGGATTGGTGTTCATTACCGTCATGTAAGTGTCCTGATGTCGAGGATTTGACCCTTTCATGCAGTTCATCTCCGCAGTGTGGGGAGTATACTGGGACTCTGTGCCAATGTCTATCAGGATGCGCTTTACCGGTAGGTCGATTGTAACAGTGACATTATGCACCGCACCCAATTGATCTGTTTAGGAAATATGTGTCTCAGAGAGGCCCCGAAGCAAGGCTGTACATCGCTTGTTTAGTTGCACTCTTGCTGCCTACCTCGATATTCATCTATGCGTGGACAGCAGACCCCCGCGTCTCCTGGATGTGGCCTGTTGTCGGTTTATCGGTGTGTTTATCATTCTATGTATATGAGGATCGGAACGCTCATTAGACACTTTAACTAGATCTTCATGTTTTGCTCATTTGTTTCATATCAGGTGGTTTTCGTTTATTTGGCAGATTGGTAAGTGCCTCGTACCGTCTCTCTCATAATTTCTGTTAAACATTATCTGCTCATGTAGTTATGGTCCAATGGCGTCTTCTGCTTTGGCGGGTCAGGGCTTAGCTCGTACGTTGTTCCTCGTATTTTGTATGCACGCGCTGAGCAACCATAGGTAACCTGGGTAGCTTTGGATTCCCTCTCTTCTCTGATACGATGTTCAACAAGCTCACATACAAATGGGCCAACACTATCTTCGGTGGCGTCGCTGTCATCCTGATTCCAGTCCCTTTCGTGAGTTTTTTAATACGTCTTAACATTTCATTACTAACTCACCACGGAAGGTTCTTTTCTTGTACGGACCCTCGCTTCGAAAATACAGCACAGTGTGCAGCCAACTAATGCAGGTTGAAGAAAAACCAACAATCGAGAGCCGGGATGATGGGGTCTAACCGCCTCCCCGGAGCATTTCGAACAGCTTGAATTTCCTAAATCCCAGGAACTCGTCTCTGGCTTCCGATTCATAGCCTATATCACATTCCTTACTTGTGGTTTCAATCTCAATGCACGATGGTGCAAACAAAGCCTCTCATTCGTCTTTTTTTGGACTCGATTTACATAGAGTATTAATATCTCAGCACCCCCGTACTTGTAGTCTCCACAATGGACCAGGATTATCCTCATACATTCGTTTAGAAGGACTGTTTTCTTTGTCACAAATAATTTCATATCATATAGCATATCATTACAATCTTAGTTACTGTTAGTACTTTTTCATTGGCCAAATTCCATCTCTTGTTTATTTTCTGCACAACACTCGACATGTCGATTGGTAAGATGTACTGAAAACACGATAAATGTTCGAAGGAAAATGAATTTCCGTGCCGCTGTGCTCACTGCTAGCAAGTGCGGTCAGAATTATGTCACGTGGGCCGCGGCCTCTGTCAGTTGTCTTCCGCACTGTTCAGTGCTCCGAGTCGCTCCATGCTGGTCAGCATGTTCCAACCCATCTGCTGCCTTCTGCTTTTTATTTATTTCTCCGAGCGCTCTTTGCTGTTCAGCTGGCCAGAATAACTTTATACATTGAGCCTAATTTTTCGCGACTTTGCAAGGCGACTCTCAATTTTGATGTTTTGCCTGATTTTAGTTTTCCAGATTATCTTCAGCTACTTGGCAACTTGGTGGGCTCCGAGATCCTACTACATCATAGGACTAGATAGGACTTTCAGCGGATATCATTATAGAAACTCGATGTTCAACGTTCAACGTCCAAGTCCAACCATCATAGACATCTCAATTGAGAGCATGGAGATCATAACAGACGCGCAGGCAAGCCTGGTCATCATAATTGCTCTGCAGGTTGGTCTTGTGAAGGTAACATTGCAAGCATCCGTTGGCACTCGAATCTCGACCTCTCAGAACCGTCACGGTGATCGAGATGATGAAAAGTGTGATGAACTACAGTGGAAGTATGGGGTATGTACTAAGGAACAGTCGATGTACGTGATGGTTAACTTGAAGCCGTATGATGTACAAACTGAATCGTGAGTGTCCAGAATACGAGACATTTACTCCGAACCAAACTATTGCGCGTTAAGAGGTCGTTTCATGTGGTGACCTGACGATCCAGCGTCAGTTATCATCGACAGTCGGGCCGCGTGCGGAAGTGATCCTGCGAGAAGGTTATCTTATAATGTTGCCTGGCCGGCGACTGCGTGGATGGGTCTGTTTGTCGAGGGCTGGAGTGCCCTGTGCATCGTCTCGCGCCAAGGGCACTGCAATTCTGATCTTCCTACGCGTCGTGTCCCGATCCTGAATACCCTCCAGTCCAGCGAGAGACTGGTGACGAGAGCGAACGCTGGTATTGATCAAGATGTCTTTGGACTTTGAGATCGTGATTTCCAGGGATGGGCGACCACCATCCAACTCGATAGCGGATATAGCTGCATCGTAAACCCATACACCCCCAGCAAGTGGCCCACTGATAGATTTGCGCCTCCCAACGCAGCGTTTCTTCAACACTCGGCTGAAGTCATTCGCACGTGCTGGCGATGCGGGAACTTGTTCTCGGGAATGCGCCTTCCCCTTGGACTTCGGGTTTATCACGGACTGACTCCTAGCCCGCGCGATGTTCCTTCCTACTCGTTCCTTCCCTGTGCCCTCCTTCATCACCTTCTGCATCCTCTCTGCCAGGGGTTTTAAACTGCTCCTTTGATGCTTCCACAGCACTCTTCACCTTCTCGGCCCATTCGTCGGCGTTGTATAATTTGTGGAGCATAAGCTTGAATGTAAACGGATGATGCTCCTCAAGGGGAAATGTAGGGCTCCCCATATCCTCCGCTACGTCGATGCCATTCTGCATCGTGGGAGCGACACCGACAGTGTTGCGGCGGGGGCGTCCTGTTGGCTTGCGGAGGCGCTCTTGGTCGCGTTGAGCGCGTAACGAAAGAACAGCAGACAAATCATTTAGGACTGGTGCGAATTCGGCAGGAACTGATTGGATATCGTCCATCGTGATCGCTAGTTCCGTCGACCCCCTAGCGCGCCGTGTCGCAATACGGTCAAATAATTCGAAGAGCCGAGCAAATTCTGCTGCCTTTGGGTTGTTTTTTGTAATAGCGGTCGTCATAATGGAGTATAAGTAAAGGATAGGTGAGAGGGAGTGATTCTTTCAGAGCCACTTGGGAGTTGTTTGCGCAATGCGGTACGATGGGGACGCGGGGGTCAGGGAGTTTTTATAATTTTCTCGGCGACTAAATGGTCACAGTGGGTGTTGTGGTCCTATATTTGACAATCAGTCTAAGCTGTGGACTTGACCACACTCCATGTGATGAACTACCTCCGAGTGGCACAATCCATGAGCCCATTGTTCCGAGCCCCTCTGATTCCCTACTTTCTATTTGATGATACTATCCTTGTGTTACTCAACGTACAACTTAAAGCTTTTGAATGACTGGGATCGTAAACGGCAGCATCAATTGCATACAATACATCGTAACAGAACAGGGAACATTTCATAGACGGAATGACTGCTACAATGCTTCCATGGTCTGGTATGAAACATTTACTCATCCGATTGCGTTACCAGGGTCTCCTACGCACCCGCACCCTCCCATTCGCGCGTAGAATGTAGGCCGTAGTCCTCCTACGCCAATCGCCGACCTTGTTGTCGTCTGGCTCGAAGACCTGGGATGCGAAGAACGAACTCCAGCCGACCGTGCGTAATGTCTTGATTTTCCTTGCGAGCACGAGACTTGCCTCCAGCTCTCGTGTGCGTACCTTGGAGGCGGATCCGATGAGCTTGCATGTACGGCAGAGCTCTGGGCCGTGAGGAAAAGGCAGATCTTCGGTACAGGCTCCGGAGTGAGACTCTTCTTTTTTGTCATCTTGGTCTACTGAATAGGATATGAGTCCAGCGGTAGTCTCAGTTTCTAGTTGACTGAGGATGTTTCCGGTGGGTGGAGATGCAGCTTTGGGACTGAACGCTGTTCGGAGCGTGTGGTCGAAGGCAAATGGAGTGTCGTAGTGCTCGATGTGCTTTTCCACCATTTCCTCGTCTGAAAGAAAGATACCAAGGTGAAGATCAGTCAGCTGGGTTAGTGGTTCCAGTGATTCCGCGAAGTTGTCCTGTCAAGCATCGGATTTTGTTGAAAATGAAGTGATACAGCTCATCATACCGTCAATTTCGTGATGTCATTGAAGTAATTCGGAATTGGCGAGTGCACAACTGCAGTTGAGCTTTCTTCAAAGCAAGCCCAGCAGCAGGAGACGTCTAGCTGTTCCGAGCAACTGAGATGAAGGATCTTTATAGAAGGGAATGTAGATGCAACAATTTTCAGCAAAGGTACGTCAATTCTCCAGAGTTTTGTCATTGTGAGAGACGTCAGCTTGAGGAGGGAAACCGCGGGATTAGGGGTGATTGCTAGTGGGGAGAAGATGCGCTTGAGTCGGGTTGTCTGGGATTGTCTTCCGTCTGATGAGAAAGATATCATCAGATGTTTCAGGTTCCTATAGAGAGATGGGTTCCACGATGCTGCTTCCAAGAGCGTGCGATGGTGCTATAAGTGTTCTGTCAAGTTTCGCTGGTTAGTGTGAGAGAGCATATATACGAGCAAACAGACTTGACGTAGTCGAATCCAACACTGTCACACAGGGCATTGCGGGAAACCAATGAGAAGTGAAAATTTGTATATGCAGCAAGTTGCTTTGCAGACGAGACGCGAATGGAAGAAAAATAATGACGCAGAGCGACGTGTCTAAACTGAGAACAAACCAGAGAGAACGAATGGATATGGAAGAAGCAGCCAGACGGGCAAGAGTCGAACAAGAAAGAAGCGATATAATCGACGACCTCGATCGGAAGTTGAGGTGTCTTTACGTGAGTGATTGTATTTTGATCTGCTGCAAGGATGTCCTTGGGTTGGCTCTCGCGTTGCTCTGGAGCTGGCGAGGTGAAAGTATGGGTGTATGCACTTGGTGAGCTAGGAATCAACGAGTCAAGATCATCCTCATCGAAAATCGTCTTCGAAGTCAGGGCTCTCCGACGAGGTCGTGTCACAACTTAAAGACATCGTTGTTTGAAGAAAGTGTCAAGGAGAGAAGCGGCCATATCTATAGTATCAGGGGTGTCACGTGCACGTTAAATTGGTGATCACGTGAAATGCATGATAATGAATTGCAGTTTCGACTTTGAACAACAGTGGCGACTCTGCGAGGGCTCGCGCTTGAGCCTTGCAACCGGCTCAGGAGGCGTTGTAATTTGTGGAAGACCTAGCTAAGTACACCTCAAAGTATACTCGTTGGCTGAACTATACAGAATGGAGGGTAAGACTAACTGGGTTTACTTTTATAGATACACCTCCATCCTCTTTCACAAATGCGCACATCTAATGGGCAACCTAATGTTTCCAACGTTCATGAAACCGCCGCAGAAAATAATGGAAAACCAAAGGCATATAGCGCACTATATGCCCTTCAGTTGAGAGCCTTCATAGATGCTGCGGAGGATGTGGACGCGGACCCAGATACAATCGAGGACCTACTCGAAGGTTTGGAAGACGGAGATGGAGAAGAGGAAATCCAGGAGAGCGACCTTGATGAAGACTTAGACTCAGAAAGTCTGGCTCTCCCTGCGCATGAGCAGCACAGTGCTATAGAGGGGAGTGGCGACCTGGACGATCTCGAAGTGGAAACCGAGGTCATCGAACGACTGAAACGGGAAGGTAGGTATTTTCAAATATGGGAGTGCAGTCCACGGAACTTCTTGTCAATGAAGCGTGTCCTTGAGCTGATGTCACTTCTACCTTAGCAGATGGAGCATGGTCGAAGGAAGAAACCCGAAAGATGATGCATCACTTGAAAGAACACGGTAAGCCTACGTCATCACAAACACGAAAGTTATAGGCTCAATTCCAACAGGAATGAGTTCCTTCGTCAGAGAATATGTCATCACTCAAAATATCCCGATAGTGAAACTTCTTTTCGCTTTTGGGATTTCCTTGGTAGCCCAGTCGTTTCATCTACATACAATGGAACTCGTTAACTTGAACTATAGTGCCCCGAATTGCGGAATAAACAACCTCAAACGATGCTCTATTTTCTGCGGGTCGCGATGTCTAAGGAGTGGGTAAAACTTCATAGCCCTTCTTGAGCATTGCTAACGATGATCCGAATATTTCATACATAAGGCTTCATCTCAGGGAAAAACTGCCTCAGTATAATACCCTTGCGGACGCGGTTTCCCTAATACAAGCCTCAAAACGTGTGGTTGTGCTCACCGGTGCTGGCATTAGTCTGTCTTTTACCCCCTCGATTAGGACTGCATCACTGAATCTGTGTATAGGCGTCTCATGTGGTATTCCGGACTTCAGTGTGTGACTCCTTTTTGCACTTTAAACGCGTTATCATCGGGGGTTGTTTAGGGTCGCATAATGGTTTGTACGCGACGCTGAAGGAACGGGGGACCTATGACCTTGATGACCCTCAACAGATGTAAGATGATCAGCTATTCTATATACTCCTAATCTGACACCTGTTAGGTTCGATATACACTATTTTAGAGAAAACCCTGCCGGTGAGAGATTTTATCTTCTGTGAGGCGTCGTTAACTCGGATTCGCTTTACACAGTGTTCTAGTAAGTATCGATGTTCTATGATACCTGACCCAGGCTGATATTGTAGCCATCAAGCTCATTTGCGAGGTTGTTGCTCCGACCCTGAAAGATAATGCTTCAACTGATGCGACAATTACAGCCAGATATATCCGTCTAATTTTATACCTTCTCCTTGTCACCGATTCATCAAAGCTATAGAAGATAGAGGCAAGGTAGGTGGCATGTTTTCCATAGGGTTAATGAACCTCACGAAGGTTATCAACAGCTTCTCCGGGCAAGTCTTGTCATTCCCTCTCCTCGCCCAAAGTTGACGAAAGTCATCACCAGAACTACACCCAGAACATTGACACACTAGAAACACTCACCGGAATTACTCGCGTATTGCAGTGCCATGGATCATTCGCAACTGCTACGTGCATCCAATGCAGACGGCGTACACCAGGGACAGAAATTGAAAAAGATATCATGGAACATCGTGTCCCGTTCTGTACTGTGTGCTTGGAGGCCAAAAAGGAAGCGGAGGAAGTCCGTCAGGCTGCTTTCAAGAAAAAGGCCAAGAAGCGAGGTAGGAAGGAATGGGAAGAGGGGAGTGATGAAGAGGAAGAGGCAATACCAGTTGGCGTGATGAAGGTCAGTTTTCTCCTGTTGTTCTGTTTATGCGAGTTCTCGATGACGTGAGTGCCCAGCCGGACATCACTTTCTTTGGAGAGAAGCTCGCGGATGACTTTGAGCACGCTCTCGAGGACGATCGAGATAAAGTTGACTTGTTAATCGTCATCGGAACCTCACTGAAGGTCTCACCTGTATCCGAGATTCTGTGTAAGTTGAAAATGCATACGATTCTAATACAAGCAGCTGATCTTTGGCAGCGCATCTTCCGCATTCTGTTCCTCAGGTCAGTGTCTTATTATCAGCGTGCTGTTCGTTCTCTGAGCCAAGTGTCGCGGTAGATTCTGATCAACAAAACTCCTGTCCGACATATTAACCCTGATGTTCGTTTACAGACCTCACTTGGGATATTAATAGCACTAACCACCTGTTCGCAACGATTAGATCGTCCTTCTTGGTAATGCAGATGACATTGTTCAACACCTCTGCGAGCAGCTTTCGTGGGAGTTGCCACCGCCAGTGGAGAAGCGTCTCGAGGTTCCGTCACTAGCGAGACCAGCAAAGCGCACCTCAGGTGAAATGATGGGCAAAACGGAGCCTATTCGTGTTGCGAAGAGGTGTGTTGTCAAATTATATAGTGATCCTTGCGCGTTGCTTGATCGAGTCTTGATCTAGCCACGTATGGCTGTTTGAAGGAGCCGAAGGGGGCAAATGGGTGCGGGATATCGAGGAAAAGTTCTTGGAAGAAAATGCGGGATCCGAATCGCGTACAACGCAAAGTCGAGTCCCGAAAGAGGGTCCAGAGGTAAAGAAGTCGCGGACTCGGTTAGGCTGACACTATAACACCGGCGTCCTTCGACGTGCTTTGCTTCTGGTAAACGGACATGGATGTTGCGGAGATCACGAACTTGATGTACTTTATATATATAAAACTCTAAGCTTGTGATATTCAGATGCGTACTAGGTCATATTTTTCGCGATGATAGGAAGCGTCGAACCGCTAGAGAATCTAGCGCTCGATACGAACGCTTGCCTCGAAAAATAAAGTCATTTAAGGATACCAATACGTGACTGGCTAGCAGATATGATAAATACCCTCGTCACTTTGCTCATGGGAATCAACATCAAGAGCTGCCAGCCATCTTATGATAAATATTATGCTCGTCAATAGATTGCCACAGCGCGAAAAAAATGGTATATTAGCCATGAGTCTACGACTCAGTGTCCTCAAAGATAACCTCCCCGTTCCCTTCACTTCTCCTTCCGGGTATATTAATCTTCCCTGACGAGCCCCTGCTCGCCTTCCTTCCGTGTCTTCCTGGAGCGCTCACAAAATCGGGCAGATGCGTTATCGAGCCATTGGAAACATGGGAAGATGAGCCATTTGGGGCATATGAAGCAGAGCCATTGGGGAAATACGGTGTAGAGCCGTTTGGAAGGTGTGATGTAGAGTCGTTTGAAGCGTGTGAGACCTGGTTCTTTCGTATCGAGGGTAGGTAAAAATCATCAACTTCATCATCCTCTTCAGTCAATGCTGCGGTGTAGCCTGCGGGAGTACTCGAATATGAACGGAAGTGCCGGATGGAGTTGTACGAGCCCTTGCGGAGGTGTGTGGCGTATGAGTAGAGTAATAGTGCGAAATATATCTGTGTGATTTGAGAGTTTAGAAGCGATGTGCATGAATTGGTGGTCATGTACCTTTGCGAGCCAGCTGATGATGATGACACCCATGGCAGTGCCCTTCTCCTCATGCCACAAATTATTTGCTTCTAGAGCCCGCTGCTCATCCGTCATATTGTAGATTATAGCTGGCGCATCATGTCGTATGGCCTCTTGCGCATGTGAATTGGAGATTTGCTGCCCATCATGCGAGGTATAAGTCCACCAGATAACGGAGAAGAACACCGTCCAAGTTGTTGAGAAGATGTGATCGACGAAGAAGAAGTACGCAAAATAGAGTGTGTGCTGAGGGTTCTCCTGTCAAACGAAGACGATGTCAGCTGGAGATCGAGTATTGTGCCAAAGCGACGAACATCTTTGACGGATTTCAGTCCCCAGCTTAGTGCGACGAGACCGAGAACTGAATATATGTACAGACTGAGCTGTGCAAAATTGCTACCTGCACCGGTCATAACGGCGATCAAGCCATACACGCCTGCTACTTTGTTGAGGAGCTGCGAGGTAAGTTATATTTGCGACGCTGGTTGAAGGAAAAGACTTTGACGCTTACTGCGAACAGTAGGACAACAGTGACGCCAGTTTTAAGGTCAGTAATACCAAGGAAAGTGGAAATCGGCCAGAGCCTCCATTCAGGGCGAAGCATGAGTTTCATATGCAAGTCATGTATCACGCACGAGTTACAACAAAGGTCGGGAACGAGGGTCAGTGTACTTGTAGCGGAACCCGGAAGAGAAGGATAGCTTTGTGACTTAGTCAGCCAGTGCGTTCTCATGAGTCATCGCAGCTTTCTCAGAGTCTATTATAACTCAAAAAATACTTACCAGATTACTTAACGAACTTATATGAGTGAGATTCCTCTACAAATATTCACCACACAGTCGCCGTGCGAGGGCTAGGTCATTCGTTTCAATATCCTGTCACGCTTGCATGGATTGCGGCCAATTTAAAGTCAGAATGGAACCGGAGTTCGTGGCCGTCTGCGGCGACACACTCGGAGTCGGAATGTCAGGCAAATTCGGTGAGCTCCGATTTACTATGCTTTGACCTCAAAGTCCTGACGAATGTGGCATTGGAAGGGAAACTTATTGGCCGACATTTAGCATGGATGAAATTGACAAGGTGGACACACTGGATGCGCGTGGAGCCTGGCCGGTGACGAGCTTGATTGAACGTCGAAAGTGCTCTACCTGAAACTACTCGCCGGTACTCGCGCTCGATTTGCTTCGCTGGGTCCGTCGGTGCTGGTTGCCTGCCTGCTGTCGGTGGTGCGTGATGGTCACGACTTCTTTGAGGTGGATTCAGAACTGCCACTTTATAGATGTGAAGTGATGTGTTGTCTGCAAGACTGAGAATGCGGCAATGCACGGCCGGAAAACTTACACAGTCTAAGCCAGGGTCACAGAGCAAGAATTTGTACTGCTCATTATAGGGAATACGACAAACGCTAAGCCATACTCTCAAATGCGAAGTTAAGAACGAACAGATATAGCAAGAGATGACAAGTCACAGGAAAGAGCATTGATGGTCCATATTGAATAAACACTTCTATGAACGTTCGCCGCGCAGCCGCCTGGCAAGAGCAAGGTCCTTTGGTTGAATAGTCACACGTTTGGCATGGATAGCAGCCAAGTTGGTGTCCTCAAACAGCGACACAAGGTACGCCTCAGCCGCTTCTTGCAACGCCATTACGGCCGATGATTGGAATCGGAGGTCGGTCTGCGATATGAACGTCAAATGAATCCAATTGACGAAAATCCTCTTACCTTAAAGTCCTGTGCAATTTCGCGGACGAGGCGTTGGAAGGGGAGCTTGCGGATGAGCAGCTCCGTCGATTTTTGGTACCTGCGAATTTCGCGAAGGGCTACCGTGCCAGGACGGAAACGATGTGGCTTCTTGACACCTCCGGTCGCCTGAGGGAAGGAGGTTAAGTGGGTTTAGAAAGAAAGGCACAACATACCGCATGCCCAGCTATGGGAGCCTTTTTTCCTGATTTCACTGCGAGCTGCTTTCGAGGAGCCTTGCCTGGTTGTGAATGAGCATCGGTGGCAGCGGACCGGAGAAGCTACAGCGACTTACCACCTGTGCTTTTGCGGGCAGTTTGCTTGGTGCGGGCCATTGATAGAAAGAGCAGAGTGTTGATGGTCAAGATAGTGTAGACGGTTAGATGGGTTACTGGTCCTGGGCACAATGCCTTTGAAGTGGAACTGCTTTATAGAATCGCGTCGCGTGGTCACGTGTGGAGTCTTGTTCAAGGTCCACCCATTGTGTCCTGTGTCAATGACGACTCTATCTCCCATTGTCCAAAAAATGTGGACTTCTCCGCCAATCCCTTTGACGTGCTTATGAATGTATTTCGAAACATAGTTTAAGTATCCAATTCAACATGCTCGTTTACACACCTTGCCGGAATGTTCACGTCGGAACTCTAACAACACATCATATACCAGAGGCCAATGTTGCCAGTCGTACTGCATATAAGCACACATCGAAGCGTCAAAATTAAAATAGATAGAAATACAGTAAGGTACACCACAGATACGAATAACAAGATATGTCAAGCCTATGAACGCTCCCCACGCAACCGCCGTGCAAGAGCAAGATCTTTAGGCTGAATAGTGACACGCTTGGCGTGAATAGCAGCCAAGTTAGTGTCCTCGAAGAGCGAGACGAGGTACGCCTCAGCGGCTTCTTGAAGAGCCATCACGGCAGATGATTGGAAGCGCAAGTCAGTCTGACGAGCGATCAGACCCGAGAATTACAGTGATACAAAAGCGACTTACCTTGAAATCCTGTGCGATTTCACGAACAAGACGTTGGAAGGGGAGCTTGCGGATGAGGAGCTCTGTTGATTTCTGGTACCGACGGATCTCACGAAGAGCGACGGTACCGGGGCGGAAACGATGGGGCTTCTTGACACCACCAGCGCTCTGAGCAAGTATTGTGAGCAGAGTCCAGATTGTTAAAAGATTGCACGTACTGCTTGTGCGGTCTTGCGGGCTGCAGACTTGGCTGCCAATTGCTTACGAGGGGCTTTGCCTGATAGCCAATGAGCTCGAGTCCTATGTGCTAAATAGGAAGGGTGACTTACCACCAGTAGACTTGCGAGCGGTTTGCTTGGTACGGGCCATTGTTTAATCAAAAAGGATAATTGCACAAAGTACAGACAAATGGATGTTGGTATAGAAAGAGCATATTAATTGCCTCGGCCTATATACAGGCGCGTCGCGTCACATCACGTGGTGCTCGTGTCCCAATCAACATTCCAGATGCGGTAATTCAGCACAGCCACATGCCACGGTATATAACCCAGTTCAGAGATTGCGGTGCTCCTGTATCGACTCGTCACACCACAGTAAACTCACACACTTTACAACACTCCATTTTCAACTCAATACAATGTCTGGCCGTGGAAAAGGTGGCAAGGTGAGCCCGAGAGTCGGTGTTGTTTCTGGTTCCAGTCTGACATATCTTGAAGGGTCTCGGAAAGGGTGGTGCCAAGCGTCATCGCAAGATTCTTCGTGACAACATCCAGGGTAAGTCATTCGGCAATGACTGCCCTTATCTTTTATAACTGGTGTGCCTAGGTATAACAAAGCCTGCTATTCGTCGTCTTGCCCGTCGTGGTGGTGTCAAGCGTATCTCTGGTCTTATCTATGAGGAGACCCGTGGTGTCCTCAAGATCTTCCTTGAAAACGTGCGTGTACAGGCTCATTGAATTTAAGCATGTATGCTCATGGTTTGCTGTAGGTCATCCGTGACTCGGTAACATACACTGAGCACGCAAAGCGGAAAACTGTCACTGCCCTTGATGTGGTTTACGCTCTGAAGCGCTCAGGGCGTACTCTGTACGGTTTCGGAGCATAGATGTTGGAGGATTTCGCCGCAGCTTGTTGTATTGTATATGTACCATTATAATCGTATGTCCTTGTCTTATGGAAGATATTTGAAACATTCCGCTACTTCCACTGGGGGGATACAGCATGCAATGGCTCGTCTATATTTCTGCTGCTTGCTCACTGCATTTCCATTTGCATACTTACTATATTCCCACAACTTCCCTTCCCACTGCCTTTCCTGGTTTTCGACGTAACGCGTCTATGAAGCACCAACTCCTCCCCTCCCAGATTGACAATTCGTCGTTGAACTCGACCTTTCGTGCGCACCTGCATCTCCGCCAGGTTAAAGACGGTAGCCTGTAGAACAGTGGTTTGGGATGAGAGTGAGGCGACTAGTATCTCTTGCCTGTCCAAACCAGCACATCGCCGATTTTCCCGATCCCCTCCCCGCATACTATTCGCATACTTCTAACAAATATCAACTCCCGTGCTCGCTACTCTTCTGTCTCCCTAGAGCGTCCCTCAGTCTCATTATTCGTCGACCACGGAGCGCAATGCGAAGTCGAGATCAAGCAGTGGCTCGGCGCATTGATACGTTGGACGCATATATCCATGATAGGGCTTCAAGCTTTACCTCCCATCTTTCTGGCCCCATTCACCCTTGCCATCTCCTAACCCAAAGTGAAACACAACTAACACAAACTAACACAAACTAGCCCGCGGTCACACAACCGTGCGTAGTAGCGCCCACAGCTGTGCAGGACTCAATAGAGCTGGAAGGTGCGTCAGTCGTCCCCAACATTAATGCTATTCGTGACTCGGCTGATGTGTGGGCTCGTACGGCTGTAGTGGATGCTAAAATGCGCCTTGTGTTGTTTCGGTTGAGGCTTGCAAGGGTACACTGGAAGTTTGCGATGGCGCACCAAAACTCGAATACGGTGCTGAATACGAAATGGGTGTACATACACTGTACAAGTACTGTACATACCAATAAGGAGTGATAAGATTAGCACGTACCTAGGTGAATTGAATGTCCGCCAAAGTTCGCCAACTGGCCGTCTTTTTGCCGCCGGACTGCAGATATATCCGCTGTAGCGCCGGACTCTGTGCCGGACTAGTTTTGGCCGGAGGGTCGGTTTCAGTGACTTTTTCTCAGGCTTTGTCGTCCAGCGCCATTCAATACTACCGCTCCTGCACTTCCCGCATCCCTCCTTATGCCACATCAACGTACGACGGACAACTGGTGTCCAATCTGAAAGTCCCCTGCCGTGTAGTACTACTGTGTGCAGGTTCTGTCTCGACATCAAACCCCATTGTTGTAATGAATGCGCGATCATTCTGGGTAGCAAACAGGACATGCCACGGGGTATTTTTCCGTGGGTTTGGAAGGAGCTGTGGACGGCAAACATATAGACGTCGTGGTTGCCGATTTTCAATACGATCTTGGCGCACAAGCTCAACACCAACTACTAGGACAGTGGCAGCATCGGCCAGCGCAGCTTCTTCTTCGTCGTCGTCTTCTCCCTGTCACAACTCTATTCGTTCTTTAGAAATTGGATTGTCGAATCATCCATAGTAGTGGATGCGGTCGATATTCCGTATTATCTATTAGCATGCGGTTTAGTATTTTATCCTACAGACTCGTTTTCAAATTTGTTTTCGCACTCTGGATTATTTAGCCCACGGGAAGAAGCACTGATCACCTGCAAATTGACGGTCCAGCACGGAAGTCACCTGAAGTCACCCCAGTGATGAAGGTGTGGGAGCAAACAGCCGTTTATTGAAACGAGCTAGGTGACGCAAATTTCAAACCGCACAATACACGCACCTCTGCAGTTTAGAGCAAGAGACCCACAATCCCTTCGAAGTCCACCTCAACACCATCAACCTCCAGTAAAATGTCGAAGCCCGTTCCAATCACTACACCCCTGCGAAAGTTCAAAGGCCATGAAGAAAGCATAAAGGCAATCGCAGAGGCTGCAAATGAGCTCATTACAATATTGTTTAAACAGAGTCATGGAAGTCAGAGATATGTATTCGGGTGAAAAAGATGGCTTTGCGCGGGCCCCATCGTGTCGTCATCGACAGTATGCATCAATTATCATTCACGAAGGAGATGGTACATGACATTCGACAGTCGATCAAAGATCGATCACGCAGTGCCTGACATATGCTAATTGGGATGAGAATTTTGGTAAAAGAACTGGTGTGAAACTCACTTGGTCTCTCGGCGGTCCAGGTATAGGGACTATTGATTCTATGGTAGTAACTAGTACCAATGGTAGATAGCATTCCCAAACACCCACGATGACAATCCGTTGAATGCAGGGCTCGCGTAGCATCTGTAGAGAGGGCTCGCTGAGGTTAGCGACCATGTTATACTGGTACATTTGTAGGGCAGGATTCCAATGCTGATGGACTTGGGAGGGAATTGGTGGGTGAATGAGAACTGAAACCAGTTTGACCGGGAGCGGACGAAGCTCGAAGTAGATATGAATGACGAGCAGAAGGTTGGAAGCAAAGCGCTCCTCCGTGATAGAATATGTGACGAGTTTGAGATGCCAGAAAAGAAAACTTTGGCTGCATGCGGAACACACAGAACTTGGGAGTCGACGGGATGAAGGGATGATATTGCAGTAAACTATAAGCATGCATTCGAAGGAGTGACACAAAAGTGGGACGCATGTATGCACTGAGGCGCTAGGGTATAATTATTGTCGGGGACGACGGGTATGATAATAGGGTGCATTCTTGCTGCAACAGTGATGAAGGTGTGGGAACGAACAGCCTCATGTCCTGGGCGTCTATCGAAACGAGGCAGGTTCTGGGAGGGAGTGGAGCAGCGTAAAACGCACAATGCACGCACCTCTGCAGCTTAGAGTAAGACACCCACAATCCCTCCAAAGTCCACCTTGAGCACGCCCAACACCATCAACCTTCAGTAAAATGTTGAAGTTCATTCCAATCACTACACCCCTGCGGGAGTTCAAAGGTCACGAAGAAGGCGTAAAGGCAGGCATAGTTTTCCGTGATAAACGATGGATGGTTACGAGTTCGGACGACAAGACGGTTCGTCTGTGGGACTTGAAGACAGGTGTTATGTTGAAGAAGATGGTGCATAGCAATGGGGGGTACCGGCATTGGCGATATCACGAGATGAGCGATTGATAGCAAGCGGTGATTATGATGGAAATGTCATAATCTGGCACGGGGAAACTGGCGAACGTCTCACCCAAGTCAGAGCCCACTCCGATCATATCTACTCGCTAGATTTTTCTCCCGATGGAAAAATACTGGCCACTGGTTCAAGGGACGGAACAATGAAGCTATGGAACACCAAAACCTGGGAGCAACAAGGAAATTCAATCAATTGTGGTACTTTATACAACTCAGGTCCCTCCATACGGTATTCGCCGTCTGGAGAACTTCTTGCCATTGCAACACAGAACAATATCCAAATTTATAATTCAGGCACGAAGGAACGCGTCACATCCTTCAAGGGTCACACAAATTACAACTTGGCACTTGTGTGGACGCCCGATGGCACACGCCTTCTCACAGCCGGCGATGTTTACGATCCTACCATACGCGAATGGGATACAACAAACTGGCAGCAGGTCGGTGATCCTTACACCGGTCACACTCACAACATATATTCCATCGCCGTTAATCCTGCTGGCACACTCGTCGCCTCCACATCTCATAATAGTCATGTCTGTCTCTGGCGGCTCTCAGATCGACAAACCATTGCCATATTCCACCACCCTTCCTGGACGCAATGCGTCACTTTCTCCGTGGACGGTGGGCACATCTTCAGCGGAGGGGGGTGGCGATTGGATAATCTCAGAGTGGGCAGTACCCAACGGCATCAATTCAAAGGCACGTTTCCGTCTTTGACTCATATACCACAAATTGAGCATGGTTCGTGCAGATCTTAACCATCACGACAGCCCGCATTGCATGCATAGATGGAGACTTATCCACCGCCGAAGATCTACTCACCCAAGATATCAACACCAATCCGAACAACCACACTTCCTATGCTCATCGCTCATTTGTTATGGCCCGTAAACATGACTGGGACCACGCCCTTCAGGATGCAATTAACGTAAGATTCGCTGATCCATCATCGCCCCCTTTTGAAAGGCTCACTCGACGGTGACATAGTCCGTTAGTATTCAGCCCTCATTGATAGGCTATATCTCCAAGGGTATTGCCCTCTGTGGGACAGGCCACATCCTAGATGCGAGGGCAGCATTTGATGTTGCATCGATGTACACGGACCAAGATTCACAAACCATTTATTTCCTACTCTTGACCAAGGTATGGTTATAGTTGCCTCGCATACTCTCCGCTTCATCATGTATTTCAGGCCATCGCGCTCTTCAATGCAGATCAACACGACGAGGCAAACCTGCTCCTCAAAGAACTCGCTACCGGTTGTCCGAATGCGGATGCTCTTGCGTGTCGTGTCGTGCAAGTAAGTATCATCCATGCTTGATCATCGATACTCATCTTTACAACTCGCACATTAGGCATATCTATGTGTTCAAATTGGAACTAAGGCCTTGGATGGCGCACGTTACGACGAAGCCACCGACCACTTCACTGCCGCTGTTAACTCCAGCGCTTTATCATCGAAATCGGACATTCATGAAATTTACGAGGATTTGGTGGTGGTATGTTAATGTACACATCCGAAATAGTTTTCTCGACTGAGTGTCTTGTCCAGCTCTTCGGCTGGGATCTCAAATCGTTGTGGCTCACCGCACACCAGAAACGTTGTCATACACTCCTTCGGGCAGGTAAACTTCAAGATGCCGTGAAATCATACAGACACATGATGGACAATATCGACGAAACAACGAAGGTCAGCTGCCTTGAATGGTCCGATGGCAAGTCCGGAGTTCGTAATGTCGCGCAGGCTACAATCCTCACATCCATTTCACTCAGATTTCAAGAAAGAGTGTAGTCCACTCTGTTTTGTCAACGGAAATGCTGCCCTCGCTGCAAGCGATTATGACAGGGCTATCGACCTATACTCAGCAGTCATCGACCTGGACTCTGCATCTGATGCCGTCTTTATAAAGCGTAGCATGGCCAGGTTAGAAAGAATGCTGTGGGAGGACGCGCTTCTCGACGCGCGAAAGGTGCGATGGCGTCTACGTTTTCGCAGCTCATGTTGACTTCGGCGATGGATAGGTAACAGAACTTAATCCGTCGTCTCACATTGGATACCAGTTGAGTTATACGGCGCTGTGTGGCGCGCAATGTTACGACAAAGCCACCGAGTCCTTCACAATTATGTTGTCCAAGTTGGACGATGCTCCCGAAGCACAGATACGAGGTGAGCCATGGAACACCCCTGCATGGTCTCGAAATGCCTATCTCTTTCTGCAGACCTACGTCAGCAGTATGTCTGTCCATTTGAAATAGAAGACGCTATTCAAGGAGCCGCTCGAATTGAACTCAACAATGCCCCCCTTCGTCTGCTCAACACCTCTACGGGTCTTTTGTGCGATAGAACGGCACAAATAAATGCCTTCAAAACGAGTCGACAGTACATTGACCTTATCTCGTTTCAAACGAAGAATTCGAACCTCCGAACGGAGCGCATCAAAGACGTAGTGGCGAAGTACTTCCGCTGTGCCCTGCTATCACACAGGTGGGAAGAGACGGAGGCGCTGCTGCACGACATCCGGGACAAAGTTGTGTACGAGTTGAAGGGAGTTGGCGGCATTGTGAAGTTGCAGTCATTCTGCAAAATCGCTCGCGATGCTGGGTATTGCTGGGCATGGATGGACACATGCTGCATCGACAAGAGGAACAATACCGAGCTTCAAGAATCGATCAACTCCATGTTCGTCTGGTACCACTACCCAGCGCTTACCATCGTCTACCTATCCGATGTCCCTCCTTCGTCCGAGCCTGGTGCACTGGCGAGGAGTGTTTGGAATGTGCGAGGATGGACCTTTCAAGAACTCGTCGCTCCAAAAGTTGTCATCTTTTATCAGAAGGATTGGTCGCTATATCTCGGCGATCGCTCTCTCAACCACAAAGAGTCCCCTGTGATCATGAAAGAGTTAGAGGATGCGACGGGCATAGATGCACGGGCCCTGGTGACCTTCCGTCCAGGTATGAGCGGCGCCCGAGAGAGACTGCAATGGGCATCGAAGCGCGTCACCACTGTGCAGGAAGACGTTGCGTATTCATTATTTGGCGTCTTCGGCATCACCTTACCTGTTATTTATGGCGAGAAGAAGCAGAACGCGCTCGGGCGGCTCTTGCAGGAGATCATTGCTCAATCAGGCAAAATTAAGGTCCTCAATTGGGTCGGACAACCATCTGAGTTTAATAGCTGTCTTCCGGCCCATATCATCTCTTACACCACTCCTCCACGCACCCTTCCATCTTTGTCCACAGATCAGATTCAAACAAGTATCTCTTCACTGCGAAAAAATCCTGTGACTGTGGATTTTGCTTTGAAACTCTACAACCAGCTTGATAACATGAGCGCTGCTCGTTTCGCAAACCGCAGGCTGCATCTACCCTGCATCACCTTCCGTATCACAGGCGTCAGTTTGAGGTACGGTTCATCCCAGGAGACTCAATATGAAGTCAAGGCAGACGGCCTTCGTGACCTGCTGATCACCACCAAAGAGCCGATGGTTCAGCTCTCACAGGCATGGCATACTTTCTTACTTGTCCATCCTTGAGATCGGTCTCTCCTCGAGCTACCATACTTTGCACATCTGCCCGACATTGGGGACGATACGGAAAACGAGGAGGATTATTGGACGTCGTCTTCTTCTCCGTCAGATGAGGTGGTTGATCTAGAATCACGAGCATTACGGTTGCTTGTTCGTCTTGGGCAGCCTTTTGGCGCATTTTTGCTAGCGCGGAGGGGCGGGGGAGAATACAAGAGGGTCGCGTCGGATCATGATATCATTGCACAGGTTGTCGAAGACGTGACTTCTGTTCGAGGCCTGATGGAGATCAGGACGATAGAAATACTGTAACTGTATGTTTTTCCTGCGAACATGAGGTATCTGAGCGGTTTTCATTGGTACTTGATACTTGTATATATCATACTATATGCATGTGTGGTTTCCCTTCAAAGCAGACCATGGAGACCGATACCACTAGACTAATACCCCTTCATGTTCATCATACCTACCTCCGTGGGTGTTCGAGTTCAATTTATGCTCTAAGTCTCGTCACTTCCTTATGCATCACCCTTGGTCCTCTAGAATTCTTTGTGAAGTGGGACCGTGACAAGTTGATGCAGTGATCCGCACGCAAACTGCTGTCAGGCAGGCTATGCATTCAGTCATTAGCAGCACGTCTCGAAAGCCTGAAAAAATGCACTCATTCACCTCCACGATCCCCCTAACAAACAAGACAACCGCACGTTACTATCGTCCTCATGGAATGCCCACTATTTGTGAGGGAAAGAAGACGCCCCATAACGAAGGACACGCGTTCAGTCACGATCGACAATGCGAGAATTCTTCTGAGCTCTCACTGAGCCTGGTGTAGTGTAAGTGCGTAGGCGAGAGGGATATTCGGCCGACAGCCTTGGGTGTGAACGTGCTGGAAGTTTGAACTTCGTAAGGCAGGCGACGGAAAATACGATCATCACCATCAGTAACAAGAGACGAGACGTCAATACTGTCAACGGAAAGAAATAAAATCCAATAAGAAAGAAACTCAATTTTGCAGCCACGTCGGGGAATACCAACACGGAGGATAAATATGTCGTGCGGCGGGGATAATGTTGAGAAAATGAGTGAGATGGGTGTGCGTAAAGGTTGGCTGATTCCAGTAGATGCGTGTTGTTGGTGAGAAATTTAAATTGGAGAGGACGTTGTTGAAACATTGAACGTAGTCACTGACCAGACTATAACAAGCACTGAGCATGTCACATATACTGAATGTGGATCTAAACGACTAGGGCCGGGCGAGCCGGCGATGACCTTGCTTTTTTCGTGATTGTACAGGTGCAATAACATCAGAGACCATGTCCACGAGAGTTAAGGCGAAAGAATAATGAGCTCTTCAATTGAACGATGGGTGCTTTTGATTCCGAAAGTTTCCATTATTTTCTTTATTTGTCTTTGTATTTAATCTGAGCACGAAGTAACTTTTTATATGATCTTGGCAAGCAACTTGAAGCAAGCCTCAAGGCAATTAGACTGGTGACCAGCCCCTCTATGAGACAAACCCTCGATAGAGGGACCGGTAAATCTGGGTTTGAATTTGGATAGTGCGCGCTTTGGAGTAATCACATGACCTGTAGCCAATAAGAAAACTGAAATTTTCGACGTGAATATTTGAAATGTTGAAATTAATGTTTGATTCATATTGATGCGATGCAAACGCGGTCGCGTCATTAATGTATGTATCTACTCTACAACTCCAATGGACGTGAACTCTATCATCCAAGCTGTGCGGGAAGCCTCGATGGAAAGACTAGATTCATTTGCTCGTTCGCTAATATGGCAAGAACGGCTCCCTACCGACTATATCGAAACCCTCAGTGACAAGGATAAGACAGATGTGTTACGCGCTTGCCTGCTCGTGTACATCCTCACGGCTACAACCATTGTTCCACAAGTATTCCAGCTAGAAGCCATTCTTGCAACATTGAATGGCCGTGACAGCATAATTACAGCCGGTACAGGCTGCGGAAAGACCTTGTGTCTCATAATTCCTAATCTATTTCGTCCGGACACTATCAGTGTGACGATTTCACCTCTGAAATGTCTCCAGATCAGTATCAATCAGCATCGAGAGGTCCCCGTCATCCCAGGACCATCCTTGAGACATTTTCCCCTTAAGAACAGGCGCTTAGGACCAGTACTATCTCAGAAGAAGCCGAAGTTTGAATTCAAATCATAAATAGGGCTGTCCGAGTGCAACGTGACGCTGCCCTGCAGCGGCCAGTGGAACAGAGCTGATCGCTGCCGGAGTCGACGAGCAATGTTGACACGTTCGGTATGTAATCGAGAACTTAGCAAAGACTTATCTAACTCCCGAAAAGGCCTTTCAGTCATGTGATTACTCCAAAGCGCGCACTATCCAAATTCAAACCCAGATTTACCAGTCCCTCTATCGAGGGTTTATCTCATAGAGGGGCTGGTCACCAGTCTACAAGGTAATGGGAGGTGTCGGCATTGGCGGTGTCACGTGATGGGCCAGCACTGATCGCGAGCTGTCACAAAACCAATTAATCATATACATAGCCCACACCGGTTATGTGACATGTCTACTACTCCTTACACTTTTCTCCTGATGCCCACAATAATATCAATGCTGGCCACTAGTTCATGACCCGAAACGAAACACTGGAGTGCCATAAGGAGGAGGTATAATGTCAGTAATACTCAGGCTAAGACCGTTGTACATGTTGGGAGACTCACAGTTGTGTCGACATCACTAATAGTGCCTAGTCTGGAAGGGCGCAACTTGAAGGAGAGCCGAGAACGGAAACGTGAGAATATAGAGCTGGTGAAGATGCAACATAGTTGCGCGTTGTGGCTGTATTGCGGCATTGGAGGTTACGAGCTAGTGCGATGAGATCACAAGCCTGGTAAGTTTGAGGGATGTACTTCTAGAGACACATATTCTTACCTCTTATCAAAATTGGAAGTGAGGATGCAATAATCTTACCACCGCTTGATTAGTAGAAATGAAAAGATTTATGAGTCTCGCATTTCCATCTCTCGTTTTAACGTTTAACAGACACGTACGCTTCCTCTATCTAATCATTATTCCCCTTCGAAACTCAACGCATGCCTTAAATATCAGATTGCCTCTGCATGATCACCCCAGATTTCACTTCTAAAGTTCTCATCCCACCTCCGATGTCGAGCATCCTATCGCTTCAATAGTCATCTTACGGCGTGACGCATGACAATAATTTCTACCACGCCGGTAAGTTATTTGGTTAAATACAAACTACTCGTACTCATGCGGCTCGGCCCATCCTTGCAGTTTCTACACTCCCAATGGCTAAAGCAGAATAAAGGATAGTCGTCCTGAGCGTTAACAACAGATATTGACGCTGTCAAAGCAACAGCGGCGGCGAGGACAAGGCAGAAACGCATTGTTTGTGAGGATAGTATGGGCTTAGAAATATCTGAAAGGTAAAGTAGGAAGACACCTTTCCACCTTTACGTGCTGAATTGTGTTTTTTATATACTAGTAGGAGAACTGAGCCCGCCTGAAATCCCCTTTCGAAGTGATTTACCTGAAGCGCCAGGAGGGCATAGTTTCGAGGACGGCGGGTATGACAATAGGATGAATTCTTGCTGCAAAGTGATGGAGATGTGGAGGGCTCGTGCCTGGGCGTCTATGAAACGAGGCAGCAGTGAAGCAGTACAAAACGCACAAAACACGCACCTCTGCAGCTTAGAGAAAGACACCCACAATCCCTCTGAAGTCCACCTCGACCGCGCCTAACGCCATCAACCTCCAGTAAAATGTCGGAGCTCATTACAAGCACAACGCCACTGCGGAAGTTTCAAGGTCACAAAGAAAACATATTGGCAGTCGCAGTTTTCCCCGATAAACAATGGATGGTTACCGGCTCATCGGACAAGACACTTCAGCTGTGGAACTTAAAGACAGGTGTTGTGTTCATGAAGATGGAGGGGCATTGCAGCGGGGTGTTGGCATTGGCGGTATCACGAGATGGGCAATTCATAGCAAGCGGTGATCTTAACGGAGAGGTCATCGTCTGGCACGGAGAAACTGGAAAATCACTCATCCAACCCATCAAAGCACACTCCAGTTTGATCACCTCGCTTGACTTTTCTCCAGATGGGACAGTACTGGTCACTGGTTCATGGGACAGAACAACGAAACTGTGGAATACCAAAACCTGGCAGCAGCAAGGAAATCCAATTGACTGTGGTAGTACAATCAACTGTGTTCGATATTCGCCGTCTAGAGAACTTCTTGCCATCGCAACATACAACAATATTCAAATTTATAATCCAGACACTAGGGAACGCGTCGCATCCTTCAAGGGTCACACATCATACAACTTGTCGCTTGCGTGGACGCCTGATGGTATACGCCTTCTCACAGGCAGCACTGATCTCGATCCTACCATACGCGACTGGGACACATTGACCTGGCAGCAGGTCGGTGATACCTGGACGGGCCACACTAGCAACATCAATGCCATTGCCGTTAATCCTGCTGGCACACTTGTTGCCTCTGCATCTCGCGATAATCATGTCCGTCTCTGGCAGCTCTCAGATCGACGAACCATTGCCATCTTCAAGCATGCGTCCTCGCCAAATTGTGTCACTTTCTCCGTGGACGGTAAACACATCCTCAGCGGAGGTGGCGATAACATGATCTCGAAGTGGGCATCTCAGGGTACTCATCCAAAGGCGCGTTTCCGTTCTTGACTTATATGCCACCATTCGAGCATGTTTCGTCTAGATCCTAGCCATCACGACAGCCCGTATTGCATGCATTGATGGAGACTTGTCTACTGCAGAAGAACTACTCACGCAAGATATCAACACCGATGCCAACAACCATACTTCCTACGCCCATCGCTCATTCATTATGGCCCGCAAACACGACTGGGTCCACGCCCTTCAGGATGCCATCAAGGTGAGATTCGCTGACCCATCATCGCCCCTTATGAAAGGCTAACTCGATGGTGACATAACATAGTCCATCAACATTCAGCCCACATTGATAGGCTATATCTCTAAAGGTATCTCCCTCTGCGGAACAGGCCGCGTCCGGGATGCGAGGGCAGCATTGGACATTGCATCCATGTACACGAACCAAGATTCAGAATCCATCCATTTTCTGCTCTTGATCAAGGTATGTTACATTTGCATTGCATACTCTCCGCTTCATCGCGTATTTCAGGCCATCGTGCTCTTCAATGCAGATCAACATGACGAGGCAAACCTGCTCCTCGAAGAACTCACTACTGGCTGTCCGAATGCCGATACTCGCGCATGTCATATCGTTGCAGCAAGTATCATGCAGTGATGCTGGGTCATCAACACTAATCTTTGCAACTTGCAAATTAGGCATACCTACGTGTTCAACTTGGAATCAATGCCTTGGATGGCGCGCGTTACGACGAAGCCGCTGACCATTTCACTGCCGCTGTCAACTTCAGCAATCTATCATCGAAATCGGACATTCATGAAATTTACGAGGATTTGGTGGTGGTATGTTAATACACACAGCCGAAAAGCTTTTCATAACCGAGTCCCTTGTCCAGCTCTTCGGCTGGGATCTCGAATCATTGTGGCTCACTGCGCACCAGAAACGTTGTCATGCACTCCTTCGGGCAGGTAAACTTCAAGATGCCGTAGGATCATACCGGTACATGATGGTTTCGGATGACGAAAATACCAAGGCCGACTACCTCGACTGGTCCAACGGTAAGTCTAGAGTCCGCAATGTCATGCAGGCTACAATCCTCACCTGCATTTCCTTCAGATTTCAAGCAAGAATGCAGCGCACTCTGTGCTGTCAACGGAGATGCCGCCCTCGCTGCGAGCGATTTTGACAGGGCTATTGACCTATACTCGGCGGCGATCGAGCTGGATTATGCATCCGATGTCGTCTTTGCAAATCGCAGCAAGGCAAAGTTAGGTAAAATGCTATGGGAGGACGCGTTCCTCGACGCAAAGAAGGTGCGATGGCGTCTGCGTTTCCATAGTCCATGTTGACTTTGGCGATGGATAGGTCACCGAACTCAATCCTTCGTCTCACGTTGGATACCAGTTGACACATACAGCGCTGCGTGGCGCGCAACGTTACGACGAAGCCATCGAGGCCTTCAGGATCATGTTGTCCAAGTTAGACGATGCTTTCGAAGTGCAGATACGAGGTAAGCCGTGGAACACTCCTGCATCGTCTCGAAATGCTTATCTCGTTTTGCAGAGTTGCGTCAGCAGTATCTCAGTCCATCCGATGCAGAAGACACAATTCGAAGAGCTGTTTGGAATGAACTCGAAAACGCCCCACTTCGTCTACTTAAC